ACCGGGGGTGATCTTGTCCTTTCGCGCAAACTGGGGTCGCACGTTACCCAAACCACCCGCAATCATGATGGGCTTGTGGTAACCCCTCCACTCCTCCTTGCCCTCCGCATCCTTGGTAGGCAACAAGAAGGTCCTGAAGTAACCACCGAGAGCGGGACGGCCAAATTCGTTGTTGAAAGAAGCAGCGCCCAAGGGAGCCTCGATCATGATGTCGAGGGCAGAGGCGATGTGGACGGGCTTGCCAATGTCTGACTCCCAAGGCTGCTCAAAGCCAGGGATGAGCAGATCGGAGGTGGTGTAGCCAGCAAGACCAGCTTTGGGGTGAGAGCCTCGGCCGGTAGCGCCTTCGTCACGGATCTCACCACCAGAGCCAGTGGCGGCACCAGGGAAAGGAGATACGGCAGTGGGGTGGTTGTGGGTCTCAACCTTGATGAGGATGGGGTTCTTCTCGAGCTTGGAAGTGTAGACACCATTCTGAGCGCCTCCCACAGCGAATCTAGGCGCCTCGTAACCCTCAATAACCGCAGCGTTGTCCTCGTAGGCAGAAAGAGTGTTGATAGAGTTGCAAGACTTTTCAGTGTTGCGGATCATGCCAAACAAGGAAATGTCCTTGTCCTTGCCGTCAATAGTCCATTTGGCGTTGAAGATCTTGTGACGGCAGTGCTCAGAGTTGACCTGGGCAAACATGAAGAGCTCGGCGTCTGTGGGGTTTCGACCAGCAGCCAAGAAGGAGTCAACAAGGTAAGGAATTTCGGCTTCAGAGAGCGCGAGACCCAAACGCGCGTTGGCTTCTCCCAGAACCTCGTGGGGGTTGGAAGCGCCAATGATGGGCACAGAGACCAGCGCGCTGGGGTTGGGGGGCGTAGGCGGGAAGACTGTGGCGGCAGCAGGCAAAGAAGTGTGCACAAGCTGGGTCATGCGGTCGTGGATAAAGTGCAAGTTGTGCACGAGATCGGGGAGGGTGATCTTGGAGCTAGAGGTGAAGACGTAGAGGGCGCCTCGTTCGAGACGGGTGACATGCTCGGAGAGACGGCAAATCTTGGCAATGTCGGTAGCCTTGGAAGACCAGGGGGAGATGGTGCCGGCTCGAGGGAGAATGTAGAGCGCAAAAACGTTGTCGCCCTTGAATCCCGCGTCGATGAACGCCTTGGTAGTATCGAGCTGTTCGTTGTCGCCGTACGCTAGCAAGGCATCGAGAGTCCTTCGCTCGAAAGAGTCGCCGACAAGAGTCTCCTGGGCAGCGTCGCTAGCAGGGTTAACGAGGTGGAGGTGGACCGCGTCGATGGAGGTGATAGCAGGGAGTGCAGCCTGGAAGAGCTTCAAGAGAGCATCCCTTCGAGAGGGGGTGAGGGCAGAAGAGCCAGGCAGGACGAGCATCTGCACACGGTGAGCATTCGGGGCGCCGAGTGAAGGACATGGCATACCTTGGCTTGTGCTGATTCGATTTCCGATCTGAGAACGCCGGGAGAGAGGTGGAGAGATGTGGAGTGCGGGGTGCACTGTTTGGGGTGCGAGTAGTTGTCTTTGTCCAGCCCGTGGACAGGGAATTGCGGTTACCGTCCAAAAAGAAAATAAGAGTCGACGATCCATAAAAATCCCAGTGTGGGGTACTTACGTAATGATGCGCGCTTCCTCTCTATCATTCGCGCCGTGACGCAGCTTGCCTCTATACATCCCAAACGATGAACTACCTCAAGTCCATCACCTCCTCCGTCCTCCAGTCTACGGGTGTAACCTTCCCGTTTAGCATTGGGGAGCGTATTGCGGGTGTAGACTCATACTCGTCGATATGGGACGTCCGTGAAGGCGTCAAGAGGGTACGTCTCGCTGGCATCGGCAACGCTGACAATCCCAGGACGATGGCACGCCCCTCACCCTCTTTATATTCGACTCTACCCTTCCCCCTCTCAATGGCAAAGACCGCAAGACACTTTTGCACCTGGCAAAGAACGCCCTCAAAAAGCTCAGGACCATCCGGCATCCCGACGTTATAAAGTACATCGACTCTATAGAGACAGAAACCCACGTCTATATTGCCACAGAGCGGGTGAGACCTTTGGCCGTTGTTTTAAGAGACTGGGATACCGGGGGAGCCCTGGCGACGGGTTCGGGAGCGTCGAGAGCCAAGGGCAAGGAGGAGTGGATTGGATGGGGTGTCAAGTCAATATCAGTACGTTATTACCATTGTTTGCTGCTTTTCTGACATGCTGCAGACTGCTGTCGCCTTCCTGAATACTGCACCTCTGTCTCTGCATCATTCATACATCCTGCCCTCCTCCATCTTTGTCACGCCTGCTCTTGAGTGGAGACTCTCCGGATTCGAGCTTCTGACGAACAAGGATGATGGAAATGGCGTCTTGTGGAGCTATGGAGGATTCGCACCTGGAGATCTAGGAGAAAGAGCACCTCCTGAAGTGAAGAAAGGCGGATGGGGTGCTCTGAGAGAGTGCGTCCATGTGCCACACCTTCGAGCGGTCAGAGCTGATGTACCACAGTACCGACCCTGCCCAGCACGACATCTATTACCTGGCTACTCTCCTCTTCTCTCTCTACAACCCAAACTCCCCTCTCCCACCTCTCTCCTCCCAGCCCACCCCAACCTCATCTGGAAATATCCCACGCTCACTGTTCCCTCTGTGGAAGCGCATGCTGAACCCAAATGCCCGGACGCGACTGTCCACAGCAGGATTCGTAGAAGAACTCGAAGGAGCTGGGTTCTTGGAGAGCAACTCGCTCGTCAGCGTGATCAAAGGTCTCGACAACTTTGAACTCTTGTCAGAGTCGGAGAAACTCTCTCTCCTGCGGGTTATCAAAGACTCCAGCTCCTCCCTCCCAGCACCCTTCCAGACGTATCGTGTCCTCCCATCCCTCTTGCATTCTCTTTCACTCCCCTCTGCACCTTCATCAGCCATGCTTCCCCTTGTGCTCTCTCTGGGGAAAGGTGTGCCGGGTCAGGAGTATGGTAAAATGGTCCTGGAGCCTGTCGTCAGGCTGTATCAATCACCGGATAGAGGGACAAGGATGGCGCTGTTGGAGGGGCTGGACGAATATATCGAGAAGCTGGATAAACCTACCGTGACTGAAAAGATCTGGCCACATTTGGTAAGCACAGTCACGACATGGGTAAGCTTTGTGCTAATGAACATAGATCACTGGGTTTGCCGATACCGTCCCCGTCCTGCGAGAAGCCACTGTCAAAGCCATCTATCCTCTCTCCTCCAAAGTATGTCCATCTCGCCCTAGATATGTTCCTTTTGCTGATAGTGATGTAGCTATCTGACCGTATCCTGAATAACGACCTCCTCCGTCTCCTCGCCAAAACCCAAGCCGACCCCGAACCATCCATCCGCACCAACACTTGTATTTTGCTCGGCCGTCTTGCTCCTTCTCTAGGCTACAATACCAAGAAGAAGGTGCTCGTACCCGCCTTTTCGAGGAGTCTGAGAGATACGTTTGTCCATGCGAGGGTTGCGGGTTTGATGGCGTTTATGGCGAGTGTGGATATCTGGGAGAAGGAAGATTTGGCGGGGAGGGTTCTGCCGGGTGTTTGTTTCTGCTTGGTAGACAAAGAAAAGTGAGTCTTTGCGCTCAAAAGCTGGATTCAGCTGACGAGAAATAAAGGCTGGTCAGAGATCAGGCGTTCAAAGCGGTCGACATGTTCATGGCCAAAATCACCTCCATCGCCGAATCCATGCCCGAATCGTCCAACCCAGACGGCCACGCCGCCTATCCGCCGGTCACCTCTCTCTCCTCCAACTCTACACTCCCAACCTCGTCTGCCAATACGGTATCAACAGCATCATCCGCCGCTGGCGCGCTCGCAGGGTGGGCATTGACGGGTTTGAGCAAGGGGTTGAGTAAGGGCGAAGAGCATGCGGAGATCCAATCGGGTGGTGGTGGGGGTATGCCGGGAGGGTTTGGGCTGGGTGTGCCGCAAGGCTCGGGGTCTGGAGGGTTCGGGTCGACTGGGACTTCTCACGCACCTAGCGCGGTCGCGTCGCAACCGGCCTCGCCGAGAGGAAGCGACGAGATTTTCCGACCTGCCCAGTCTACGACTTCGATTGGCGGTATGAAGATGAAGCCCAAGGCCAAGCCCACAAAGCCCTCTGCCTCTTCGTCAAAACCTGGTTTGAAACTCGGCGGTGTCACTAAAAAGCCTCAAACAAAACAAAAGAGCTTGGCAGACCAATTGGCGGAAGAGTACGAGGATGATGATGATGATGGGATGAATGCTTGGGGTAATGACGACTTGATGGACGTCAATGCGGATCAAGATGATTGGTGTAAGTCCTCTCAGGTAGACGGTAGTATGGGGCTGACAAGGGGCTTAGCGGCGTTTGAAAGCGCTCCGGTACCGGAAGTTGTCGTTCCACCTCCGCAAGATTACTACGTCAAACCCACACCCAAGGCCAAGCCTGCTCCCAAATCAACCCCTGCTCCTGCGGCAAAGCCGGAGCCGATCCCCGTCCCATCCCCTGTTCCACCTCCAGCCCCCGTCCTTGCTCCCGCTGTTAGCGCCGCCCCTGCTCCTCACTCACCGCCCACGACACTCGCTCCCAAACCCATCAAACCCACCCCGTCCCCGATCCCCGCCCAGACGCCCATACTCACTTCTTCACCCGCCTTGTCGCAGGTCTCTGCTATGGCGAAATCACCTGCGCCCAGTTTCTCGTCAGATTTGAGTGCTGGAACTGCCACTGGTGGAGGGGGTTTGTCAGGGATGAGTAAGGAGGAGAAGGAAAAGGAGATGGCGAGGAGGAGGGAAGAGAGGAAGGCCAAGATTGCGGCCATGAAGAAGGCTAAGGCGTGAGAGTACCTTGGTATGCCGGAGAGGATGGGTAGATCTTTTTGTAGATACTGTGTATGTCTGTCTATGCTAGAGCTGTGAAACCAAACAATAGATGAGTACAATTGGTTTCGTGTTGACGCCATCCGTTCTCAGTCCGCCATCAACTTCTACCTAATGTTGCTCTCCCTCCCATACGGGCGAAAGCAGTCACATCTCAGGACAAGCGGCATACATCTTGCGTTCTTCGGTCTATACGCTCGTCCACGGACACACCTTCTCCACTACCATTCGCTTTTCCATCATCGGAATCTTTGCAAGCCCCTTTTCGACCTCACTGTAATCCTCGCATGCCCATAACATCGGGTTCAGCTCTAGCCGTCGTTTCTTTTCAATATAGGCCTCCGACACGAATTCTCTCTCCGTTTCTAACCACTTGATGCTCTTTTTCACGTCTTTACCAAGGGTGGGACTGTGATTAAACTCTGGCTCGAGGCTTATCTGACCGAGTCTGAAATTACTGTCTTTTCGGTCGTAAGAAGGGAAGGCATCGAGGATAGCAGCATGCGTTCTGTCGATAATAGACTGGTTTTGTCTTTCTACTGGAGTATGTTGTGCTGGTGAGGAGGGGTTATGTTTGGTGGCTCGTCTGGGTAGGCCAGCTAGATTCTCAATTGATATGTATCGGGGTGGGACGGAAACACTGAGAATCACGTTAGTCACCTGTCCCCATCCTGAAAAAAGAGACTCACAAGGTATAGTCTTCGTAATAACCATCACGGAACGCCTCATAGAACTTTACCACTTTTCCTATCCTCTCTTCCTCGCTCATGTCGCTGCCTGATGGTAGAACACACTCCAAATGATGAACAGCAGTCTCCCATCCATCCCATGTCCGATCTCCCAGCTCGACGTTGAGTAGAGTGACGTTCGATATATCAGACCTGGCACGGAAAAGAGAGCTGAACAGTAACATATGTTCGGGAGAGGGTGGGAAGGTTATGCCGGGGGGGAGGTCGAGAGTGATACGAGGATACGATCTTGAGGTGCCGTCGTCCCACCAGCCGTTATATATGCTCCCCGAATTGAACCGTGAAATCCAAAGGTCCCCATCCTCCAAGATGCTCGACGTGGTAGCGGCACTGAGAGATAATTTTTCGGTACCGGCGAAGAGCCTGTGGGGAGGTCTCATCTCGGGACGAATAGACAGGGTCGGCAATGAAGCATGAGCAAGGCCCAGTCTCGCCTCATCCATCCAAGGTGCCGAGTCGCGCCACTCTCTTTTGATGTCGTTCAATACACAAGAAAGAGTACTCCCCGATTCGATGTAGAAGGCGCGGCAACCTTGTATGAGACGGAGTTTGTGCGGGACAGGGTATGAAGCACTCGTGATGATATCGCATTTTTTCGGGATAACCGGGGTGTAGGGACGGAAGTCGTATAGCCCTTCGAAGAACCCGTAAACGTTCTCATCGCTGAGGATCACTTCGTCGTACAGGGCGCTGACATTGTGGAGGTAGATGGTTCGGCTGAGGTGGATGAGTTTTGCGAAGTGAGATTGGCAGAGGTCGGCCATGAGACAAGCAAAGATATGACTTTTTACTTCGGGTGGGAATCGGGAGAGGCTCGTGATATCTCCCGAGATGATGGGGGTGTCGATGCAGGAGCACAGCATGATCTTGTCTTTGCTGATGCCTGCAGGGTAGCGTGAGTAATACCGTAAGGACAGCCAGCTTTTCAGAAAGCCAACAGGTCAGACGCTTACCTCACAGTTATGCCCAAAGCGAGTCTGCTTCAATGAGAAGAAGAATCGAAGCAGAGGGATTGCAGATTGATTGCAGACGGTTGGCAGACGGACGCGACGTACAGTAGGCAGGCGGCAATGACCGCTTTCTGACTCGACGGCATCATCAGCTCTATGTAGCCGTCTTGATACCGGACGCTGCCACATAGGGCAGCTAGTCAACAATACAGAAATCCGACAGTAATAGCTCTATACTCTAGTGTCTCTTTGATGTACCCCTGGGAGACTGGCTCACCCCCCTTACCAGCAAGTCGTCGTCGGTCATTCAACATAATTTGAAATCGCGACAGGGTAACAGTTGCCCAGGCCAACAATAGGTGAGGCGTCTGCCCTAGAAATGAATCTGCCTGATTCGCTTCACTCGAGAGAATGATGATAGAACCTCACAACCAGATCGAATTACTCACAACGTAGACAATTCGGACTCAGACACGGCCACGCGGCGATGCCCGGGGTGAATTCGAAGACAGAAGTCACAGATAGAGGTACGAGGGTACTGACAGTGGGTACTTTCTCCTCTAGAGCAGCAGTCTGACCAGATGTGCCATGGGTTGGCGGATGTTGGGCGGATGCAAAGACGATCGGTTTCCCGAAGAAGGGTACCGGCGGCCGGCACGAGGAAGGCGGACCCCAGGCGCGTGTACGCGACGTTGCACAGACACTGGCACGTAATATAATAAAGGGATGAAGGATGTCCTGTCTTTTCAATCTGCATCTCCATCTCCTCAGCATCCCCATGGCCGTCCTCAGCCCCCAGAGGACCGCCACCGCCCCCGCCGGGCTGTTCCCTGGCCAACATATATCCCCCTACCCGCCGCCCCTCGTCCGCACCGCCAGCCAGCCCCCGCTGCCCACACGCAAGTCACTCGGCAAGGACAGCACTCCCGTAGACAAGGCTCCCAGTGACCTGAAGATGGTGGATAGACCGAGCAGTGAAGGCACCCTGACGCAGACGCATAGTCCGGTGAGTGACGCCCGTTGATGGGAGGTTACAACGACTGACTATGCCCTTACAGCTCGATGATATTGACCTGTCTATTGGCGTGACGGCTTTGAGGCCGATCGCCACTCCCTTTCTGCCTGGTGTTGACCAAGAGCTCTGGGGCCCGCCTACACGACCCATGACGGCAACCGACCTCACCGCGCCCATCCCGAGCCGCTCCCGTCTACTACCATTCAAAGTCGACGACAAGCCTCAGCCTTCGAAAGACGTTGAGCTGTGTCCTCCCAGCTCGTCATCTTATGTTCGAAGGATGGACAAGTGCTGCCACGCGAACATAAAGCCCTTGTCGAGTCTGGAGCAGGAACTGGCGGAAACCAAGTTGGTAAGTGCGATTACGACTCTTCCTACCACTGTGGTTTATGTGAGACACAGGAGCTGGATAAGAGTCGGAATAAAGCTAGCGCGCTCGAAAAGGACAATCAGAGGCTGATTGATATCATGGTACGTCCTTGTCGAATAATGACAAAACATGTCTCACGCCATTCCAGCACCATATCGTCAAATCATCCTCCTCGTCCCTTACCCCCCACTCATCACCTCCATCCTCACAGTCCGACTTCTCCCCACTTGCCCACCCATCCTCGCATTCCGCCATAACACCTCCCACCTCCGAGCGCTCCGTCGCCTACGAACCCATCGCCAAGCCGAACCTCCAGGCACCTCCTGCTCATACCCAAGTGGTGTCAGCCATGGGAGCTGTGGGGGTGGTACCGAGTCCCGCGGTGTCATCGCAGTTGATGAAGGATGTATTGACGTCAAAGATGAGTTTTGATATGATGGACCCGGAGATGGTGCTGCCTGTGGTGTCGGTTATTGCCACGCATCATATGCCTACCGAGAGCAATGATTTGTGAGTGTGGACGTGCTTCCGGTGTGGTGCATGCTGATCGTCAACTAGTGCTGGGCTGAAGAAGGCTGTTGATGCTCTGAGTGTGAGTCAACATGACTATGAAAAGGTAGAGGCTGACGAGTAGTAGGAAAAGCTCGTCTTATCCAACCAAGCATACGTCGGCGCCATCACCAGATCCATCATCGAGTTTGCTCCCCGTCTCTGCACTTCTCACTGGGGTAATCACCTCTGCCGCCGCCTTCTAGAACTCGGCTCCAGCATGGACCGCCTCAACTTTCTGCGTTCAATCGTGTTTGTCCACTCTCCCATACTGGAGCTGAGCTGACGAGCAACAGCCACGACATCATAACGATTTCAAACAACATCTACGGTATTCACGTCCTCATGCGGATCATGGCATATGACGACCTGGCGGAAGTTGTGGGGCAGGCGTTGCTCCAGATTGGGTTATATGACGTGTTGAGGAATGGTTCTAGGAGGTTGTGGCAGATTGTGGGTCGTTTTGAGTCTGTAGTCCAGGTGAAGATGCTGAAGAAGAGTAGTATATTGTGCAGTACAAACAAGATAATTGTTGGCCGATCTACAAGAGAATCATTGAAATGCTCAATGGCCGATGGGTAGATTTGGCTTGTACAAACGAAGTACGTATCTAGCTCTCACCCAGATCATGGCTGATATAGGAAGCAGGACGGAGCTATCGCAATCCAACACCTCCTCGACGCCCCCAACTCCCAAGACCTCGTCAAATACTGCTGGCGCGAAATGATGAACCGCATATCCACCGTAGCCAACAACCCCTACGGCTGCAACCTCATCTCCAAATTCCTCGCCATGCCCTCCCTCTTCCGCGCAACATGCGGCGCTATCCTCTTTGCCTACCCGCCCGTGGCGACCACGCACCATGGGATTACGTTTGTCAATACGGCGCTGGCGAGGGGGGTGGGGGTGGACTTTGTGAGGTATGTGGAGTGTTTGTGCGTGGTGAAGGAGGGGAAGAGGCCGGGGATTTTGGCTGTGGCGGAGAGTGATTTGGGTAAGGGGCATTTGTGTGAGTTTTCGTGGTTGGCAAATGAGTAGCACTGAATGGTCCTGACACACAGCGCGCATAGTATATCTTCTCTCCCGAGTAAGCCGTTGTCCATTGTTTGGGATTGATATTGGATATTGACGTCTCTTGCAGCTTACTTCTCCTGATGACGCTCTACGCATTCGGCACGCCTGTCAGAAATGGTCCCACGTTCTTCAAGGCTCGCCCAGTGGGAGTGAACTGCTCATCTACCTGTAAGGCCTCGTTCAACTGATCTGACAGCCACCGAGCTGAGCTTCTTTCAGCGGTATCGTCCCACCGAACACGGTCTTCACTCCTCGGCCCCCGTCACAGCTGTGATACATATCATCAGACTCCTCTCTGTTTCATACCATCACCATCCGCGCTTCCGCGCCCGTCGACGACGTTCAAAACTCGACTTATAGACATTACACCATCCAACTGTAGAATACCCCAACATGGTCCCATTCACGCCGTCCCCTGTATACCACGATACCCTGCATATTAGCTCCGATACACGACCGACATCGAATCATTTTCGTCCCTCGTCCCCTTTTCCGTATGAGATCCACATAGTTGTAACGAATACTTTCCGCTTTGTAATCTAGTCACCTGTTATATACATCATCAGCACTCGTTTCGTGACAACAAGGTTGTTCGCGTCTCCCTGGAGTAGACTGTAGCATAGCCGATGATCGACCCCGATGATGGGATATGGACGATTGGCATACTCCGAGCATGCACATTGCTGCACCACGCTCTTATCTGTGTTGTGATATGTTGAGAGCAGGTTGAGGAGAAGGATTGCGGAGATGGCCGCCCCAGCTCGCCGGCGGTGCCGGTGTCGCCCAATGCTACATTACACACGTCGACTAAACTATAAACTATAGAACGATCAAACTATCAAACTATAAACTGAGGCTTCAGCAATTCACATTACTGTTTAGACCATGTCATTAACCGTGTCGGTCAAAACAAACCCTTGTGCAAAGTATATAAACAGTATCGGATTATAAAACTTCTTGGGACCTCGCCGGCGAGGTGGCCGGTTCGTTTTGCGACGTGAGGAGGGTTGTCGGGCTCCTCCCGACGTTTGCCAAAAGCGAAATGGTGGCTAAGATGGCCGCCACCGCGTACCTCTGGGTGGAGAACGTCCCCACCAGCGACCTTGATTTCAAGATCAACGGTGGCAATATTATCGGCGATACGTGAGCATCGGTGACGGTTATCCTCTACATATCGACTGGCGGCAAGACTACAGTGACGTGATGTGGATTTGGGGCCAGAAGACGGGACAAGGCTTCAACGCCGCCATGTCCGGGTCCCTCTGGAACCCCGACACAGCTGTAAGTGGACCTTTCATATGAGTTTTCTTAGCCATCGTCGCCGATGCTGACGGTGACCTTAGAGTATGGTCGGCCGCACGCCAGGCCTCGGTTACCACACTCTCGACCCGTCGAGCGACAGTGTGCAGTTCGTCGATGTGATGGGTTTGACGACCGAGATCTCAACGTGAGTCACTTTTTATCTTCTCTTGCGAACTGCGCACTAATCACCATGCCGTATCGCCTCGCCTGCAGTCGGTTCCCCCGTAGTTTCCCCTCCGTCAAGTATACAATCTCCGTCACCCCCCTCGACGAGCGGACCTTGGGTTGCTACCTTCGGGCTTACAAGGCCCACAACCTCGCCTTGGCGGGGAAGTTGGAGGACCTAAAGCCGGGCTTCGAGGTGAACGAGAGCGGAATAGGGTACCCAGGACCGCATCGAGTTGCGGTCGAAGACCTTCTGGTTCAAGGGCGCGGAGAAGCGGGTGGGTTCTCTTTACTGTATAATGTACATCACTGACATCTTTGACAGATCTCTGGCGTGTCTCTGACCAACCCCCAAGATGAGCATCCGGTCATTGCAACTCTCCTCGGCCAAAAGGACGGCAGCCGCTTCCGACGTCGCCCTTGGCCAAAGGCCTTTGTCCGGACCCCATCTGGTGGTGCGCTTCCTGTCTCTTTCCATTCTCTTGGCGCGTTGCCCGACACTGCCATCCTGACATGCGGCTTTTCCTTGGAAGTGCGTATTCACTTTTCTCAACTCATGGATTTCAAGCAAGCTAACGGTTTAACTCTAGGGGTACGTCATGTCTGGTGATTCGAAGGCTGGGATCGAGTGGGTGACGGAGATCTTCATCATTGAGGGACTCGTGAGTTTACTGCGCTGAAGGCTTCCACCGGCTAACATGTATACAGTTGGAGGAGATGGTTTCCGTCGGTGCAGGCCCCAATGCCCCTTTGAAAAGGAAGGCGGAGGTGGGCATGGACGTCTTGCTCGGGCTGACTTCCGGCAAGAAGGGTGAGCTTGACATTCTACCAGGAGGCATTGAGGGCGAAGCTGACTCAACACTACGTAGCCGCTGCCGTCGCTGTTGATTCTGCTCCAAACACTCCAACGAAGTCCTCGGCTGTGTCGGCCGCCACTGCCCCGGTCGCTGGCCCAAGTACCCAGCCTCTCTCTGTCAACGACTTCCTCGACATGGAGGCCGGAGAGGCGTCTGAGACGGAGGGAGAGGCTCGCCCCCGCCTTGCTCATGCCGCGGGCGTCTTCAGCTGCGAGGCTTCTCGCTTCTCTGACCTCCTGTTGGGAGAGGTTTGACAGCAAGAAAGAGACTTCTAGGACTGGGGAAGATGCTCAAAGAGGAAACGTACCCGCTTAAAATCCTTTGGCAGGGATACCAGGAAGAATGGGCACCAATTGTCGGTGTGTACGTGGTTATCCCGCACCTCGCCGCTTGACTATTGATGCCGTCGACGGTCCGGATTCCACGCTTGCCATTGGAATTGCTGCCGTCGGTCGGTCCCAGATAGATGACTCGAAGCGACATAGCCCTTGCATAAACAGCCGTAACCAATATATAACACCAAACCCAGAAGAGACAATGATAAACGCTACAAAAGATCCAACGTTGGATACGATTAGACTACTCTACAGATTACTTTTCTTCTTTCCGTTCTCTTCTTTCCTTCTCTATTTCCAAGATTCACTTCTGTGGCCTCTATACAGCCGCCAGCTCGAGTTTGATTTTCGGCGCTACGAGAGAAAACATTATATGTTAAACGGCACATTTGGATCTGCCTGCCAATCAAACGTACTCCCCGTGACTTGTTCCCAAAAAGCAGCCTGCCCTTGCGCCTCCGCCTGCGCCTGCGCCTGCACCTGATGGCCGCCTTGCCCTTGCCCAGTCTGATCACTAGACACGTACCCTTCACCCTGGTTGACATAGCTTCCCCCGCCGGGAGTCTGCAGGAACTGTCCCTGCCCCTGTCCTTGCCACGCCGACGGCGACACCCCAGAGCCTGACGCCGAACCAGGTGTCAACTGCTCCCCACTCGGCATGTACTGCCCACTCGTACTCGCACTCGCCGACATCGGCGCCGAGCTCTGCCCACTATCTGCTCTTCCAGACGCAGACGGATACGTCCCATCGACATACGAGAACGTATTCCAGAACCCGGCCGCACCGCCCGAGAACCCTTGCAGCAGCTCCAGCCCTTCGAAATTGACGCCGCCCAGGTCGAACGACATGTCGTAAGGTGCCATCATGTCTTGGTTGTCGATAGGGAGGGAGGACTGTCCGGCTGGCGTAGCAGGGAGGTGATACGCCGGGAGAGGGTAGTATGCCTGGGAGGAGGACGCAGATAGGGGAGGGACATCATCCTCCCTCGCCGGCGTACGCGCATCCGAAAGCTCATACAGCCTCTGCCTCTTCTCCGCCGGCCCCGGAACTTGCGAGCTCTGCCAAGCAGGCATGTGGAGCTGGGGTATGACCGGAGAAGGCGTCGACTTGCCCTGCAGGGTATGCAAAGGCGGGGGCATCTGCCTTTCCTTCCCGGAAGACGATTTCCGTTTCTTGCCCCGCGAATCAACGGGGGGTGGGTGAGTGATAACTTCTTTAGCGCGGGAGGAGACGTCGTTGAGGAGTTCTTTGAGTTTTCGTGAACCGGGCCAGATAGGCTCGAGAGCTTGGAGACATCGTCGGGCAGCTTCGACTTGTGAGCCGACAGCTTCCATCACGACCTGGTCTCTCGCCTGTACTTCGCACAAGAGCAAGATCACAGCCGAAGACCAGAGATACTGCGCATGCACCGCGAGATGGTGTGAAGGTGGGACGAGAGTACGGCTCTGGGAGGCGATATGGATGACGGAACGGGCGGCGTCGACGCAGTGCGATAGCGATTGTGAAGAAGGAGGTGGTTTGGGGCGAGGGTACTCGGGGGAAGAGGGGAGAAAGTTGCGGTGGAGGGTGATGAGGATGGCAAAGTACGAGTTGGAGAGGATGGCAGAGAGCATGGACACTTTGCGGGTCGCTGAGGGGTCCTTGTATTTCGACGGCTACCATTGTATCAGCATCTATTCGAAAAGGATTGAACAAAGACTCACCACATCATGCTCCAGCCAGTCCCTCAACAGCTTGTCCAGCTTGTTGATAGCGTTCTGCTGAGACATTGCCCAAGACGGATCACTAACCGACCTCCCATTCAACGGGCGGTACAACAGATGCACCACCCTCCCTGCAATCTTGCACAGTTTCGTAAGAGCCACAAACCCGCTCATCGTCGCCCCTTCCTTCTCCCTCTCCAGATCCTGCGGCGTACCCGTCACTTGCGACCCAAACGTCTCCAGCGTCGCATCATCAATCTCCACCGGATACGCCACATCCACATCCTGGTCGTCCACGCCCAACGGCCGGCCTAGGGAGATGGACATCATCCTCTCCAGACCATAGATGGCCCACCAGCATCTTGAGCGGAGCTGTTTCTCGTGGAAAGGCATGGGAAGGCGCGCGGTGGAGCGGTGCAAGCCCAAGTCTTGGGCGACGCGGATAGCTTGGCCAGCGAGGAGCCAGGACATGGGCATGGCGTTGACGGAGGCTTGGAAGGTGGCGAGGAGGGTGAGGCATTGTACTTGGTGGATGTTGACGTCTTTCAGAGTTGTATAGTGGAGGATTTGAGCGCTAAGATAAGTCAGTAAACGCGCAAAGAAGGGGAGGGCGAGGCGTACCGTTCGTACCATATGACACCGGCCTCGGCTTCACCAGGGAGGACAGTCTCGTGCCCATCGTCCAGACCTTCTTGCGCCTTGTCGGTCTCCCTTGCCCAAGCTCGAGAGTTGACGATGGCCCGCTCGCCCAGGGCAAAGACTGCAAACAGCACAGACACAAACTACAGTCACGTTAGCCCTGTCACGCCCATAGAACGACCTTAACTCACGCCACCGCCCCAAGACAAATCACCGCCCCTCCTCGCCTCCATCAACAACCCAAAGTCTCTCCTAAATTCAAACTCTAGCAGTAACGGCAAGCACGGATGGACGTCTTGAAAAAAAGCATCAATCATCTCCATGGCCTTTTCTCTCGTCGGGTACTGTACTTGGTCGACATCCGGCAGGGCCTTGACTACGCCCGAGCCAGCTACCGGGCCAAAGTATGGGTTGGTATCGCGAGACGTGCTGGGGATGGGAGGCGTGTCGACTGGGAGAGGAGCAGGGTGCGAAGGACCGGGCGTTGGTCGGCCCGAGAAAGAGTCGAGGAGAGAGAGGGTGTTGGAAGAGCCGATCCAGCGATAGTTGCCCCTGTCGTCGGTGGTAATCTGCCCAGCATCCTCGACGTCCGACGTGAGGTGGGCCGAGTCTGGTGGCTCCCCGCCTTCGCCTTCGCCTTCACCTTCGTGCTCGTCCACAGAACCCCCAGAAAGGTTTGGTAGAGGCCCAAACCTTCCCCTTGTGGCGCTGCTCTCGAAAAACTCGAGCATGGGCATGACCCGCGCCTGGATCGTCTCGAGACTCTGCACTCGAGCTTCAAGATTAGCAACATACTGCCGGCTGTACGCTGCTCGGTCCCTCGTCGGCGGGTACGTACACTCGGCGCCTGCCAGAGTACACTGCTGGCACGGGCCGAGGTTGGCCCCGGGGTTGTCGCGGGAGGAGGGCGAGCGAGAGCCAGAGTGGAAAGGGGGGCCGGGCATGCATTTGACCTTTTTGTTGCGGCAGTTGCGGCATGCCGAGAATGCTCTGACAGCATGGGCTGCGTTCTGCTCGACGCTGCTGGAGAAGGAGGGCCGCTTGCCCTTGGGCTTGCTGCTGGCGGAGTGGTCGCGGGGGTCGCCAGGGGGATGGGGGTGGTTGCGGCCGTCCATGGTGGGTGGAGAGTGGCGGGAGGGTTATGAGGGCATGGTGGGAAGAAGGCGGCGTTGTGGGTGAAAGGACTGGTTATGAACGTCTGCAGCCGTGGTGTAGATGCAGATGTGACCGCAGCGAAACTCTATCTCCTCTTTCATCATCTCTGTCTGCCGCCGAGCGCATCTCCTGCCTGCGTAAGCCAGTGATCGGGCTATTCCCACACTGTGTGGTACTGCAGGTACAGGGGGGCAACCATCCCGCTGCATCCATCCTCCATTGCCGGCTTCTTGGCCATCCCTCTCGTCCCCGCCGTGTGCTGCGACACCGCTAATGACGAGCCATCAATCAAGCTCAAGCCTGCAGAATCCACATGGTGTACCCTCCCCAGCCCGCCGCCGCTGGGGGCAACGCGAGATGTCGCTGCGGCAATGGGTCCCAGGGGACAGTGATGGATGGTGGCTGGGGATTGAGATCGAAAGGGGCGTACATGTACAAGCTTCCGGCTATCTTTCTGTCGCTTTGTTGAGTGTTCCTCCTTCTTCTTTCGGTGAATTGGGGAGATTTACCAGGGGAGATTAGCCCAGGGGAAGGGTAACTCGCTCGAGCTGTCCGTGTATGCTGTCTGCTGGACGGCGGCAGTGCGCCGTGACAGGCCCATGGGAACACATGCTCTTCATCTTCTTCAACAAGCTTCACCGTTCCTCTTGGGTACCTCGCTATGCAGGAGCTGCTGGTATCGGCTACCTGGGATACCTGCTACCTCCTGTCACCTTTGACACCCTGGCAACAATGATCCTTCGGCTGATCGCCATCATCCTTCGACGCCATCAGGCCCATCCATCTCTCCTCTCGAGCCTTGTAACTCTTTTTCGCCAATGTCTCACTTGACCCCAGGTTATCCAGGTCGTCACTGTGCTATATTCTGAACCTTCCCCTGTAGTCAACCCTCGAGGACAGACAAGATCGGTGGCGCTCAGGCTTACGCGAGCTGATCATGGTACCCAAACGCCACAGAGGTTGCCATATGGCATATGTATGGTAGGTACGACGATAACATCAAGTGTCTATACAACAGTCTACACACCGTGCCGGTGCCTCTCCATCCAGAAAAAAATCGGCAATCTTCTCTCCTCTCCTCTACGAATACTGCGAGGCGACGATAGACGCTGTCAGTCGTCGAACCTAATACCTCAAGGCTGCTCTCGGATCTCTGTGGCACCATACCCCACATCCTTCCCCTGCCCAACCTCTGCACGCCCATCCCCCTCACCCTCGGGCCCTTCCTCGGCTCTTCCCCCAACAAACTCCCCAAGCGCCTCCTCCTCTTTATCGTCAACCTTCTTGTGCAGTCCTTCCGGTATGAATCCCGTCATCAGTGGCGCTGGCAAGCATATCAGCAGCACCACGATCCATGACAACTGCCGGCCTAGGGTCCACGCGGGGGATTGTGTCGAGATGGAGTATACCCAGCTGTTTGGTTTTCACCACGTTGGTTCCATGTTTGCCGAGGCAGGGAGGCAATGGCGATACGTAGGGGGTAGATGCCGATGATGTTGCCGGGGAGAGATGCGGGGAAAGGTGTAGTTGAGCGCGTGGTGTCGATGCAAGGCACGGAAGGAGGGAAGTGTTATAGCCCCAAGGGAGGGATGTACAGGAAGGGGAAGCGGGTTGTTCAACGTAAGCACTGTATAATCACGTGAGAGTTTGTGGCAGTTGACGTACCCAGAGATGACGGCCCACGGCTCTCCCGGTCGCCTACATTTTCACATCAGCTCAGTGCATTTATTGGCATATGCACCGAGAGGCAGAAGCCTGCGACCTCGACTGAAGTATGAGGAGAGGAAGACTCACCCCAGCAATCAGCACCACCGCACTAGCACTCCCCACCAGCCTGGGATACCCATCCAGCACCGAGTAAATCAAATGATCGTTCTGCGGCCACGCCATACAGTGAAAGTTTTTCATCCCCACCTGGATCACGAGCATCACCCATGTCGGCGCTCTTCCCCAGCCGCCTCCTCTGCCTCTGCCTGGGAGGCAGAGGGTCGCGGCATACTGCGCGACGGGGACGATCAGCGCTTCAAGGGGCATGGTACCGGTGGTGAGGAGCATGCTCTTTTTGAGGCCGTATCGCGCTTCGAGCCAGGGAGAGAGTACGGGCGAGACGAGGATGTAGAGGAGGGAGGAGAGGGAGGATATGAGGCCGATTGTGCGGATGGGGAGGCCGAGGCCGCCGAGGGGGATGGGGGTGTAGGTGTAGATTGTGAAGAGACCTTCGAATGCGAATGTTCCTGCGAGATTGTGAGTTGACTTGCTGGGTGATTGTGTTGAGGCTTACCGAGTTGAAAGACTACATGTATGTCAACTGGGTTTCTTCATCTGTATCAAAAGCAAAGCACTTGCAGCAGAAAATGGTCACAGCGTGCACAAAGTGCGGGACCCGCCAGATGGCTTTGTACTTGTTGACTGGCGTCTCATCCTCGTCATCTTTGCCATGGTCTTTTTTGGTCTGACATTTGCGTGAGTGCTCGATCACACCGGCTGCACGAAAACTCACTTCTTCCAGCATGGACCACGCCACAACACAGACCACCATCGTCCTATCTCCAATCAGCCTTCTTCTCTCTCCAAACTTCGCACTCACAAAACCCCATTCACGATCTCCGGCAAGCGCATCAGGATACACTTGCAACCACGCCCAATCCTGTCCCACCCTCCTTGCAGGCCCCGCAAGCTCCCCACCGAGGAGACTTCCAATGATGATCCCAACAGAAAAGGCGGGCGAGTAGATGGAAAAGATGCGAGCACGGTTCGTCGGGTGCGCGATTTCAACTACAACGGTCTTGGTGAGGACGCCGGTAGGGGTAAAGCCATCTGGACTCCCATGTGTAAGTGAAAGCCAAATCTGGAGGAAAAAGAGCTTACACATAGCCCGCCAGAATATGACCCACCCCACACTCTTCCCAAACCCCGCCACAGCCCCAAACGTCCCCGCCACCGCCACCCCCCAAACCAAACACTTCTTCCTCCCCCACCTATCCCCCGCCCACCCCCACCCCACCGCACAAACAGCTTCCACGGCCATCAAACACCCCTCGGCTAGCCCGGTGTAGAAGCCGATGAGCGTTGGGGGCGGGTGGAGGGAGGTGATGTAGGATGTGATGAAGGGGAAGATGAGCATGTAGGTGGCGGCGTCGGCCATACGCAGCAGGAGGATGGGGAGGAGGAGTGGCCAGGGGAGAGGGGCGGGGCTGGAGGCGGTGTAGGAGGGTTGGCGGAGGAGAGGGGTGGACTGGGATGGCGGCATGGTGGGATGGGTAAGGTAGAGAACAAGTGAGTGGGCTGTTTTTATCTTGTCTTGTTTGGACTGCTCGCCATTCAGGCTGATGCTGCCGGGTTCGGAGTCGGGGCGGGGTGGGGGAGATATGCTCGCCCGATCTGTGTATAGTAGACGATGCCCATGCTAGTGCAGACGAGACGGAATCCAGACCTTTTCGCCAACAGACCAAGTAGTGATGCCGACCACTCTGCGTCGTTTGCGGCGTTCTGAAGCGGCAGAAAAGGGTGCCGAGGTGACATCTGTGGGCACAGGGAGATGCTTGTTGATGGCCCTAGTTACGTCGAATTTCCATTGTCCTCACTCGGCCCTCGGCCCTTGCTGACACGTCTCGACACAGTCGGACACACACACCTTGATCAGAATCCAGATCGTTTCGGATGCTTCTCCCAAGGCACTGTGTACTCGTACATTGTTGTACACGTTGCCTTCTACACGGGTATAATCTTGTATGTCTTTTCTATTTCATGCCACAACTTGACTATTCGATTTCACAACTTGGTACTGGTACAGACACTGATGACTGATCAACTACAACCTCCCGCCCAGCGCGGCAGCCGCATAGCTGACTCTACCCCTCTTCTCCTTCTTGCCCTCCTTCTTCCCCTTCCCCGTCGGCGCAGGAGACGCGAGATCCAGCCTCGACATATCCTCCTCCATCTCCATCTCTCCCAAGACGATCACATCCTCCTCGCCATCACTATCCACATTCTCGTCCCGCTCTTCCTCCCCTTCTTCATCCTCGGCCCGTCCAAACATGGAGACATGCTCCCAATCGTCTTCTCCTTCGGAATCGGAATCGGAAGCAGCGTCGGGATGGAGGTGGGTAGAGAAGAGGGCGGGGGTGGTGGGCGTGGCGGAGAGTGCTGGGGACGCGCGGTCGGGTGCCAGGGCTGGCGCAGTCGACTTGGTACTCGTGAGCAGCCCAGGCTTCGCCTCGCCTTCCATTTCTGGCAAGGCAATAACACTCGGGTTCGGCACGAAATCAAACCCCAACGTTGCCGCCGTCGTAGCTACGCGACGCGTTAGTTTATGCAATAACATTACATTACAGGCAAGACGCGTGAACAGGTGGTGGCTTACCTCGTTTCTCCCGCTTACCCCTGCCATCATTGATCAACCTCTCCAGAGGCACTTCCCGCCGACCATCTCTCTCGTGCACTTCGCCTTCCCCCAGAGGCGACGAAGAAGGCGAAGGCTTCCCGCCTTCCCTTATCAACGCCCCACCGGCCGTCGCCGAAGGCCCAGCAGTCGGGCTGAGCGCACCGAACCTGCCCCCTGCTGATGAAGCGCGCAGTTCAGGCAGGAGCGCCATCTCGGCGCGCCACTCGCCGCTACCAGAGCAGAAAGCGGAGGAGGAAGAAGGTAGAGACTTGCGGGGGACGTTGCTGCCGGGCCTGTTGGTGGACGAGGTGGAGGGGCGGGGGGCGCGGTGGCGGTGGTTGGGGATGGGGCGGGGCGGGATGGGCATTGTAGTAGTAGTTGTAGTTGTGGGTGGGCAGTGGGGGTGAGATTGTAGAGAGGCAGATGAGAATTGGAGATGGAATAGCAGGGGGGTAATGGGACGGCGGGACACGTGTGATAAGGGGACCTGCAGGGTTGTGGTCTGTGCGCGTCGGTGGCGAAGGTCTCCCTTGTGATGTATCCTCCAAACAGGAGCAATTGCATCCATCTCCTCTCCCCTCTCCTGCATCCACCCCGTGAGCCCATCCTGTCCCGATGAGGCAACGACGCGTCCTTATCAGAGTTCAGTGGCAAAACGAGTAAACAAGCCGGACAGCCGAACACTCGCCGAATCCCGTGTCGCGCTTTACCCCGCCTTTACGTTAGCCAACCGTTACTGCGCCCATGACTCGATGGACAAAAGCTGATTGCTATGCATGCTTCACTTTGGCTTCTGCCTTCTTTTTGATTGCCCCATGTACAGATCCCACCCCCAAGATCGTCCCCTATGTACAAGCCCCCGCTACCCGATGATCCTACTCGGACCCCTACTGCCCCTCTTTGAGTGCCAGAATATGCTCATTGATGAAACTCCGCTTCTTCAGCTCTTCAACCGGGATGTGCTTTGCGCCGTACACTTGCCCCAAGCAGTTCTGTAAATCCCCATCAGCCTCCCACTCATTCCGCCATATCACGCAACCCCCCGGCCACGCTCAAAGAGGTGAATGAAGCACTCACGTCGAAACCACAAGCACACTCGAATCCTTGAGCCATGTCCCATTCTGTGCTCGGGTAGAAGAATGTGAGAGCATCGCCCTTCTTGATACCGTTGCCGTGGGAGGCGGCGTGGACGGCCCATTGGGAATGGTCGTCGGGTGGGAGGTGGACTTCGGCTGTGGGCGAGCACGAGTGGTTCACTGGGAGTGTCGTTAGTGGGATCGTCTCAAGGAAAAGGGGGGCGTACTGAATAAGAGATCAGAGTTGAGCTCGAGGTGGTCTCTAGGGCCCGGGCCAAACTGCACGGAAGAATACGCCTTCTCGGGCGCCAACGAGATGTTTGTCAACGGTGTAATCACCTCTCCCGGGCTATAGTCCTATTCCCCCCATCAGCTCCTTGCCCAAATGTGTCCCAAAGAAGGGCATCGGCAAAGGAAAAAATACGTACCCTGACAGCGACCAGCCGACTGGCATACCCTTCCTCCAAACCCTTTCCGGCTGTAAACTCGACGGCAAACAGCTGGGGATGGGTGGCTTCGTAGGTCTTGCCGCCGTACGTGTTGGATAGGGTCGGTTTCGTCCATGCTTGTGGCGGGTTGGCCGGGAGAGCGGGGGTGGGAGCTGTTGCGGTGGGCATGGCTGGGGAATGTTACTGCGGGTAGCGCTTGATGTAGATATAGAGTGGTGAAAGTGCGGGGTGATGGGGGAATGGAGAGAAGTATTCCGCGGTATATATGGGAGTTTTGGAGGTAACGAATAGTCGCAACAGCGAGGATCCAAGACACCTGTGGCTGGCGGGAGGACGGCAAAGGAGAGGCGGTCATAACCGGACGGACCGGAAGGAAGGCCAATCGGGAGGCAGTGACTAACCCTGTCCACGTGGAGGTCGCGGGACCAAATCGCCCATCCTGTTCTCTGAGAGCGTGCAGCAGGAAGGCAGGAAGGTATTGTGTGGGGAGCATTGTGACTGCCAGAGCCATATTCATTAAACTACCTATACTAGATTTCAACTATACTATGCGCATGAAGCGAATATATTTACAAACAACTCTGATTCCATCGCTCTAGATCAAAATCTCCCATCCTTCCTCAATCTCATCCTCGTTGACCCAGACCTCCTCATACTCCTCATCATCATCCACAGCCCTCTCCTCCAGCCCCGCACTCTCGCTCGCACACGCCGTCTCTTCCGATTCGCTCGCACTCTCCGTAGCAGACGCCGTCACGCTCGCCTCAGATGAGGAAGCAGACTCGGTCACGCTGGCGGAAGAAGCAGAGATGGAACCGGTTCCCTCAGAGGCAGAGTATGACGAGTAAGAGGTAGGGATGGTTTCGTTGTAGGTTGTTGACGCGGACTGGGTCTCGACGCTAGAAGCGGAAGACGCAGACTCGGTCGCGGACTGGGATTCAGTTTCGGATGAAGAGGCGTCGCCGCCAACATTGACGGCAAAGCCCTCAGCAAAGCTCGCGGTAGCGCTGGCTTCGGCAGAAGAAGCAGACGCAGTGGCGTTGGTGACGGAAGCGGTGGGAGTACTTCCCTCGCTGTCTGAAACCTCAGAGGAGGAGGCAACAGAAGCAGTACTCTCACTGTCGCTCACATTCGCCACGCTCGCGCTCGCAGTGGGGACGACAGACGAGGAAGCCGACAAGGTTTGGGTGACGTCAATCGTGGTCCAAGCCGTCACGTAGTCGGTCTCGATACCATCTTCGTTCTCGGCCACAGAGACAGAGTCGGAAGAGGTAGGGGAGAGTGTGGTGTTGGAAGCCTGGGTGGAAGAAGCAGTGATGGTGGGGTCGACGGAGGAGGAGGAGGCAGATGGAGACGCGATACCCTCATTCGCAGACTCGCTAGACGATGCCTCGGACTCTGTCGCGCTCGCACTAGAAGAAGGCTTATAGACCGTCATGGACCCTGCCACAGATCCACTTTCAGTCGCACTAGCCTCCTCCTCGCTCGCGCTCACACTCTCGCTGCTCGAAGCAGTCGGCTGAACCACTGTACCGTTGGCCAAAGTCAAGGTAGCAGCGACAGTAGCCGTCTCTGTAGGTGCCACAGTTACAAGCCCATCTCCACTCTCGGTCGCGGTAGCGATCCAAGAATCGAGAGAAGAGGAGGTACCGTTCCCTCCCTCAAGGGAAGGTACCGAACTGTTGACCGAAGAGTTGCCGTAGGTAGAGTTGATGGGAATAGATTCGTTCAAAGGAACGGTCGTGTTTGTGCCGTTCAACGGCGTAGTATAGTCGGGACCAGGGTAGGTAGAGTTGTCATATGGGGCAGTCTCGTTCGCCCAAGGGATAGAAGAGTTGGTACCAGGGTTGGTAGAGTTGTCATATGGGGTAGTCTCGTTCGCCCAAGGGGTAGAAGAGTTGGTGACCGTCTCGTTGGACCAGGAGGATCCCTCATCGTCTGAGGAAGAGCCGCCGTACCAAGGAGGGAAGGGAACCGAAGAAGCAGAGGCAGTAGATTCAGACTCGTAAGAAGCAGTAGAAGAAGGAGTTCCCTCGGAGCTCGCGCTCACACTCGTATCATCACTGCTGTCCTCAGAGTCGTCGGAAGACTGGTCCTCAGAGTCATCGGAAGAAGAATCGTGGTAGGAGGAAGAAGAATGGCCGGGAACAGCGTTGGGGTCCGTAGTGGCACTCGCCGACGCCGCCGAAGCACTCGAAGATGAAGAGGCGCTAGCGGAAGACGAAGTGTCGTCAGAGCTGGAAGAGTCGCCGTAAGAAGAAGAGCTGTGGCCGGGTACCTGGTAAGCGCTGGAGCTAGCAGTAGCTGAAGCCGCCGAAGGGGTAGAAGAAGTTGCCGAAGGAGAAGAGTCGTCTGCCGAGGTTTCGGCTGATTCATCCGCGCTCGAGGAGGTCGTGTCGTCGTCATCAGACGAAGAAGACACACCGGCGCTGGGAGAGGACGAGTCTTCATCACTGGAATCCTCATCGCTGGACTCGTCGCTCGAAGAGCTAGAATCTGTTGATGAAGAAGTGGTGGTGGCGGCGGCAGCAGGAACGTATACGCTCGTGGCGCTCTGCAGGTATGGGTTGGAGTAGCTCGAAGTGGTAGCTGTCGCACCAGCGATATCGGCAGAGGTGGTAATAGGCGCAGATGCGTATTGACTGTCGGCGTCCGAAGAGCTGCCAGAGCTCGATCCGGAAGAGGCCGAGCTGCTAGCGGTAGCACTAGCAGACCAAGTGGGGAAGGCGGTGGCTGTACCGTCGGTACCAATGCGAATGATGTATTCCCATGAACCATCGGCCTCCTACAGTTTTGTCAGTACGAGATCACGTGAAAACAGTAGGGGACTCACTTGAGTAGGCTCAAGAACCACATCCAAAGTCTTTGTAGGCATAGCAGTACCCGAGTAGGCATCCGCATAGCTCTCCGCCGCAGCCTCAATCTGATCCCAATAACTCTCCGCATCCGTCTCATTGCTGGTCTCTCCATCGTCCCCATCATCTCCGTTACCCTCATTTCCATCGTCCTCGTCTCCATCATCATCGCCGCCATCATCCTCGTAGCTCGCCGCCGTCGCACTCGCACTAGCGATCCCACTGTCCGTGCTCGTAGCCGTCACAACTTCCGTCTCTGTCGACGTCTGGGTCACCGTCTCGGGCGAGTACACCGAGTAAGTATACGTCGCATAAGAACCAGTGTTGTTCAGAAGAGCCGAGATGGCCTCGGAAGAGATGTTGTTAGGGCTGGACAGCTGAGTGTCGTACCCCGAGTTGGTGTTGGTCGAGTTGGAGGAAGGAAGGGTCGAGTTGACGGTTTGGGTCGAGTTGGAGTAGTCGGTAGAGTTGGAAGAGGTGTATGAGGAGGTAGAGTTGGATAAGGAGTAATCCGGGTCGGTAGAGTTGGAAGAAGCTGACGGATAGGCGGCCGAGTATGATGACGACTCGGTATAGGACGAGGAAGCGTTGCTCGACCCCGAGCCGCTATCAGACGCCGTGACGTATGAAGTTACGGTGGCACTCTCGGTCACCGTCGACGAACTCGAGCCACTCGCGCTCTCCGTTGCGTTCACCCCCGTGTCCACCGCATCTTCCCTCTTGCCATAGACCTTCCTAAACAGAGGCCTGTGCCGTCTAGAAGGCATGGCCACAGCGGAAGAAGCGATCAGGGGTAGGAGGAGGGCACCGTGCTGGATCTTCATCTTGGAAGATTGTCAAAGGAAAGTGTGTGTGTCGGGTAAATGAAGGTAGCCACCAGGGCTTGAGGTGATTATAGAAGGGGTGTGGAAGAAGCTCTTCGGAGCCGTCGACTAGCGATGTTTGGCCGAAGAGGGGGGAAGGGAAGACTGGTCGTCAAGACGAGTCAAGAAGGGAGGCCGAGAGGGGCTGTAAGGGGGTGGGGTGGTAGAAGTGACTAATGAATGGAGAGGAGAAAGAGGAAGATTTGTCAATTTCTAGTGGTGACTGCATGTTGTTGGAGGACTGCGGTAGTACTATGTTAGTGTGTAAGCGATGAGCAAATGGCTTGTGGGTGGGCCAGACCATCCGAGACGATCAGCAAGGGACGCCCTGTCATCGCGCTCGCCCATTGGAATATTTGGTTCAGAGTTGCAGGGAAATAAATGAGACTTTCAGGAAAAACAGCACGAACGATGCGACATTTCAGATGCCCAAAAATCAGTCACGTGATGGAGTGGAAGTCGCCGCTGATATCGTTACGTAAACCCGACTTGCTTGAATTTCGACCTTTTGTCGAGATGGCCTGAGAGGTATATTCTGGCACGCTCCTATCCTCCATCTGCGGCTATATTTCACAAACCAGAGCTAGATCCGTCAACCTCGGACTGGTCCAACCCCCTGTGTTTCTTTTCCGGCTCGAAAAAGCGCAAAGATCGGCAAGATGTCCTTCGCCTCGTCCTCCCGTACCATTCTCCCCTCCAGGGCGCTCTCCGCCCTCGGTGGCACCCGTGGTGTCCTCCACCGTGCCCGCCCTCCCCGCATGCCCTCAATCCCGTCCCCCCACAACCCCAAAAAGCCCTTACCCACATCCGGCACTTCCCACGCCATCCCTTCTCCCCAGACCCCTTCCGTCCTCACCACCGCCTCCCCTCTCCTCGACTCTCAAGGTCTCGTCTTTCACCACACTCCGCCACCTTCAGCACCGAGCTATAAGGCTGGAGGTGTGCCGGACTTTTTAAAATGGACTGTGGGGAAGCAAGGGGTGAGGCTGAGTGGGGAGGAAGGGGCGAGCAGTAGTGAAGTTGGTGAGAGGGTGTGGTATGGTGAAAAGGTGCAATGGGGAGAGGACGTAGTGCTTAAGATGAGGGAGCTGAGAGCGCAGGGTTTGTCAAGGAAGGAGATCGGTGATGCGTGAGTCGTCAATACTGAGGGGTTGATGCGCCGTCATCTGTCTGCCTCTTGCGACTGCTTCATCTCAAGACTTGCTGACCCCGCCCCATAGCCTCCAAATTCCCTCCGCTCAACACCGTCTCATCCCCCGCTACGCCCCTCTCGCCAAAGACCAAGCTCAGCTCAAAAAGGAGGAGCTGGCGGAGCAAAAGGCCAAGTGGGGATTCAGGAAAAGGACTCTGCGGGGTATCAGGGAGAAGAGGAGGGAGCTCTGGTAGACATTTTGGCGAGACAATGGGACATCAGAGGAGATATGCACAACATATGATCAATATATGAGTATGGCCCTCCTAATGGCAGTTTCTTGAGCTACTTGTACGACATTAGCATCTGGTGATCTTTGATACGTACAGCTCGTGGGAGCCAAGAGACACTTTGCATAGTATACCTGATACGTACGCGCTTTCCACCGGTTCCATCATATCATCAGCTCTTGCCCGCGTTCAGTACTTGCAGTTCATAGCTGTTCAACTTCGTCTCTAATGTTCGCGGAATCAAAAACCTCCACCCTCCGCGCCCAAGTGATCATTGTCCTTCTTGCAGCCTTCTTATCCATCGCTTTCCTTTCCATAAACCTCACAAGCTCGACAAAAATGAAGTGAGCACATACCAGAAGGTGCTCATCTCAGTCGACTGACATATTGCGCGCAGTACGGTCAAGGAGATCAACAGGATCAACGAAAGAGAGCTGGAACTGGGAGTAAAAGGCTCGTGGCATGATGAATACAAAGGTCGGTCTGTCTCTCTCTTACCAAGCAGCTTCTAAACTTGAGGGGTCTTTCCCAAACATCGACGGTATACATGCTGATGCTCGCCTAGACTCGGCGTATATATATATCGGCGGACTGGCATTCGAATTGACAGAAGGCGATGTAATCGCCATCTTCTCGCAGTACGTCTCTCCACCCTCTCACCCTCTTCCACACATCATCTTATACTGACCCCACGGCAGATTCGGCGAGATCATGGACTGCAACCTCATCCGCGACAAAGAAACCGGCAAATCCCGCGGATTCTGTTTCTTGATGTATGAAGACCAGCGAAGCACGGTGTTGGCTGTTGATAATATGAATGGAGCTCAGGTTGTCGGGCGTACGCTTCGAGTGAGTCATTCTCTGTTGTTGTGTGGGGGTAGGGCTGATGGGGAGGTAGGTGGACCATACGAAGAATTACAAGCAGCCTGGAAAGAGGAATGAAGAAGGAGAGTATGAAGAGCCGGAAGGACCGGTCTATAATGCTATGCCTCCTATCCTGTCTGGTGCGTATCAAGATTGACATCTTGAGCCTTGTCTGACTAAGTATTTCCAGACTCGGACGACTCGTCAGAAGAAGAGGAAGCTCAAGACTCGTTGGACGAAGAAGACCCCATGGCCGCCTTCATCCGTGCTGAAAAGAAGGCACAAAAAGCGCTCAAGGGCAAGGGCAAAGATGGAAAGAAGAGGAAACATGAGGGAGAGAGCAAAGAAGAGCGTCGGGCGAGGAAGGAGGCCAAGCGGGCGAAAAAGGAAGGAAAGGGCAAGAAATCTGGTCATAAAGAGAGGGGTGATGAGAGGGAGGACAAGAAGGGTGGGAGGGAAGAGAGGGGAGGCAAGCGGGAGGACGACGGGTTTTGGTCGAAAGGAGCTGCTGCGGATGACTGGCGTCAAGGCCGGTGGGAGCTCGAACGAGAGGAGCGAAATGGTGGTTCCCGGGCTCGAGGCGACGAGCCTCCGTCTCGAAGCCATGGTCGCGAGCCAGAAAGGGATGAGCGTGACAGGAGGCCGGAAAGAGATGAGCGGGATAGACGCGATGAGCGTGAGCGTGACAGTAGGCATGGTCGGGACGATGGGCACAGAAGAGATGACGGGGATAGATACAGGGACGAAAGGCGGTATGACAGGAGGTGAAGAGAGAATACATCATGCAAATGTCATAACATTGGGGATTCTATTGGGGAGCTTCAACCTTGGCCCATTCTTCCGGAGTCATCTTGCGAGCAGAGGTGGGGGTCTCTTCGGCCAGATATCCAAAGTTCTTAGGGTTGGTATAGAACACTGTTCGGATTAGCGGCGACTTTTGGAACAGAGTCACAGTCAACTCACAAATATCGTTCTTCCTCGCAGGCTTTGCGCTCTGAATCTCCCTACCCATAAACTTCTCCGGGTACCATTCCTTCCTCAAACTCAGGTTGTTGTGATAGACCGCCTTCAACTCTCCTCCAGCTGCCAAGATCGCCTTGGCCGCGCTCTTGGAGTATCTCGACAGCTCGAGCTTCAGTGGTGGGAGGGGCAGGGAGGGGTCAACGTCGCCGAGAAGCTTGACGCCGTGGAGATGCGAGAGGCCGTGTACGGCATTGGAACGGGCGATGGTGCCGACGGTGATGGTTTCCGAGGGAGAGATGCGGGATTGAGCGAGCCATGACTGAAGAGTCGCGATGGAGAGGGGAGCGTAGGTTTTAGATGTGCTAATAGTCGTTCAGTCTATGCTGACGATACGTAAAGAGGACACTGACAAGTTGATGAAACCTCTCTTGGGAATTCTCCTGTACAAGGGCGTTTGACCACCTTCGAATCCAAGCCTCACACCCTTTCCATTCCTCGCCTTCTGACCCTTGTGACCACGACCTGATGTTCCACCTTTCTGAGACCCGGGACCACGGCCGTATCTTGTGTCCTATCAAGACGTGAGTTTGTGTGATATGATGAGCTGACGATACGCACGACTTTGGTCGAGCCCCTAGCTGGGGCGAGGTCGCCGAGGTGGACGGCAGTGGAGACAGACCTGCTTCCCGAGGGGATCTGGTCTCTGGAGAAGAGCCTGGTGGTACTTGAGAGGATATTTCTCAACATTCCTCTGAGATAATCGTGGTATAGCTTCAAAACACCAACTGTCAGAAAAACGCAGTTGAATGGGCAAAATTGAATATGCACCCCAGTTTGGAAATTTCGATTCATCTCCTCTTGCAAAACCACCCTTCTCCCGCTCTCTGTCCATCTTTCGAGTGTATGCTTAGAGCCTTCGCAAGAACAGCCCTCGCCTCCAGACTCGCTCCCCTCCGCAACACCCATCAACTCCGATTTCAAGCACCAAAACCCGTTCGGTGGATCAATATGTCTGCTCCCAACGACGCCCCCGCTGCTGCCGCCGAGGCCAACAAGCTCCACAAGGATGAGGTGACCGGCGAGATGGTCTCCAAGTCGTACGTTTACACTATCGTGTGGTATTACTGCAGCTAACGGTCGGGTAGTGAGCTCAAGAAGAGGCAGAAGGAGCGACAGACTGCTGCAAAGAAGGCTGAGAAGGCCGCTGCCAGGCCCGCGCCCGTTCAAAAGGAGAAGAAGGAGGAAGAGCCCGAGCTTGATGCCTCTGTAAGACAAATGCTTCAGACCAAGATCAGCATTGACATAAAGGCAGGCTTTCTACGACATGCGAACCAAGGAGATCCTCAAGCTCCGAGAGACCAAGCAGCCCAACCCTTACCCCCACAAGTTCCATGTCACCTCCGGTGGTGTCCGCAAATTTGTGGAGGACTGGTCCCAGGAGGGCAAGGTTGAGAAGGGCGAGACTGTCACTTTGAACGAGCCCGTAAGTGACTAGACCTGGCGGACGAGCTCGAGCTGATCAGGCTGCAGATCAACCTTTCTGGTCGTGTCTACACTATCCGAGAGAGCGGTTCCAAGCTCAAGTTCTACGACATCAGGCAGGACGGTCAGAAGGTCCAGATCCTTGCCCAGGCCCAGAACGCCCCTTCTCTTGAAGAGTTTGCCGCCGCCCACGCGGTCATCCGACGAGGCGATATCATTGGTGTTACCGGTTTCCCCTCCCGAACCAAGATGGGCGAGCTTTCCCTCTCCATCTCCTCCATCCAGCTCCTCTCCCCTTGTCTCCACCTCCTCCCCGGCCGAGAGGGTCTCGTCGACGTCGAGACCAGGTACAGGAAGCGATACCTCGACTTGATTATGAACCAGACCACTCGAGACATTTTCACCACCAGGTCCAAGGTCATCAATCACATCCGAAGCTACCTCATCGACCGAGACTTCCTCGAAGTCGAGACCCCCATGATGAGCATGATTGCTGGTGGTGCCACCGCCAAGCCCTTTGTCACTCACCACAACGACCTCAAGCTCGACCTTTTCATGCGTATCGCCCCCGAGCTCTACCTCAAGGAGCTCGTCGTCGGTGGTCTTGACCGTGTCTTTGAGATCGGACGTGTCTTCCGAAACGAGCAAATCGACATGACCCACAACCCCGAGTTCTCCATCTGTGAATTCTACATGGCTTACGCCGACATGTATGACCTCATGGACATGACTGAGGAGCTCATCGAGACTTTGGTCAAGAAGGTCACCGGCGGCAGCACCAAGGTGACTTTCCACCCCGAAGGCAGGGGCGAGGGCAAGAAGAGCTATGATGTGGACTTTGCCAGGCCATGGAAGAGGTTTGACATGATTGGAGAGCTTGAGAAGCAATTGAATGTCACCTTCCCTCCTGGAGATACTTTGCACGATGACAATGCCAACAAGTTCCTCCGGGACCTCTGTGCCAAGGTGCGTCCCCTTTCATCGATTGTGATGACCTACTGACTCTGGTCACAGCACAACGTCAAGTGCTCCGAACCCCAGACCAACGCCCGTCTCCTCGACAAGCTCGTCGGCGAGTACATCGAGAACCAATGCGTCAACCCCTCCTTCATCGTCGGCCACCCTCAAGTCATGTCGCCCCTCGCCAAGTACCACCGATCCCGCCCGGGATTGTGTGAGAGGTTTGAGGCGTTCGTGTGCACCAAGGAGATCTGTAACGCGTACACTGAGCTCAACGATCCCTTTGACCAGAGGGAGAGGTTTGAGGAGCAGGTCAGGCAGAAGGATCAGGGTGATGAGGAGGCGCAGGGCGTTGACGAGACTTTCCTCGATGCGTGAGTACTCTTCCCCTTCACTGTGATGGCTCTTGCTGATTCGGTGCAATAGCCTCGAGTACGGTCTTCCTCCCACCGGTGGTTGGGGTCTCGGTATCGACCGACTTGTCATGTTCCTTTCCGACTGCAGCAACATCAAGGAAGTCCTGCTCTTCCCTGCTATGCGACCTATCGTCGCCAACTCTGTTGAGGCTGTGGCGCCCAGTGTGACTGCTACCGAGGCCGCCAAGGAGATCTAAGAAGGCGAATAGAGCAACGGTGCGATGCATAATGATATGACTCATTGGTCTAGCACATCTTCCACCAAGATCCGGCGACCAACTGACTTTATCTATCCACTATCTTGTTCAAGAAGGCCAATACTTCCATCCAGCCTTGCATTTGCAGACGACCAGCTTCGAGTTCTGTTACCTGCCCATCAGCCAGTGTACGGGCACAAGAGACAACACATACCTCTCAGGCTACAACCGTGCGCTCACCACATCCTCTCATATCCCTCCTCAGATCGTCCTCACCCCCAACCCTTCTCCCGTGATAACCGGGTATCTCCATACTCCAGATCTTTGCCCCTTCATCCGTATAACGCGAGACGGGAGCTTGTATGCTGATAAGAGGCTCAAAGAGAGACCATCGGCCGATCTCGCGTTGAAGACCGGTGAGAGCGATGGAGAGAGATTCTTTGAGCGAGACGAGGGTTGGGTGGTTGGGAGTGGCGGCGCCAAAGTTTTGAAAGACAAACTTGGTCCGGAAGCGCCTGTGACTCTGGTTAGTGGATGGTCTGACAGCTGACATGGTCGACAAGACTCACGGTTCGGTGTCCAAAGCTCCCTCTTCATACATCCGACTGACCGCCTCATGCGCCTGATAGAACGCCCGACATCCCTCCCAGATAGAGCATATCTGCTGCGCAGGAAACACCGGATTGACCGGCCTGGCTTCTTTCAGATAACACTCTGGTGCCATGATGACCTTGATCTCCAAAGGCAGCTCGCCTCGGAACGCAGATTCGCTCCAGCGCCATTTGGACATGTCCACATTCCGGAGCTCGAGATAGTCCAACGTGTCCATGAGGGAATAGGCGAAACTGATGACCCAGGACATGTCGGATTTGTGGATCTCGGAGCCTGATTGGAAGCCCTTGGGGATGTCCAGGCAGACCACATGAGCCTCGCCCGTCTCGGTCTTTGACCATCGCCCAAACTTCTGGGCACGCAGAGATTCCATCCATCCCTTGCTCGTGCTTACTGCCGCGACGACTTGGGAAGAAATGTCAAAGACGCACAAGGATGCAAACATGACCTGACGCCAGTCGACATCAAACTTGAAGCCTTCGCCATAGAGCCATGCGCGTATGAGCGGCCATTCGCGGACCATGAGGGTGACGTGATAGAATGCTTGGGGCGACTCAATACGGAGGGACTTGACCCTCGCGAGGAGCTTGGTCTTGTGTGGTATGTCGGGGCTGGTGAATGAGAGGGAAGAGGAAGCGTCAGAGAGGATGAAGGAGGGCGGCGCGACTTCGAGGTCGGTCAAAGCCGTGGGACGCAAAAGGCCATAGAAGAAATGACGATAGTTCTTGTCGGTCAGGACGACGGAGTACTTTTCATACGCCAGTGGCATATTGGCGCTGTAGATCTCGCGGGATATGAGGGAGTGGGAGAAGAGGTGGGCAGGGCAGAGATGGGCGAGGACATGACTGAGGATGATTTCGCGTATCTCGAGGGGGAGTGGGAGCACACCACCGTGATTGAGGGGCGTGTGGGGAAGTCGTTGGTCGATGCAGACACACGACATACTGTGATAGTGGATGGGCGAGAAGGAGGAGGATGGATGCAGTGGGTAGAGTGACTCAATCACATATCAAGAGCCGACCAGGCCGACGCGACGGAGAATCGGCCGACACCGGAGACTAGTTGTTTGGTTCCATCGGTTCTGAGGGTCGATTGCCGCCACTTCAGAATGGCAGAATGTCGGGAAAAAGAATGGCGTTTGGTCACAGGGCCAATCTGAAGAGAACATGTCTCTGTCAATGACTTGATGCTCAGGATCAGAGGAGCTATAATTCAGCTCTGTTCGGCGTTCCGACCTATCAACAACACGGGGCCGCGATGATGGATTGTACTCGTTTGGCTTTTTGCTTGCTGAGCATGCCTTCGGTCAAGCACCACACGGCAAATAAGAGTGGTCAATGAACAGCATCTATGCATTGGACTTTACAAGTTGCCCTTGCCGAAGCACTCCTTCAGGGCGCCCCTCTTCTGAACCTCAACCTCTTCGTCCACCAGAGCATACCTCCACGTCCATTCTGCGGCCTTCTTCAACATCTGAATCGTACACACATGCCCCACATTATCCTGCACATCAATCGCGCAAATCCCGCCCTTCTCTGTCCCATGTTCCACCCAGTCCTCAATCTGCTTGATGTCCCCTTCACCCTGTCCAAACGGGACGAGCTTGTCCTCTTTGCCGTGCATGGTGAGAATCTTCTTTCCCGAGTAGGCTTTCTGCTTGAAGGCGGGATCGCGGAAGGGTTCGATCATTCGTTGGAGAGAAGGAGGGTAGGTGGGAGGGCCCCAGGTAAGGCCGTTGTTGAGAGCGCGGGCGCCGAGGTATTTGGGGAGGGACTCGAAGGGGAGGCCGATGATGGGTATACCAATCTGGACGCGGGGGTCTGTTCATAGTGTCAGCTTCAGTCGCATCATAGGGAGAGGTGGCATACCGTCGTGGAGAAGCTTCCAAGTGACATGACCTCCGAGCGAGATACCTGTGATGACCCACTCCTCCACTGTCAGCTCTCCGTGGGGAAAGAGGTATGCCGGCAAGAAATCCATCAGTAACTGAATATCGTGAACACCTCCCTCTGATAGATTACACGTTAGCGTGGTACAGGTACGATGCTAAGACGTACGAATAGTGGCCGCCATGTCGATACTCGAGGAAAGTCAGCATCCGACATTGACAACGCAAGCTGAAGCGAGCTTACAGATGACGAGGATTTTGGCCAAAAGACAAGTTCGCCGTCTTGTCGACTATTCTCTCGCCATGATTTCGTTGATCCTGAAGCGCCACCCAATGGTAAGTGGGAACGCTTGAGATAAGAGGTCGTGCGACTCACGAGTGTGACAACGACCAGATTACGCTTTTTGTTCGTCTCGCCTTTCTTGGCAACTTCTCCCAGGATCCCCTGGGCAAAGTACTTCATGTTCTTTTGCGAGTTCATTCTCCCATGCGCGGCAATCTGTCCGTAAGGGTCAACTAGGAACCGGGAGGTATTCGGAGGGCACTCACTATCATAGTCAGAGGCTTTTGTTGTTCACAGGCCTCTTTAAGACCATACACATTCACACCGAGACCCACCACCTTTACGTGTGCCACGGAAGGTTCTGTATGCCCTTCGGCAAGGGAAGGGTAATCCATCTTGTCCTGGATGACAGGCGCGCTGGAGGAGCTGGCGTTTGAAGTTGCTGTAGCACCAGACATTTCGTTTTTCGAATCGATTTAAGAGCACAAGTCAGTTGTTCGGACTATGCCAGTCCTCCTGCCGATGTTATACAATGGTTGACTGAGCATTCAAACATCATTCACCATCATCGCTCTCATCCAACCGTCGGTCATGGCCGGTGCCAACCCCATAACGCCGAGTCACCGCGGGATCAAATGGGACTTAGTGAAATGCGGGGCGAGTTGAGATTTGCGGTGTTTGGTTACAAGTACATGTTCAGGAGAGCGCTCCTTTCTCCTCTCATCCATCTCCAACGTCGCCCGTTTACATCGCGCATAAACACCCTCCGCCCGCCTACCTACACTTGCATCCACCCCGTCGCAATGTCCGCTCAAGCTGCCCAGCCAGCTCAGGAAGACATGGCCGTGGTCGCCCCGAACGCAGAGGCCGATCCTGCCAACGTCGCTGCCCATGCCCCGCAAGTTGACGAAGATTCCGAGATGAGCGAAGAGGAGCAGCCATTAAAGAAGACCAATGGCGCCAGGAAGAGAGCGGACAGTAGCGATGAGGAGGAGAAGCCACTCGTAAGCGCGGCACATGCATACTCGCTACGATCGATCGCTGACGCGACGCGTGCCCCAGGCCAAGAAGGTCAAGGCGAATGGTGCAGCAAAGCGACGTGTGGTAGCCAGCAGCGACGAGGAAAGCGACGAACCTCTCTCGGTATGTTGCAGACGCGTCTTTCAACATTGCAACATGGCCCGTGCGCTGACGGACGCGTCGGGCGGTTAAACAGCAAAAAGCGAAACGGACCACCAAGAAGGCTGCTGCTTCTGACTCTGAGGAGGAGGAGAAACCACTGGCGAAGAAGGCGACCAACGGCAAGAGCAAGGTCAAGAAGGAAATCCCTGCTAGCTCCCCTCCTGTAGAATCCTCCGAGGAGGAACAAAAGTTTCTGGCCAAGAAACCCGCTCGACGCGCCTCAACAAAAAAGGCTGTAAAGGAAGAGAGTGGTTCCGAAGATTCTGAAGATGAGAAGCCCGCCAAGAAGAAGCCTGCCAAGCGCGCTCCCGCTAAAAAGGTCAAGAAGGAGGAGACAAAATCAGAGGAAGAGGAAAAGCCCCTGGCGAAGAAGGGCAAGGCCGCTACAAAGAAGGAGGCTGTCAAATCAGAGAAAGGCGGGAAGAAGAAGACAAAGAAGGAAGAGTGCGTAGCTCCACAAACCATAAGCGCCGAGCTGACATGGCAGTAGGGAAGAGGAAGAAGACAAGTACAAATGGTGGGAAGAGCAAGATGCTATGGGCGATGGTTCTGTCAAATGGACCGTCCTTCAGCACAACGGTGTCTTGTTCCCTCCTCCATATGTCCCTCTCCCCAAGAACGTCAAGATGAAGTATGATGGTCAGCCTTACTGCATTTGAATTGATGGAATATGCTAACATGCTTACAGGTGTCCCTCTTACCCTTCCTCCCGAGACCGAAGAAGTCGCCGGCTTCTTTGGTGCCCTTCTCGAAACCGATCACGCTCAGGATGAAAAGTTTCAAGAAAACTTCTTCCGCGACTTCAAAGAGATTGCTGCAAAGTTCCCGCCAGAAGAACCCGTCAAGATCAAGAGCTTTGAAAAGTGTGACTTTAGGCCGATGTTTGAGTACTTTGAGAAGGAAAAGGAGAAGAAGAAGGCGATGACCAAGGATGAGAAGAAGGCGTGAGTACCTTTGGGACTCCGGACCGACATCGCTGACGCGTTGGAAAGCATCAAGGAGGAAAAGGACAAGCTGGAAGCGCCGTACCTCTTTGCCAACGTAGATGGAAGACAAGAGAAGCTCGGTAACTTCCGTGCCGAACCTCCTGGATTGTTCAAGGGTCGTGGTGAACACCCAAAGAAGGGCACGGTCAAGAACCGTCTCCGACCCGAGGACATCATCTTGAATATCGGCAAAGAGGCGACTATCCCGATTCCCAATGTTCCCGGTGAATGGAAGGGTGTTCAGCATGATAACACTGTCACTTGGCTCGCCTACTGGAAGGAGAACGTGAATGGAAACACGAAATATGTGTTCTTGAGCGCTGGTAGTGCTTGGAAGGGTCAGAGTGATCGTGCCAAGTTTGAAAAGGCTCGAGAGCTTATTGTAAGTCTCACATATCACGCGCTTGTCAGATGCTCATCAGCTGCACAGAAACACGTCGATCAAATCCGAAAAGACTACACAAACGACCTCAAGTCCAAGGTCATGGCCGACCGTCAACGTGCTACCGCTCTCTACTTTATCGATATCCTCGCTCTGCGTGCTGGTAACGAAAAAGGTGAAGACGAGGCAGACACTGTCGGTTGTTGTTCCTTGCGATACGAGCACGTCACGCTGCAACCTCCTAATACCCTGATCTTTGATTTCTTGGGTAAGGATTCGATGAGATTCCATCAGGTCGTGGAGGTCACCCCTCAGGTGTTTAAGAATATCAAGTTGTTCAAGGCTGAACCCAAGAAGAAGGGCGACGATATCTTTGACCGATTGACTGTGCGTATCTATGATGATTTGCGATGAGCCAAGCTGATTCTGTTCAGACTTCGCTTGTGAACAAGCATCTCAATAGCATGATGCCTGGTCTCACCGCCAAGGTCTTCCGTACCTACAACGCCTCTTGGACTTTCCAACAGCAATTGGACAAGAACACTCCCGAGAAGGGCACCGTGGCTGAAAAGATTGCTGCCTACAATGATGCGAACAGAGATGTCGCCATTCTGTGTAACCATCAAAAGAGTGTCAGCAAGGGCTTTGACAGTAGTTTCGCGAAGGCTGAGGACAAGGTCAGTGAAGTATTAGTAATGTTGAGTGCCAGGCTGACTGTTTTGTAGCTCCGAGCCCTCAAGTACCAGCGTATGAAGCTTCGCCTCCAGCTTTTCGCCATCGACCCCAAGCTGAAAAAGAAGCACAAGGAGCTCGCCGAGGATGAGTCGGACGTGGACGACGAGTTTATCGAACGACACGAGGAGGAGCTGTTAGAGAAGGCTTTGGAGACTGCCAAAAAGAAGTTTGACACGGATAATGTCAAGGCTGAGAAGGATGACAAGCCGAAGAGGAAGAAGAAGGATTTGGAGGAGAGGCTGGACGAGATCAAGGCGGAGTTTAAGGAGTTGAAGAAGGAGCGAAAGTCGAAGAAGATCGAGCCGAAGAGAGGCGGTGAGTCATCGCAACTGTCACTCCTGAAAGAGCTCATGTTCTTGTCAGCTACGGAGGACAAGCTCCTCGCCCAGATCTCCAAGATGGACGAACGGATCGCCACAAGCAAGGTGCAGCTTCGGGACCGAGCAAACCTCAAGGATGTTGCCCTTGGTACCTCCAAGATCAACTATATCGACCCCCGGTTGACTGTTGCCTGGGCCAAGAAGTATGAGGTGCCTCTTGAGAAGCTCTTCTCTAAGACATTGTACGTGTCGGTCTCAAAGTTGGAGCGTGCCACGCTGACGGTAGTTGTAGGCGCGAAAAGTTCCCCTGGGCTGAGGCCGAGGCTGGTCCCGACTGGAGATTCTAAACTGAAAGACCTTGTTGGCTGTCTTTTTTGGTGCAGCTCTGCGCTCATATAAAAATCAAATACATTACATCTAGCATATACCGCTCTACAATTGAGTCTAGGGTCTGGCATTCATATATCGGAATAGGTTGATTTGCATGCACATGTTGTTCCAGTTGTTCTACCGCGAGAGAGTCGGAGCAGACGCGTAAATCGGGAGTGCCTTAGAGCCCCTCGCGTCTCGGTGTCAGCGTCGTCAAGCGTCCATAGATGTTCTTGATTCCTGTTCTCACTCATTTTCATTTGTCTACGGATACCTGACATGTCTATACGGCTACAATAATGGCAGACTACAAGGCGGCTAAAGAGGCATTTGTCTCTGACAATCTCGGCGCCTCCGTTTCGAGCATCAACGCCGTCAGCCTGCCTGCGCTGGTGAGTGCTCTTAGCATCCGTATACAGCGCTGACTAGGGATGACAGGCCACATATGCCATCTGGATCACACTTTCGCCACACCTCGCCCGATCCGGGTTTGCCTCGAATTACCTTCTGAATGCCCTGCCGATCCTCCTCGGCGTCACCGTCTTCGCTACATCTCCTATAATCTACACCTGTGCTTTGACACTACTCGCACTCCTATTCCACACCAGATCCCAGTCATCCCTAAAGCAGAGCACAAAGCAGCTCAAGTCGAAGGGCCAATGGCTGGACGAATCCGACTCGGATGAAGAGGCCGCCGAGCCTGCTTCGGCAAGCGGCTCGACTACAGTGTCGCCAGTGAGGCTTCCTTCCCAAGTCGCCTTCTCATCAGGCGTTTTACTATCGCCAGAGTCCGCGTCTCCCATATCGCCTGGATCTCCGGCTGGCTCAGCCCAGGAAGATCCTCTAGGGATTATGGGGGTCAACAGGAGACGATCTCTACAGCCGGGCGGAGAAGGGTACGCATTCGACCCTCTTTTGAAGGGGCGGATATCGCCAGTACCTCTACGCCTTGGCAAGCCTCGGAAGAGAAAGGTGGAGGAGAAGGAGGAAACGGGAGCGAAACCGAGACTGCCATTCTTGACCGTCTATCGGGCGCATATGATGCTCATGACGGTCATCTGTATTTTGGCGGTGGACTTTGAGGTGTTTCCAAGGTGGCAGGGCAAGTGCGAGCAATTTGGAACTAGTCTGGTAAGCTACTTGTATCGGTCAATGTGGTAGCTGACGGCTGTAGATGGACGTGGGCGTCGGATCCTTCGTCTTCTCCCTAGGCCTCATCTCCACCAAAACACTCTCACCTCCCCCACCTGCTCCCCTCCCCACTTCCCCGGCTATGAACTCCTTCGCCTTGAATACCACTCCCTCATCCATGACCTCCATCATCACCTCTCTCCGCAAATCAGTTCCCATCCTCGTTTTGGGCTTCCTCAGGCTCATCATGGTCAAGGGTAGCGACTATCCCGAGCATGTCACCGAGTACGGAGTCCACTGGAACTTTTTCTTCACTCTGGCTCTCGTACCTGTGCTTGCTGTGGGAGTGAGGCCTTTGACTCGATGGCTCAAGTGGAGCTGGATCGGTGTGATTGTGTCGTTGTCGCATCAAGCGGTACTGCATCACTATGTCCAGGACCTTGTACTCTCCCCCGTCCGTTCAAACCTTCTTCTCGCCAACAAAGAAGGCCTAGCTTCTCTCCCTGGATACCTCGCCATTTTTCTCCTTGGTCTTGCCACTGGCGACCACGTCCTGCGGTTATCGCTGCCTCCTCGAGGAAGGACAGTGTCGGAGAATGAAGAAGAACATGAACAGAGTCACATGGAGAGAAAGACTCTGGACTTGATCATGGAGCTGGTCGGATATAGTGTTGGATGGTGGTCCCTGTTAGGACTCTGGCTGTTTGCAGGAGGCGAAGTCTCACGTCAAATGGTGAGGGTCGTCTTTCTCTCTACTGGCCTATGCTGACGACTTTCCCAGGCTAATACACCATACGTCCTCTGGGTAGCAGCCTACAACACCTCCTTCCTCCTCGGCTATCTTCTTCTCTCGCACTTCCTCCCGACCCAACCTACATCCTCAAGCTCCAGCTCCCCTTCATCCGTCCCGCCCTTGCTCGAAGCAATGAACAAGAACAGCTTGGTCATTTTTCTCGTTGCCAATCTCTTGACGGGGCTGGTGAATGTGACGATGGAGACGATGTATGTGGGCAAGTGGGTGGCGATGGGGGTGTTGGGGGTGTATACTGCGGGGGTGGCGTGGGTTGGGTGGGCGTTGAAGGGGAAAAGGATTCAGTTAACGTGATATGGAATCATGAACACGTCCTGAATATCCAACTCGGGGTCCATGTGGGGGCGGTCGCGTATAGCTGTTGTCTTTACGCGGCGCAGACTGATTCCAAACATGCGTCCCTGCATTCTCTTCTAACTGCAACAGATCATATACATACCTGAAGTATCTAATACACTACTCGGCTCCTCAAGCTGAATGGTGTCATACCCCAGTGCACTTGACTTGATACAGCCCATCAGTAGTGTTTGTCAACCCTTCGGATGGCTTTACGGTTGCGCTTGCCGTGGGACTCGCAGTCACCGAGGCAATACACTGACGGTCGACATGAGCTTACAATGTAATCTGATCAAGAAACGAGGCTTACCTCAATGATCTTGGTCGCAGAGTGCGTTTCCTATGCGTCGTCCACCTGGTACCCAGCAGACGTTGCAGGCGGTTCAAAGTAACTCACTCTAAACGTCTCTTGCTTATAATCCTCCGGCTCATAGAACTTGAACTCGACATCCCCTGGCCCAAGAAGTCCGTAAGGTCTCTTTTGCCCTTCCTCGTCTCCGTTCGCATTATGGGACTGCAATTGACTGTACTCGTCGTCAACGCGGATGTCGAGCGTCGGGTGATCGTTCGACGCGGCGATTTGTGACTCGATCAACGTTTGGACCTGTTCGTCGAATGGGGCAGAGTATGAGAAGGGCAAGGTGGTAGCAAGGGCAAGCAAGAAGGATGGAACGAGCCTGTTGGAGAACATCACGATGTTTGTTGATGTGGGGTGAAAGATTGTGATAAAGTAAGCTACTTGCACGGGACAAGACTATCTCAGCGCCGGGCGATGTAGAGATAGAGCAGTCAATCGGTGGTCAGCTTATGTACACTTCCAGCACGCCACCCTCTTTTCATCAGCGAGTAAAGATGCTGATACCCGAAGCACAAAAGTAGCAGCACCATAACGTTTGATTTGCCTTGGCATGATCCTTCAACATGTTCTTCTTTTGATCATTGTTCAGTCTTTCCTTCCAAGCTTGAGTGAACGAACGCAATCAACCTGATTCACAAAGGACTTTACCAGTGTCTTTTAGCATAGTGATAGTCAACGTGTGATGGCGATATCTGCGGGCGACAGTGTCTGGGGCTTCATATGGGGATTACGGTGAAAGGATACATGTACACATCAAATCGATCTTTATTGTTTTCTACACCTCAGTCGTATGATACATATTCTATATTCACATAATAACTGGCAACAATAGGGTATGTTCCACCTCCTCAACTTAGACCCCGGTACATTTGATCTCGAAAGCCTCGGTGGTGGTCGTCATGTCGGGTACCGGGGTCACATACACATCCTCCGTAGGACTGGCCGTGGCAGAAGCGACACACTTGACATTCGCACACTTCTCGTCAGCCAACGCCCCACAAGGACAAAGTACAGATAGTGGACCTACCTCAATGAAGCTCGTAGGATCCCCCGTCTTCCAAGCCGAAACCGCCACCTGCCCATCCTCACCCGTCGCCGAAGCATCCGCCACACTCTTATAATAACTAACCCTAAACGTCTCCGACGTGTACCCATTCGAAGCGTAAAACCCAAAAGCGACATCGTTCGGCCCATCCACACCGTAAGGCCGCTTTTCCTCTTGCCCGGTGCCTTCGCCGTTGTCGTTGGAGTGCAGGGAGGAGAAGCGGTTGGCGACAACAAAGAGGGAGGGGGCTGCGGTGGGCGTGCTGGATGTGCTGGGCGTGCTAGATGTGCTGGGTGTGCTGGTGTCTTTGAATGCGGCGGGGATGGTGGCGCCGACGTAGCTGGTGGTGTCGGAGGATTTTGCGGCGGAGGAAGAGGAGGCTGCTAGAGCCATGGGCAGGAGAGCGAGGAGGAGAGCGCGGGTGATGGAGAACATTCTTGATGAGGATTATGTCGCTTGGTACTAGTTACAAGTATCTGTATGGTGGGAGGTCCACCATGCGCCGATGGTCGGCTCTTATAGCAGTACAGTCGTATCCGTAGATGAGTCTGAAACAGAATGTGTCCACCTCCTACCCCTCGTGCCACCATCGAGCCGTGGTATGTCAAAGGAATCTCGCAACGAGCGACAAGCTCACGAGCACAAAGGCATGAAGGGTGATAGGATTACCGACTCGCTACCGGGGACTTTTGCTTTACTTTAGCAATGACAACATCCCCACACTCGATCGTCAATTGGCAAAAAAGAAAGACGTGTCATTATGCTACATGTGATGAGCCCTCACTCGAGCTCCTTTCAGACAAACAGACCAACGCGTCACGCATCTGATCGTCCTTTCCGTGATAGGGTCTATTATTGATCATGCACCCACCCGCCCCCGGCCTTTCTCCGCCTACTTGGCTCCCGAATACCGCATGACCCCCTCCCAAACCATCAGAGCAGCAGCATTCGTCGGGAACGCTCGGACTACTACTGGTACAAAGCCCTACAAGTACTCTCACATCAGCCATGATTGCCTAACTAACCAAGAGGGAAGAGGAGAGGGAAAATGGAGAGGGGGGACGTACACGGAATAGAGTCCGCCATCTCGCAGCGGCATTCCAGCCGAAACCCTTTGAAGGGTCATACGTCTCCATCCAGACTTTCTTGTATGCGTCGAATACGCCTTTGTATTTTGGGTTTTTGATGTCGTCGGCTATTATTGTCACAAAGCATCAGCCCTCAATCCCGCAGTTGCGCTGAAGACGTGAAGAAGGGGTGAGGACTTGCCCATGATACGGTTCTTGACATTGTCCGTTGCTATGTAGTGCCCATATCAGCGATTCGCGTGTTCAGAGGAGAGGGGAAGAAGAAGAAGAAGAGAAGAGAAGAAGGGGCGTACGTAGAGCGGCTATCCAGTAGACGTTTGACGCGAGACCGCCCGCGAGAAAATTGGCTAGCTCGGTGGGGATCTCCCAGCTCGTGCCGTCCCACGACTTGAACATCCTATTCAGGATCTCAAAACCTAAAGTATCACCACCCATCAGCCCCATTCCTCACCCCCCTGTAAGATGAGTTGAACGACTCACTTCCAAACATGGCCGCATGATAACTCCTAAACATCAAACTCGCCCCCCACCCCCTCCACATCCCAAAAAACACACCTTGCTCCTGTACCGTCTGCCGGATGACGTCCAGGGGGCCGGAGTAGAGTTTGGGGATGTGGGCGGGACGGGCGAGTTGGAGTTGGAGTTTGCATTTGACTATTTCGGAGGGGTGGCAGACGACGGAGCTGGTGTAATGTGTTAGGTTGTTGTCTGGTGAGAAGGGAGAAGGAGAAGGAGGGGGAGGGGAAGGGGGGCGTACTTTGTCCAGCCGGCAAAGAGACCAGCGACGGCGTGGCCGAGGATGGATAACCGTTCGTTGTCTGTTCCCGGTATACGTTCCTCAAATCCATGACCCAAAAGGAAGGCTCGATAGTTGTGCACGCTTTGACCCACCGTCAGCTTGCAGCTTGCCAGTATTAACGGAGTACTCACCTCCCCATCAGAAGCGCGTCGGTTATGGGCCATGTCATTGCTGGTATACTCGCTCCCTTGTAAAGAGCTCTCGGTCCCTGGCGTACAGCGTGAGTCAAGATAGAAGGTATGGGACAAGGTCTGGAAACATACTTCTTTGCTGACTGTTTTGGTAAAGCAGTCCCAAGCGCCTTTGTAGTAGCCTGGAGGTGTACATTGCAGTCGCGTTTCTATAGCTTCCGTCAGTATCGCCTCATGCGGCTGAACATGTTGTACTTGCTTATCGTATCAGGCGGCTGACCGACAACGAGCTAGAACAGAGAATCGCTTAGTGACTTGAAGCATAGCTAGCCATCAAAGAGTTCATACCTTTGTCCATCTATCGAGATGTAAGCTTCATCCATGAACGATTCCAGAAAAGACGAAACATAACATACCCCGACAGGATACCAGCAGCGAATCCAGCATACGGTGAATGCGGTTTCCCCTCGGCCGCCTCGATAGCCTGCCTCTCTTCTCCCAGGGGTATGTCTGAGAAGATGTCGGGGTCGGAGAGTGCCTCTGGGTGTTTGTGCATGGCGTTTGAGACCGCGATGATCCCCTGGGGCGAGCTGTATGGACCAAGTCGAGTACAAGAAAGAGTCGGCCGGGCCGGTGTGCCTCCACTTTGTGCCTTGCCAGTTAAGCGCAGACGCATTAGCAGATCGGGACAGTGCATTAGGGTGATTACTAGCAAATGTGATGGCCGCGATTGGCTGGTGTGCATCGGGGAGAATCGGAGATAGCGTCGGGGGATGCCGCGGTGGGTATTTGTGATTTCGGTGTCTCTCTCACTCTCCACCACTCCGCCATGCTCGCCCTCACCCGTGCCAGAGCCATCGCCCGCCCCGTCAACAGGTCTCTCACAAGGGGCTACGTTGCCGCCTCCCAGACTCACCGCGCTACTGAGGCCCCCGTAAGTCGAATTCGCCCATCGGCGGGTTAGCCGGCGCGTGTATCTTGCGTGGGAGAAGGGGGACCGAGGGAGAGGAGAGGAGATGGGAGGGGGCTATGGGGCATGAAGATGTCTGATGAGTGAATAAAGCTGACTTGCATGCAGAACTTTGGCCAAAAGAAGGGTTACCCAATCATCGACCATGAATTTGACGCCGTCGTCGTGTGAGTCCATTCACCGTATATTCGCTTCAGCAGGGATCATGAAGGGGCAAGAGGGTGACCAGGACGAGGCCGCCCACGAACGATATCCAGATTGAGCAAAGTCGTGGCGAAAATGGAGCGGAAGGCGATCATCGCGAAATTTGGCGGCCTCTTGAAATTACCGAGTGCCCTGTCATTTGGAGCCACGGCGAGGTGAAGAGAATTGGCGGAAGAGCCGATTTGAGGAGTTGTCGCGAGAGCAACGAGAGCGGGGTAGCGATCCTCCCTCCAGGAGATGCGTCGCAAGGACTTCGCAGGCCCGATCTATCTCTGAAGAATACAAGATCAAGATCGAATGCTAACCTCCCATAGTGGTGCTGGTGGTGCCGGTCTCCGAGCTGCTTTCGGTCTTGGTGAGTCGTGCCCCGGAGTATCTTGAACGACCCTGACATGACATAGCCGAGGGTGGCCTCAAAACTGCTTGTATCACCAAGCTCTTCCCTACCCGATCCCACACCGTCGCCGCCCAAGGTGGTGTCAATGCCGCTCTCGGCAACATGACCGAGGACGATTGGAGATGGCACATGTACGACACTGTCAAGGGTTCCGATTGGTTGGGTGACCAGGACGCTATCCATTACATGTGTCGAGAAGCTCCCCACACTGTCGTCGAGGTGAGTCTTGCGATCATCATAATAAAAGAGGGCGCTGACAAGACGGCAGCTCGAACACTACGGTGTCCCCTTCTCCCGAACCAAGGAGGGCAAGATCTACCAGCGAGCTTTCGGTGGTCAATCATTGCAATTCGGCAAGGGTGGTCAGGCTTACCGATGTGCCGCCGCTGCCGACCGAACCGGCCACGCCATCCTCCACACCCTCTACGGCCAATCCCTCCGACACAACACCAACTTTTTCATCGAATACTTTGCCGTCGACCTCTTGATGCAGGACGGCGAGTGTGTCGGTGTCCTCGCCATCAACATGGAAGACGGTACCCTCCACAGGTTCCGTTCCCACAAGACCGTGCTGGCTACCGGTGGTTACGGCCGAGCATACTTTTCTTGTACCTCTGCCCACACCTGTTCCGGTGATGGTAACGCCATGGTCGTCCGAGCTGGCCTGCCGCTGCAAGATTTGGAGTTTGTCCAGTTCCACCCGACCGGTATCTACGGTGCCGGTTGTCTGATTACCGAGGGTTCTCGAGGTGAGGGTGGTTACCTCGTCAACTCTGAGGGCGAGCGATTCATGGAGCGATACGCCCCCACCGCCAAGGATCTCGCTTCCCGCGACGTCGTCTCCCGCTCCATGACCCTCGAAATCCGCGAAGGCCGCGGTGTCGGGCCCGAAAAGGACCACATCTACCTCCAGCTCTCCCACCTGCCCCCCGCGCTCTTGCACGAGCGACTCCCCGGTATCTCTGAGACCGCCGCCATCTTTGCCGGTGTCGACGTCACCAAGGAGCCCATCCCCGTGCTTCCCACCGTGCACTACAACATGGGCGGTATCCCCACGAAATACACGGGTGAAGTGCTCACCGTCGACGAGCAGGGCAAGGACAAGGTCGTGCCCGGTCTTTACGCGGCGGGCGAAGCGGCGTGTGTGTCGGTGCACGGCGCGAACAGGTTGGGCGCGAATTCGTTGCTTGATATCGTCGTCTTTGGCCGGGCGTGTGCGAACCACATCAGGGAGACGCTTACGCCCAACACGCCCCACAAGCCGATGAACCCCGAGCTCGGCAAGGAGTCGATTGACAATTTGGACAAGATTAGGAATGCTAGTGGACCTTTGCCCACGAGTCAGATCAGGCTCAACATGCAAAAGACTATGCAAACGGAGGCTGCCGTCTTCCGGTAAGTCCATCATACTTCGAGAAGGGACTAAAGCTGATGGTCATCGTAGAACGCAAGAGTCTTTGGATGCTGGTGTTGCGCAGATGAAGGAGGTGTACAAGTCTTACGACCAAGTTGGTATCAAGGACCGAAGCATGATCTGGAACTCGTACGTCCCCCTCCCAACCGTAATTCGTGTGATATTGATATGGCGATTAGTGATCTTATCGAGACCCTCGAACTCCGAAACATTCAACAATGTGCTATGCAGACTGTCGTTTCCGCCGCCGCCCGAAAGGAATCTCGAGGTGCCCATGCCCGAGAGGACTACCCCGACCGAGACGAGTACGTCCCCCCCCCTTCCCTTCCCCCTTTTCCCATTCCCCATCCCGCCTCTTGAGCTGGAGCTGACCATTGGCCAACAGCGAGTCCTGGATGAAGCACACCCTCTCTTTCCAACACGACCCCGAATCACCAGAAGTCGAGCTTCAGTACCGAGGTGTCATTGATACTACTTTGGACACGAACGAGTGCAAGCCTGTGCCTCCTTTCAAGCGTACTTACTAAGCGCGCCAGAGAAGGCGAACGTGGTTGGGGTGAAAACAAATCGGATGGTGGATGTTGGAGATGTGACAGGCTGGAAGTGAGGAGAGGGGAGGAAGGCAGGAGAGTCTTGGTGTCTTGGGGTGTAGGACGGGAGAATGTCCTTGAGACTTGAGAGTCTGGGCAGAGGGTAGTGGCTTTCATTCTTTTTTTATGGTGCCCCTGTCTTGACAATCACCGTGTACGGATAATTGAGCTTATGCATTTCGCATTAACGACCCTCGGACAGGTTTCAGCTTCTCAGAGTGGATCCTCATGGCAGTGGACCCTTCCCTTTCTTCTTTGCCTTTCATCCTCGGGCGTAATGAATGTAAGAGCCACAGACAATGGATATGAGAAAGGATGACTTCACTCGGGTTGGTAGATGTGACAAAGGGTTCGCTTCATCTCTCAGGAGCAGGTGGTCAATGAAAAAGACGATTCATCTTCCTTTTGTAAATCAGGCTCGAACTACCACTTACAATGGGTGCTGCCCATGCCCCTGCCCTGATATGGCGTTTCAAATACCAGAATGAAGCCTATAAATGGTAAGTGAGTCTCGTTATCTGCGAGTTGAGGCTGATAGAGAACAACGATAGCATAACGTCATACCAACGACCCCAAGACAAGTCACCCGTCGCCCGTAATTATGCTCGCTCAAAAAGCTCTCACCCCTGCTGTCCTGCTCGCCATCCTGCCCTTCTCCCTGGCAGCTCCGGCATCTGACCCGTCGAGTGTTCTCGTATCTTCATCAGTCGCTGCCCCGATCTCCTCCTCCTCTTCTAGCTCTGACGAACCAGCGCCTTCACTCTATATCCGGCTGGACCCTTTCTCTACCATCCAATCTCACAATGACAACGAAGGAGATGGTGACGGCCAGAAAAGATCTTATGGGCTGGACGGTCCTGGAGACATTGCATTCGCGTTCGGCGATCCAGAAGATTACACGGCGGAAACCTTTTGGGTGAGGTACTATAAGACGGCAGGCGTCGATCCTTCTGTGACTGGAAAGTTTGAGATACCCGATCCTACTGTCTGGGCCACAGGCAACCCTACTACTGTCGTACAAGTAAGTTTTTTGCTTTTGGGAAATGTCCTAATCGGGATGATTGACCGAAACCTTGTGAAGTGTGTCGCGACCGCCACTGCAAGCTCCAAAGAGGACGCGGATGTCGTCCCCGTGCCCGGTCTCTCCACCACTACTGGAGCGTACCAAGTCAAATGTTCTGGACTTGCAGAGTAGTCGCCCTAAATCGTTATATGTGAAGATGCCCGAGGTTTCTATGCTTGAAGTTATTAGAGTGTTTAGTATGGCCATATCGATGCAGCTTTCTGTAAGGATCCAGTGGTCAGGTCCCGGGGCGCGAGTTAACAAGTCCAAATACCAACATATGCATCATGATTACAGGGTTAGAATTGTGATGCAGTGACTTTGCTGCTCATTCACTTAATTGATCCAACTTGGTATCTAGGTCCTTTCCTGGTCCTTTCACTTTCTTACAAATGATCCTCTGCTACCGCCACCTAGCGTTCCACTGGTACAAAATCACATGCAGCTGTCCGATGGCCCATATGTCAGGCCTTACCTGTTGCACAAAGATTTGTCACAAAAGAGAGCAAAGTCAAAGATCATAGGAGGTGACTCGCAATAGGCTCCGGACTCAACTGAAGAACAACGGAGACGGGCAAATGTTACATGCTGACCCCTTGATTGTGGCTCGTCGCCCTGTCATTCGTGTCAGACAGCTGAACAATGGGCATCAATAGAGCAAGCACATCAGATCAAAGCCTGTTGGTCTACCATTCAGGTGCTGTCAGGTTTGAACAATACCCCTCGTGAGCCCTTTATACCACAACCCGAAGTACTCGCTACCGGTGTTACCCTTCCTTTCTCGCTGAGGACCACTCCTGAATCCGAGCCCGGAGGTATGTACATTCTAGAAGCGCCTATGGATCGGATCGGTAGATATAAAAGGTGAAAGCTCAACCGGTTTCTAGAGCAGCTATCTCAAGTTAATCGAACTCTTCAGCCTGGCGCTACAGTAACATACTCTCTTATTACAATCGACTAAGACCGATCAACCATCGAACACCCTCTTTTCGCGTAGACATACCTATATAGCACAAACTCAAGTCTTCAACATGTTCTTCTCTCACGCTTCCGTGCTTCCTGCTTTGCTTCTCGCAGTGCTTCCTGCTCTCGCGGCGCCAGCCTCGAGTGCTTCCGCGTCGCCCTCTGCAACCGTTGGAACTACCAGTGCAGTGACTGCTGGGAGCGCTGGGAGCAGCTCATCCGGGGCATCCGCTGCTCAAGTCACTCCTGCTTTCTGGGTCGACATCGAAGAGTTTGCAAAGCTACACTCGGATGACAAGAACGAAGGCTCTGGCGATGGCCAAAAGCGACCCTACGGCATCACTGGACCCAATGCTGTCAAGTTCAAGTTTAACGGGGATGACTACAAGGAGGAGACCTTCAAGATCAGCTACTACAAGTCCTCTTCCTGGTCCATGCCGTCGGGCACTTACAACCCCGAGGCGTGGACGACCGCCAGCGGGACTGCCACCAAAGTCATTGAGGTGAGCGGTCGTCTTCCGCTAGCATCAGTACTTTGCTGATCTCTCATCATAGTGTGTCGCCACCGCGAGCGCTAGCTTGACCGAGAACGCTTGGCTGGTTCCGACCCCGGACATTTCGACCACTACAGGTGGTGTGGGTATCAAGTGCACTGATTCCGCCTGAGCAGCGCGCAAAGTACTCCTGATCCAGCAATAATAGCTTCGATAATCTGTATAGAGTATGAGAAGTCTAGCATGTATATGTTGCCTCTTGTACACCGCGATCGAGTGATGACGAGATGAGTACAGAGCCGTCGTCCACGATGTCTCGCTGGGAGGTACAAAGTCGACAGTCTACTGAGCCAGACAAGATCAAAGGAGCCATCGATCAACTCCCCAGTTTCCCATGACATGTTGTTTTGCTCGACAAGATCAGAAAGGAGTCATCGATCAACTTACCAGTTTCCCGTGACATGTTGTTCTGGTTGTGCACACTCTTGTCCCTTCCTTTCAAGCACCCCGGAAGAAATTGCTTGTTCTTCCCACCACCAATCTACAAGATTTGCTCAGAGAAACATCATCGATCGCCTACCATTCAAAGACTTGTTGATCCGAGAGACCGCGATCGAAACTTCCATTGACAGTCAGATGCGGCTGGCTTGGCGTGCCATGAGTCTCCGGAGGTAAGAGTAGGAGGGAATGTATAAGAGACGATGGATGTACCGCTGAGACGAGAGCCCATCGACATCCCAAGTCAAGCCAAGTGCTACCGTCGTACATCATCGGCTCTACCGTACTCGTACAGCTCATCAGTATCTTTCAATCTCTCTACTCAATGTTCACACGAATCATCCTCTCAACATTCCTCTTGTCGGCCCTTCCCTCCCTCGCCACCGACGAGTCCACCCTCCCCCCATCCGCCTCCTGATCACCCATCGCAGCCCCATCAGTCGACCCCGCCGTCTACGTAGCCATCTCCCGCTACTAAAAGCTCACCTCTGCCGACGAAAACGAAGGCTCCGGCGACGGCCAAAAACGACCCTACGGTATCACCGGCCCTAATGAAGTCAAATTTACTTTTGGCGACCCGGTGGATTACAAGGAAGAGACCTTTCGGGTGACGTTTTACGAGACGCAGACGACTTGGCCGGCGGTGGCGACGGAGACGGGATCGGATTATGATCAGAATTGGTGGACGATTAATCAGGGGGAGCCTACCAAGGTCATCGAGGTGCGGACATATAGCTGCAGGGTATAGTAATTGTTGCTAATGATTTGAGAATAGTGTGTGGCGACGGCGACGTCCAGTGTCACCGAAGCTGTTGATGTCTACCCTACACCTGACCTCGCTATCACCGATGGGCCTGTCAATGTGAAGTGTACCGATGTCAGCTAAAGTTGACGCCAGCAGCACGGTATAAGCCTGCGGTGCTGTTAATATGTAGCCTATGCAATCAAATTATCTGTTGTTGATGGAACGTAAACGCTCTCCGAGCAGCAGTCGTTACATTCTTCCATCAATGACACCCCTACTTTCCAACGCCATCTAGCTTGTGAAGTCACTGACACACTCCCATCCCTTTCCGACACCTTCCTTCCAGAGACTGACCTTGCCGTCTCCACAGCTGACAGCGAGCACATTGCCGGCAAGCGACCAGCTGACGCGCCAGACGGCGTCGGGGAAGTGGGGGTCTTGATTGTCTGGAAGGTTGGGGAGAAGGGGTGTGGACGTCCATGGGGAAGAAGGCGTGGGGCGAGAGTGGATGAGGACGGTTCGGTCCTATACCACATCAGTACAGAAGGACAGGTGTAGGAAGGACTCACCTGAGAGGCCGAAGCGATAAACATCCCAGGCAACCCGATATTCGGTGCCCAAGCAACATCCCTAACCCAGTCCTCGTGTCCCTTCACAGTCTCCTCCTCCGTCCACTTCTTCTGCTCCTCATCGAATCCCCAGATCCTGATCAAGTTGTCCGAACCGGCAGTGACAAACTTCTTTTGCGACTTGAGCGCAGAGGTGGCGGGCTGGGCGCGGACAGGGCCGGAGGAGGTGGATACGACGGAAGGAGCCCAGGAGACGGCGTTGGCACCGGTGCCGTGGGCGGGGAAGATGTTGACGTCAATAGAACCGTCATCTGCGCCTGTCAACGTACCGCGCGTATGAACTTTATCCAGACTTACCTCCAAAGCTCAAAACAGAGACCTTGCCATCACTCGAGGCGCACGCAAGCATGGGTCCGAGGTCATAGGGCGCCCAGGCGATAGAGTTGACACTGGCAGTGTGCAAAGTGTGTTCCTTGATCCTCTCCCAGCCATCCTGGATTTCTCCACCGCTGCCCTTGCCTTGTCCTTGGCCGACCTCTTTCCAGATAAAGACGCGTCCGTCATAAGAGCACGAGGCGAGGATGGAACCGAAGGAAGGGTGGGCCCATGAAACTTGCCAGACGGCGGCAGAGTGGCTGCGCGAGAGTGAACAAAGAGTGCGGAGTGGTGGAGATGAACGTACCCCTTGAGGATCACTGGATCGCCCTTGGCTTCACCCTTGACCACGTTGAAGATTCGGATGGTCCTGTCCGATGAACAGGTTGCGAGACGCTTGCCGTAGTAGTCGAGCTGGGCATCGTGCTGTCGACCAAGTCAGCGCGAGTTCAAACTGGGCGATGCGACGAACGATCATGTCCTCATGCTGCGTTTCCACTGGGACCGGTTTTGATGCTTGGGCAGACTGTGGATCCTGTCAGCGCGCCCTTCGACCCCACCCCCTCTGACTACATACCATGGTGGCTGGATGTAAATGAACGAGAAGAGCCCGAATCATGGTGGCAGCGGTGACGGGGAATCTGTTTACGTAACCCCTTCCACCTCACCACTTCCACCTTTTTGTCCCACTATTTCGAGTCCACCGAGGGTATTCAGGCCATACTTCTACTCAGCAAGCCACCCGAGTGATATCGACTACTGCCATGTTTGACCCCCACCAGACAGCCCCCAAAAAGAGGGCCAGCGTCGAAAGAGACTTCTCCGCGGTCATCCTCGTCGGCTACGGCGAGAGCTTGTATCCCTTCAACCAGGGCACGAATGTCATCTCCAAAGCACTCATGCCGGTCGGGAACGTTCCCATTATCAACTCTGTCATTGATTGGGTCCTTGCCTCGGGACTCTTGGGTAAGTTCATGCGGTTATATCAATCGAGAGCGACTGTTAACGCTCTGGCCAGATATCCTCATTATCGTCCCAAACATCTTCCACGACCAAATCGCCGACCACATTGCGGAAGCATACAGCAAATCTACCCATGCCAAGGCTCGGATAGATCTGAGAAAGAACACGGAGGGCGAGAGGGACGAGGAGGAGAATGAAAGTTTTGATGGCAAGGATGGAACGGCTAGGATCTTGAAGCGATTCAGAAATCTCATCAAGGTGGATCATTAGTGGACTTCAAGGATCTGATGCTGACCATGGTGCAGAGCGACTTTGTGCTTCTACCCTGCGATATCTCGCCACCTCCTTACCTGCCTCTGAAGAAGGTGCTCGACAAGCATCGCTCAACACCGAAAGCCATCCTCACTTCCGTCTTCTATGAACCCATAGAATCAGTAAAAGAGAGTATGTCTTCTTTGCTTCTCTATTGGGTATCCAGCTAACAATACGCAGACGAAGAAAAGTCTCTCGTAGGCCTCGACAAAACCACCGACGAACTCCTCCTCATCCAACCCATGCAAGCACTCGACGAAGACTTCCGAGTGCGCACTGCCCTCCTCAACCACCACCCTACCCTCTCACTCACCACCCGTCTCCTTGACGCCCACGTCTACGTCTTCCGCCGGACGTTCTTGGACTTGCTCGCGACCAGGAGGGCGAAGGATCTGGGGAGTATGAAGGACCAGGTTGTGCCATGGTTGATCAAAGGAGGTTGGCAGAGAGGTTTGGGCGAGAAGTGGGCGCCTAGTGAGTGCATCTCCATGCCGAAAAGTCAAACTGACACAAAGAAGTCTTGGACCCACCCACACGAGATCCGCTCGCGGAAGCCCTCGCCCGTTCTACCACCGCCCCCGTCTCTCGCTCCCTCCTCTTCCACTCCCAATCATCCCCTTCCCCATCCGTCTCTCCCTACCCCGATACCACCCCAACATCGCCCTCCGCCGATGCCGACATGTACTCGTCCGGTATCCTTCCTCCGGCCTCTTCTCACAGATTTGGCAACACCCCGGAATGGAAATGCCAGGTCATGGTCATCACCCCTCCTCCCCCTCCTCCTTCTGCCGACCAGCCCGGACAGCACAAAGGGCAGCAAAAAGGTCAGGCTCAGGGCGGTAAGGGAAAGCAAGACAAGTCTCGAACACCCCCACACGAACCCGAGTACCTCATCCGCGCCAACTCTCTCGCCGGTTACTGGGAACTCAACCGCCGCTTCATCAAATCCCTCTCCTCCGCCACACCTCCCTTTGTCACCAAATCGGGCTCTGGCCCTTCTTCTGTACGAACAACAGTCGCAGGGGAAGATGCTGGTACAGCACCGGACGTTTCGCCGCAGGCGCAGATCTCGCCGGACAGTGTGATGGGCGAAGGGACGAGGGTGGGTGAGAAGGCGAGCATCAAAAAGTGTATCATTGGGAGACATTGTGTCATTGGGAAGGGAGCAAAATTGAACAACTGTGTGCTGTGGGATTTTGTTACTGTGGAGGAAAAGTGAGTTCTTCTTCATTGTCGTAATGGTTCGTGGGCTGACGGTGCAAACCAGTGCGCGTGTCGAGAACAGTATCGTCTGTTCGAACGGTCGTATTGGAGAAAAGTCTCAGGTGAAGGATTGCGAGTTTGGCACTGGCTTTGAGGCCAAACCTGGAGCAATCCTCAAGGGCGAGAGGCTTATTGCCGGGCAAGAAGCGTAGATCAGCTCTCTTTGCCAGATCCGATCTCTCGCTATACACATGTATAGATCATTCTCAAATTTCACGAGCCGTTGAACGATGATATGCCAAAAAGTACACATACATGGTCGAAAGGAAGAAAAGCAACATCTATCTCACTACACTCATTGCCCCCTTCCCCTGCTAAAGCCACCACGACCCCTGGGGGCACCACCACCTCGTCCACCGCTGAATCCACCGCCCCTACCGCCGCCACGGCCACCGCTGAAGCCACCACCACCACCTCGAGAGGAGAAACCGCCTCGACCACCTCGTCCTGGGGGTCCACCTCGACCACGGGGAGCACCTCGGCCAGCCGCACCGCCTCGCTCTGTAGATACCGTCAGCCATGCACTCTGACGTCCTGGTATATGAACATACTCGCAACCTTTCCTCCAGCCACCTTGGGCTTTGGCAAAAACCTCTCTATCGGCAGCAACTTTTCTCCAGAGATGTACACCTTGTCCTCCTTCTTGAAGCTGCTCGCGAGCATACCAGCGTCCATCTTGACGGTAAAGTAGACTTCGTTGATGGGACCGAGGATCTCGTCGACTTTGCCGATTTGCGTCTTGTTTTGGAGGTAAATGGGGGCATTGAAGTAGGGGATTTTTGTGGGGGTCACGAGGGAGCAGAGCATCTCGGACTCGACGTCGTGTTGGAAAGAACCAATCTCTGAGAAGGAGTGTGAGTATTGAGAATGGTCATAAGAATGAAATGGACGTACCAAGGACAGTGTCGGGAGGTCCGAAGTCCCTCTGTTGGAAACCGCCTCGACCACCACCTCGGCCACCGCCTGTTTACAAATGTCAGCTACATCCATTATATCGTCACAATCTCTCCCTTCGCCCGCCTCGAATTAGACTCGAACGCACCTCGACCACCACCGCCCCTGCTGAATCCACCACCACCACCGCCTCTAGAGAATCCTCCTCGTCCGCTCATATTGTATTTTGTTGTTGCTGGGTTGCTGAGTACTAGGGGTGCCGCTGAGCCGAGCAGAGGTCTTGTTGGATGCCGTTTGGAGGGTTTCGGTGCAATGGGTTCAAGGTGGTCTTGAAAATCGCTGGTGCAGGCGGAAAATTTCGGCGTTACGAGCCACGTGATTTTTGTAACGAGTCTCGGGGGGCTTTGCGCTCATTTCCTCTTACATTCAACCCCATTCGATTATGCATACAGTCCTCATACTCACGGTGACAAGAGATTGAAAAGATACGATAATATATACAACGCACGCGTGATGTCCCCTCATTCTGTTCGCCGCCTTTTACTCGGACTACTCGACCCCTCGGGCGAGGGACGGCTCTCACTTTCCCGTGGTCTCAGGCGCCGCACCACAACGACCTTATCCCCGTCTACTATCCCACAATCCTTCAAGGTCCCTTCCTTGATCTCCACATTCTGCCGCATCAAACGTTGGAAGCAGACAGCCACATTCTCTCTAGCTTTGATGGCAATCTTGAGGTCGTTGACGCCCATGGATGGTTTTACTTTATATTCACGGTACTCGCCCAAAAGACTACAGCTTTATGTCAGCTCGCGCTATCACTGATTTGGTCACACCCACTTTCGGACAGATATTGTAAGATTGGCCTCCTCCTGCACCGCCTGTTCTTCAACAGGCTCTTGAACGGGCCCCTGGGCAGGACTCTGTACAGGCTCGCTCGCCTGCTTCTTCTCAGCACATACAGGATACTCGGCGTCAACCCCGTACGACCCTAGCGTACGCGAGTCGTCACTGAGGATCACTCCATTGTACACGAGATCATGGGTAGAGAAATCCACCCGTCTGTGATGACGAAGGACACTCCTCAAAGACCCGGCCTTGTCATTGAACGACACGAACAATGGCATATCACCATTCGGCCTATCGTGGTGGTTGGTGGTCAGCCAATGCTTCAAGCTATCTGGAATTTGCTCACGTTTTGCACAAGATTGGCGAATGCGCCTTGCTCCCGACTACCAATTTTTTCTGCTCCGACAGCTTGAACTCGTCCAAGATGAGGTGATCATCTGGCACGGGACGAGCATTGATCCAGAGCTTCTGGTCACTGACGGGTATTTTGAAGAGCTCGTACAGATGGTCCTTGAGGACGTCAATCGAATCTGTCCGGCGAAGAGAGGCAATTGCGATGTAAGGAGAGGGGTTGTTTGCAATGCTGAACATGTCGTCAGCTACTGTCAGAAATGTTAGGCTGTGATACGCACTTTTTGACCTCAAATGTGATCGGCCCATCGTCAACCAGCTGAAAAATATCATCCGGCTCAAGTGCAAGATCCGTGATCGGCGTCTTGCCGTCCAGCACCCTTCCCTTGAAGACAACCTGCAGCGTCAAACAGTTGGTCAAATTGAGCATGGAAAGGCTCTTGTTTCGGATAGCGGCGACGGTGGTGAACAAGGAAGTGTTGGGGATAGTTACTTTGCGTCCATTCGCACTGCTGTACTCTTTGTCAGAAGAATAGGGCACGCAGTAAAATAGAAACTTACTCAAGGACTGTGACCTGTTTAGGGAAATGACCTTGACTTGGACGCTTCTCTATCTTCAAGACCTTCAACACGGAGAGATCCTCGATCCCACATTGCATTAGGGTCAGGTCCTTATCCAGCACTTCGTCGTCGTCGTCGTCAATGACGAGCCCGCCCTGTCCAAAGTCGATCCTGTCGGTGATCATCAACATGCTCATGAGTCTTTTGATAGTGGTGGTCGGTTTGAGGAACCGCATTGGGAGAGAACGCTCTCTACTTTTTGCTTGTGAGTTGCATGCCTTGTATTGTCTGGGCACTCACTATCGCACAATGAAATTCAGAGGCCTGAACAGCAACTGCATCCGGCCTCCATCTTCAAGCTCACAGTTCCCCACTATCTCATCATCATCATCAAAGACCTCCCCCGCTTCCAGATTCCACAGTCGTTGATAGACGGGTCGGTAGGGGAAGGTTTTGTAAATCTCCTGCTTGAGCTGAAGAATCGTATTGGAGCGTGGGACCTGGAGGGTCAAAGTTTGTTTAGTCTCGCTGTGTAAAGTCAGTGGGTATTGGGATGTCGCAGACGGGACTTGCCTGTCGGTTATGATGATCGGTATGATCTCCGGGAGGTCTTTCTCGGCCGTACTGGTCGATGCGTCTGTCCTGTTCACTGACGATGGCCCAGCGTCGGCCTCTGCAGGCGCCTCAACCGACCGTCCCACCTGACTCGACCGAGGCTCGTCCTTGACCGTTCCCTGGACCGTTCCCTGGACCGTCTGCGGAGTCGCTGTCTCTCCTCCAGAGCTTGCGTCGTCTTGCAACTCGTCCTCTTGCTCTGACTGGGCGTAGAGAGCCAATATGTCCTGGTCAGAGTCTTCGCCGTCGTCTTGCGCAGGGGCAGAAGAGGACGGCAGAGAATTTGTCGGGGGGATAACAGGAGCACTCTGAGCCGGAGGGATTGAGACGTTATCCGTTGCCCACTGAGGTCTGGTCGGGGAAGGAATGGTCTGAGGACGGGATGGTTTTTGTTCCGGCTTCTCGGGTTGAGGTTGGGCTGAAGACGACGGTGCCGTCGGTCTTGTCTCTGCTGAAGACATCTGGAACGGATCCTCGATATCATCGGAATCGGGTGTCAGCTCCATAGCGAAGTCAAGTTCGCTACCGCAACGGAAACGCTGCGTCGAGCTACCAGCGGCCTCTGGAGCTGCGGGTATAGATGTCGGCGGAGACCGGCCTTGTCGCGAGACCTCGGTCGAAGCCGCCTTGTCTGGACTAGAGGTACGCTTCGAAGATGTGGGTGATTGAAATCTTGGCTGAGATACTGAAGGGGCTGTGGCAACATCTTGGACTGATTGCTCCGCTGCGTGCTGAGATGTGGCGAAAGGGCCCAAGACCCCGGTCTGTGACAGAGGTAAGGTCGCAGCTGTTGAAACCACAGGAGGGAGTACAGATGGCTGTCGAACAGGAAGGGGGTTCGTAGGACTCGTCTCCGCATCCTGATCTGTCCGCCTTGAAGGACCAGCAACAGCATTTCTAGTCGCCGGTGCAGGCGGGGGAGGTTGCGAAGGAGTGGCTAATCTCGGCTGCCGGCTGGCCTGAAGAGGAGCTGAGGACGGCGGAGTCCTCAAGGTGAGTAAATCATCACGAGGCTTGAAATTGAATTCGAAAGAGAATTGCTCCGGATTGAAAGATCTGCCCAGAGAGGCGAGGTTGAGCATATGCTGGAACTAGAGGTGTATCAGCTCTGCCATATGTCGCGCACGCGGTTTTTCTAACCTCTTCATCGTCGAATTTAGTTTTGACCTGGACCAGAGTAGTCTCTGCCGAGTTTCCCACCAGACTTGTCATGCGACATCAATATACGATCACAGCGCTTGCCCAAAGGGACCAAAGAGCAACTCACATGTCAACCGCCACTCTCATGCCACCTCTTAGTCTCAATACCAAATGAAGAGTCGACTCCTTCTGTATGTTGTAGTCCGCCAGAGTCCGCCCATCTTCGAGCTGTTTTCCAGCAAAGATCAACCGCTGCTGGTCGGGAGGGATGCCCTCCTTGTCCTGGATCTTGGACTCAACGTTGTCGATAGTGTCGGACGACTCCACCTCCAGGGTGATCGTCTTTCCTGTGAGGGTCTTGACGAACACCTGCATGGTCAGCCGAGAGCGTGTTGCCGGGTCTTGTCGTTGTGCAGGTAAGGCTGGGTTTGTAATGTTCGCGTCGGGCAAATAAACGCGTCCGGCCCAGAGTACGTAATACATCAACCCTGCGGCGGCCGGCTACTAGTTGAACGATAGACTCTTGTAGTCCAGCCAATAATGGCCACATGCAGTGAGCTGAGACAGCTAGTGGTGAATTGGAGCTGACTTTGGAGCATGATAAAGGTGATCACAAGTTTACATGCTACCAAATCCTCAACTACTACTGGTACTCCTCGTTATAATTTACTCGTCGTCAAAACCTTAACTTCCTACGTAATCGCGTTAGAATTCGCTACTCTTCCCCCGCTCAATGTCATTTCTTTCTTAGATGATGTTGTTGAAGGAGTGTTCCCTCATCAAACGCCAGTACACTCGACTTCAATCATCTCTTTAGAAGTAGTAGGGACATCAGGGGATGGGTTTACATATACATCCCCAGTCATGCTTGCTGTGGCTGTGGCCACGCACTTCCCATTTTCGTCAGCCCCAAACTGACTCGACCTCATGATCGACGGAACCAGCTTACCTGAACGATACTGGTAGGCTTCTCCGTAGAAGTCGCAGATACCCAAACACTGGGGTTGATCTTTGCCCCCTCAGCTCCAGTAGGCGAAGGGCCAACAGAATAGTAACTGATTCGGAACGTCTCCGCAGTATACTTGTTCGTCTCATTGAACGCAAACCTGACCGATCCTGGACCCGAGATGCCATAAGACCGCTTCTGGCCTTCGCCTGACCCCTCATTGGCATCGTGAGAGTTGAGGACCTGCCAAGTATCGATGCCGACGATGGCGGCCGCTGGGTTCTGGGTGGGTTTGGCGTATTTGGAGCCTATGGAAGCTACTACGGCGGTGTCCAGGATTGGGGCACTTGGGGCTGCTATCGCGGTGATGGGGACCAAGACGCTTGTAAGGAAGAGAGTCATTTGAGTGTTGAGCAACATGTTTGTCGGCTATGATTATTTGCTGGGTGTTATGATATAAGGGGTGTACTTGTTCTGTCGTCTCTGCAACCGGGCAAAGGTGAATCGAATTGATATGAGAAAAAGCAAGTCGCAGCAGGTGGCGACTGATCCGTATATATAGGGGCGAATTGAACAGGAGCCACCGATAATAGACATTCCACTCAGGGTCAGATGCGTCAGGTGGCGATTTCTTTGTTTCGCCGTGTTCCCACAACGAAAGGAATAATACTGGCGTTACAGAATATTCGGGTCATGCCCATGCCCGAATCAGGGGCACCAGGCAAAGGAACGCATCAAGCGCGTTGGAGACACTACAATGAAATTTCGGTCGCGAATGGGTAGGTGTGAGATGTGGACGACAAAGGATGATGATTGATCTTGTAAAGCCAAGCTTGCTCCTCTGATCTCAAACGCGATATATCCGGCAGATTGGATCAGCACCTACCCTCCGCTGTGTCAGGTTGGCGGCCGCCATACATGGAAAGTACCAGCTTTTCTACCTAAATACGCACGGCTGCCTGTCGATGACCATGCCAGGGGAGGAGCGACGATAAACTATAATTTGCAAGAGTTGCAGATAGAAGACCAGGGAGGCGAGTGCGCGTGAGTAGCATAGTCGCCCTGGACATGTATATCACATCAGGTTGGCATTGAGGTCGAGTCTGTCGAATGCAACAAGAAAGAAAGAGATTCGCATTCGAAATTCCCGACGCGACGCGCCTTGCTCCATCCACGTGGGATCGCTTGCGCTCATCTGCAACATCTTCTGACGTCCGCCTTTTGTTGTTGCTTCTGTACACAATCTCCCATTCTTCACACATCGCCCAGATACCCCCACACAGCCTGTACTTCCGTACACTCCTACCCCCAACAAACCTTCCCACTTCCACACCCTCACCATGGGAGGTAAGCTCTCCCCCTCCACTTCCCACTGTCCAGCCATACTAATCAACATCCCCAGTCACATTCTCCTCCCTCTGGTCCCAGCTCTTCGCCAAGAAAGAGACCAAAGTCCTCATCCTCGGCCTCGACAACGCCGGCAAATCCACCATCCTCTACCGCATCACCATGGGTTCCGTCGTCGCCAGCGCCCCCACCGTCGGGTCCAACCACGAGATCTACGACTACAAGGGCGTGCGCTTCGGGCTTATCGATATCGGAGGGCAAACGAGCTTGAGGGGGTCTTGGAGCCAGTATTTCCAGGGGGCGGAGGCGGTTATATTGGTCATTGATTCGAGCGATTCGGCGCGGTTGGGGGTGGTGAAGCAAGAGTTGATGAAGATTGTTGCAGACGAGGTGAGTGCTAGAGTCGATGCTGATTGAGTGGTGCTGATGTGGGGCGTAGTCATTATCAACGGCGCTGCTGCTGGTCCTCGCCAACAAGCAAGACCTGCCTGTAGCCCAAGGCCGTCTCACACCCGCCCAAGTTTCAGAAGCCCTCGGCTTGACGGATCTGAGAGAACGAGAGTGGCAAATCATGGGATGCAGTGCTCTCACAGGTCTGGGGCTGTTTGAAGGGATGGATTGGCTGGTCGGCAAGCTGGCTGCGCGGACATGATGTATAGACGGTCGTGATTTGAGAGCTATGCGGGCACGTTGTATATGCATTGTTGAATCTAGAAACCACCGCTCAATCCAACACCACTGGTTCCTCGTCCACCAGTCCCCCGTCTACCACCAAACCCAAAGATACCCCTTTCGCCTCTCCAGACCTCCTTGCCGACCTTCAACACCTCCCGCGCAAAGATCTCACCAAACCCGAGCATGACGCCGTTGATAAACGGCAGGACAAGGTTGATACCGATGACGGCAAAGATCTTGGATACTGACAGGGAAGCAGAGTTGGTGAAGACGGAAAGGGTGAGGGAGGGGGGTTGGGTGGGAGGAAGGGGTACGCCAGCCTCGGCCGCTTTTTCGGGGGAGGGGATTTGGATGATGTCGTCAGAGCCAGAGGATTGGGGAGCAGAGACTTGCTCTCCGCTACCAGAGTCGGACTGGCGGGAGACCTCTTCCCAGGCTTGGGAAGTAGCAGAGTGTCGGGAGAGAGTGGCAGACTCTGTGGGCACGGGGGCGGGGGTGACGGGTTTAGGGTCTTGCATGGCGGGAGGGATGGGGTCGGTAGACGTTGTGGGGTCGTAAGCAGCCTAGTAGAGTCAGTTCATGATACTTGGGCAATCCTAATCTACTCACAGGCTTGACCTCGTGTCTCTCTTGCGCCTCAGAGATGGCTTGCGCAGCAAGGGCATCTTGCCTGTCGAGCGGCTCGGCAAAAGGTCCGTAATCCCTGCCATCGTCTTTCTTGCCCACCAGCTCCCAGGCCTCCTTGACCTTTCCATGGCCCCTCACATCCTTCTCAGTCTCCTTCTTCTCCTCCTCTTCCAACTCGGCCTTCAACTTTTCAGCGTCCTTCTTCTTCTTCTCCTCATCTTGCGCCGCCTTCTTGGCGGCCTTCTTCTTGTCCTCCTCGGCCTTTTGCTCGGCTAATCGCTCAGCTTCGATCCTGTCGTGCGTCTCCTGAGCCTTGGCTCGGGCGATAGCAGACTCGGCGTGCCATTCGTCGAGGTAGCCTTGATATGTCTCGGGCCACTCGGCCAAACCAGGGATGGGCTCGGAAGGCGCAGCGGCGGCAGGCTCTTCCTTGACCTCAGGGGCGGCGGGGGCAGCAGGCTTGGGAGGAGGAGGGGGGATGGAGAAGGAGGTCTCAAGGGCGGACTGGGAGATGTCAGCGATGGGGTTGCAGGAGGAGATGTACGCACGCCGAGGCTGTCCTGGAGGTCCTGTTCTGATTCTTGCCTGTTGTCGGACATGGGGGAGATTTTGTGGCTTCGAGAGGAAAGAGATGCGAAATAAAGTCAAGTCAAAGTCAAGTGCGAAATCTGGAAGACTTGCGCCATTGGACAGGGGATCTGTCCGGATGCGATGTTCGTGTGTCCGCGGACACGTGCGGCCAGCCGAACGAATCGACGGGCCACTGCACTGCATGAATTGATCAATCGGATTCATTACTGCAGGGGTATAGAAGGATAACATGTCGTCCTGCCCAGTTTGTGACCAGACAATCAACGCAGACCAGGCCGCTTTCGAGCACCACATCAACTCGCACTTCGACAACCCCTCAGGAGAGTCTTCAGCGTCAGCACAACGTCCAGACGCTTGTCCAATATGCGACTTTCCCCTCTCCTTCCTCACTTCCATCGAGTCCGAATCACATATCAACACCTGCCTTGGGGATGTCGGAGTACCGCCCCCTCAAGACGAGGACGATATCGACTTTGACTACTCTTCCGCTGAACTCGTGGCGCAACAGAAGAGGGACGAGGAGATGGTGGATCCAGAGTGGGACGGGCCGGCCAAACCGGGTAAATGGATGGACTGGGCGGGGAGGAAAGTTGATAAGGGTGACCGATGGTAAACACTTTACAAATCCAGCCTTGGAGACGAAAGCTGACCGAACGTACTTTAGGTGGAATCCCAACGTCCCCAGCGATCCTTCCTCCATCCCCCCAAATTACTCCCCCAACCTCATCCCCTTGCTAGCCTCCACCCTTCGAACAACAGTACACCAAAAGACGACCCGCCGTGCCGTACTCGCTCGTCCTTCGACGGCACATATCAAAGGCGTCTGGAAATTCGACCTCGGCTGGGGATGCGGTTATCGCAATTGCCTCATGGCTCTTACGTCCCTCCTGTCTGTCCCAGAATATGCCGCTGTTTTTGATAGCGCAAAGAATGGAGCAGACCCGGGTGTACGGAGGATGCAGGGCTGGATAGAAGAAGCTTGGGCAGAGGGGTATGACCTGGAGGGACAGCAGCAGTTGGGCGGACGAGTGCTTGGTCGGAGGAAGTGGATTGGACCGTCGGATATGTATGCCATGTTGAGCTACAAGGGGATTCCCTGCCGGATCTGTGAGTAAACACTGCTCTTCTTGATTCTGGCTGACGCCTCTCAGACGACTTTCCAAAAGCACAGAATCTGAAGACAGATCGGGAGGCTCATACCAGGCTGCAGCAGTGGGTGAAAACCTACTTTGTGAGTACCATAACTCCTCTGAGAAATGGCTCGCTGACAGCTATGTAGGATGATGCTGAAGGAACACAAGCTCGGCAAGCAGGAGGTAACGCTTTCGATACCCTCATGAGGTCTGGCGAGAACGGCCAAGGTCGAGGAGAGCTCGTCAGAATATCGGACAAGTTTCCACTGATACTCCAGGTATGCCCAAAGCTCTTCTAGTCCGATGCCTTTCTGACTTTAGGTCACAGCATTCTGGCCATTCGAGAACCATAGTGGGATACGAAGAGAATGCGCGAGGCGATATCAACCTGCTACTCTTCGACCCTGGCAAGTAAGTCCTCCTCTTCCTCGAATCGACCCATCCCTAACATTACAATAGAACCGTCCCCAAAGCCATCCGATCCCACGCCCTCTCCAGCCTTCCCGACCCCACCCCCTTCCCCACTCCCCCAAGACCCCCTCTCAATCCCACCGCCCCAGCCAACCCCACCACCTCCGCCGAGCGCATCCGCCACAAATCCTCCTCCTCCTCCCACTCAAAATTCGAACGTACCCACGAATCGCGCGACTTTTCGCCGCCTTACACTGATGGTTTTGCTGAGATTGATTATAGTACGGCGAGGGAAGGATCTCGGGATGGTAGTAGTCGGGTGGAAGGAAGTGCGCCGCTGAGAGGAGGCGGGTCGACGGCAGAACCTGCTTTGGAGGATGACGAAGAACGGACGCCCTCGGGCTGGGTCCGCAAGAAACGTCCTTTTCCCCATCTATCCAAAACTCACAAACCTCCCAAATCATCTAAACCTGGCTCGGACCCGACAGCGCCGGGCCAGGCGGTAAAGACGTTGAACCATTTCAGGGTAAATTTGGGGACATTGTCGAGGCATGCGCAGTATCAGGTTTTGATGTTTACTGGGGAGGAGGTTCTGGGGGAAGTGGAGAGGGGGCAGAGGAAGAAAGTTAGGAGTGTTTTGGTGAGATAGTGGAGGCTGAGAGCTGTACTTGCTACATGGGGTCGATGGAGAGAGGGGAAGGAGTAGTCTGAGGTAGTTGCTTGGTGACCTGGCTGTGGTCTGGCTTTGGTTTCGGTGCTGCTGTTCGCGCATGCCCTCTGTCTGCAAGGTCCGGGATGGCTGGAGTACTAGGCTGGAGCGATCTATCATCTGGAGCCTGCATATACGGTTGTAGGAATCAATTCACGATCTTCGTCCATATCAAGGGAGACTACGTTATATACATGCTCATCATTACCACGTCTATATTATGCCTGCTATGCCTATTATGCTTGTCTACTATTATTGTCTATGCTATGAATGTATATATCTACAACGATTCAAGTTGAAAGAGAAAGAAATTGTCCATTGAAAGAAGAATGTCCATCGGACTGCTCAAAGAGCAGTGCGGGAGAGGCGAAGCCTGGTACCGCCGACGTGGGACGCAGCCCATCGTTCGGGGGCCTGTGTAGCATGGGCGAAGGGCTTCTCGTCCATCTTCTCCTCAGCCTTGACCATGGGTGGGCCTGGGCGCTGGAGCAGCACCTTCGTACCGCCGAGGTGGGCGGCGCTCCATTCAAGGGTGGCGGGAAGAGCGGAAGGGGCGAGGAAAATGCTTGGAACCCTATCGAAGAGAATCAGCAAGTTCCTTGATAGCTTGCTAAGGTCTACTTACAGCTTGGTGATGGAGGAGGGGCAGGCTCAAGAAATGGGAGCAAGGGAGAGGCGGACCTTGGAATCGCCGAGGTGAGAGGCGGCCCACTGGGAGGGGGTGAGACGGACGCGGGTACCACCGAGGTGGGTGCCCTTGTAGACGGCCTTGGGGACGGTAGAGGAGGAGGTGGGGGAGAGAGTACTGGATGAGAAGTCAGTACAGCAACAGATGAAGAGAAAATTACTTACACCTCTTCCTCTGGGGTGCGGTGGAGGAGCACCTTGGTGGTGCCCTCAAGGTGACCGGCAGCCCACTTTTGGGGGACTGCGGTGACGGTCACCTTGGTAGTGTCCTTGGTGTGGTGAGCCTTGTAGGCGGGGGCGGGGAGAGAGGTTCGAGAAGCCTTGACGGCATGGTGGTGCTTGAAGCTGGTGGCGAGTCAGCGACGAGTGGTTGCGGGAGGGCTCGTTGAGTGTGAACAACTCACTGTTTGGATGCAGAGGAAGTCTTTTTGCCCTTGGGGTTGGTGGTAGGCTTGCCACCTTGGTAGTTCTGGATGAAAGCAGCGGGAATGCTGCTGTGAGAAAGTCGTCAGCCTCCCGGTCTACCGAGAATGCGGGATGGACCGCTGGGTGCAGTGATAGTACGCACATGTTGGTGGACATGTCCACGAAAGTCGCAAGAGGGACCACAAAGACAACCAAAGAGGGAGCCATATTGGATGATGCGTCAAGAATAGGTTCTTGGATGATGTTCTTGGGAAGAAGGAGCAGGACGGTGGTGCGGTGGATGGGGGCAGATGGAGGTGAGGGTGTGGTGGTATCAAGCAAGCTAAGAGCAAGATTGGTACGAAAGAAGGTGGATGGATGGATGAGAGATGAATTGGTGAAACAGACGGGATTTTACCTGGGAATTAGCAGCAGAATATGGAGTGTGGGAAGCGTCGTGACCAAATCACCTGAGCCCACGAAAAAGTGTCGGAAAGAGCGGATCAAGCATTGGCAGAGGTATCTCGTTTTATACTCCTCGTAGAACTTTTATTTCTGATGCAGTGAGTAGCTGACAAATTAATACATACCATACCCATATTACAGACGCATACATGCACAGAGTCGTGAGTAATACCAAAGAATGTCTCGTTCAACGTCAGCACCGCAATGGTTGATGTGGCGGAAGCGTGCGTGCCTGGATTGTCGCGCCAAATTTCCCTTTTGAGCAAGCCCGATCCTACTATTTGTTTGGTTCGAGCTTACCACTGTATAGGAGGCATTGCAGCATAGAATATAGTGAGCAGGCAGGGGCATATACATGTTCTAGAATGCTGATGCATAGAGATTATGTGGAGGTGCCTGCTGGCTGCCTAGGCCGCTCTGTCTCGCCCGTAGCTGCTGGTGGTACGCTACTTGACATACAGTAGTGTCACAAACAAGTCACAACGTAACTCACGGTATCGTTAGCGGCCGTGAACGTGTTTGAAAAAACGACGATAGAAATTGACAAAGTCGATAGAGGACTGGACGTCTCGGATGGATTTGAGCACATATATGGACTATGGACAGAACACCACTCTATCAGCGCCCTACAGACAATGCATTGCCTATGTTGATCGCCCATGAACCCTTCATACAACAGTTGACCACCTTCAACACCGTCATCTAAATTCACACACCCTGAGCCAAACCTCTCATGGCTTGGGCACATATGGCGGCCTATTCGTGCCCACCCACGGCCCAGCAGGTCCGACCATCTCCGGTTTCAGGTCTTCTATCCTCATCGCTCCTATGTTGCGCATTGTGTTCTGTATCTCCTCCGCCAAGACTACAATCTCATCAGCCTTTGCCCCTTATTCCATCAAACGACTCGGAGGGTAAGACTCACTCTGACATAGTCTGACAACTCCCTCCTCCCCATGTGTGCCATTAGCATACAAGAAGCTCCTTCCCAAACCGACGGCTTTTGCGCCCAAGGCGATCGCTTTGACGACGTCGGCACCGGATCGAACACCACCGTCCATCATGACTTCGAGCTTCTCAAAGAGGTCAGGTCGGTTGCAGCGCATTTCGTAGAGGAGGTCTATGGGCGCTGGAGCGCTGGAGAGTATAGTCAGCGTCTGGATCAGGTAGGGGTGAAAAGCAAGAGCTCACTAGTCGCATTGTCTTCCACCGTGGTTTGACTGATTGCTAATCAGCGGCTGGCACATGAAGACGCGTAAATCTTACCAGGATGACACCTTGCACTCCCGCTTCAGCACACAGGGCAACATCCTCTACACATTGCACTCCCTTCACAATGATGGGAAGGTTGGTATGACTCTGCACACTGGTCAGCCTTCCGGGTATCACCACCCCAAGTCGAATACGCACCCTGATAAACTCAATATCCTTCCAAGTCAGATTCGTATCCTGATACCCCGAGATCGCCGCCGAAACGCCCAACGGACTCTTACTCGTCTTCATCCCATCACTGCTCGGGGGCGGCGCCACCTCCGCCTTGGCCCTCACATCCCTCGTCCTCTTACTCCGCCATGCGGTATCGACTGTGAAGATGATGGCGTCTGCGCCGAGGCGGGTGACTTTTTCGAGGAGGGTGATGGAGGCGGCACGGTCTTTGTTGAGGTAGATCTGGAACATGACGGGCTGGTTTTCTTTGCGGGATTGCATGATTTCGTCGAGGGAGCAGGAGGCGTTGATGGAGATCTAGGTAGGGTCAGCACTGTATTACGAGGAATGGAGAGATACTTACACCCTGGACGATACCACAAGCTCCGGCGCCCTTGGTCAAGTTGATTTCACCCAAAGGGTTCCCTAGCTTGGCCATAGCAGCTGGAGAGATGAATATCGGCAGCGACGTCTTCATCCCCATAAACTCCGTCTCCATACTACCAGTTGTAGCATCCCTCAGTATTCTGGGACGAAAGTAGTAGCGGCTGAAAGCATCCTGGTTCTCATCCGCAGCTATATAATGTCAGCATACAGCCCCTCTTCGTCATGTCAGTACTCACTCTTCTCCCGATCGGCAGCACTTTTATAGTAATTCCACGCCGTCCCACTCAACACCTTCTCCGCCCAATCCTCAAAGTCTTGAACCAACAACATGTTCTCCGCCCCCGGCATCGCTTTCCTCGCCTCCTCCATTTCTAGCTCTTCTTCCGTCGGCTCCACCTCTTCAGGCTCGGGCATGGTCAGTGGGTCCACTGGACCGATGTGTTGGTCTTCGTCCAGCATTTCCAGCGCATCCGGGTAATGGATGGGCCCAAAGATCTTTCTGTGAACGAGGTGTAAGCTTTGATATCCTGCTGGAGACTCTTAAGGCTGTGACACATACGAGGCGTCTTTACCGGCATTAGCCAATATGATCTCTGGCCCACCAGGATGATTCTCCATGAAATCTGTTACATCGTAAATCTTGCCCTGCAGCTTGTCAGTGATCCCCTACCTGGTAAAGTATGTATCTTGCTCACATTGATGATGACCCAGCAGTCGTCTGCTTTGTTGTGTTTCTGAACTTCCTCAAAGCTTATGAGCTTTTGTCCACTGGGCTGCTCGATAGTCGTGCCAGGGGCGCGTACGAGCTCATCTGCGCGTATTGGCGTGAGAATGTAGTATGCCAACGCAATGCTCTATAGCGAACATCAGTCTCGAGGAAAGATGATAGGGTATGTGACTTACAGTAGCAGCCACGCCAGCAGTTATGGCAGACGACCGTTGTCGATACGCTGCCCTAGAGGCCGCCGAGACTGTCGAGCTGAATCGCCCCCTAGGGAGCTGTGGGAAAGCTCTCGCCGAGCTTGGGCCTGGCGCCGCTGCGATACGCTGTGAGAGAGCCCTCCTGAACATGTTGATGGTATCCAAAGACAATGAAGTGTAGATGGAGAGCAGAGATGAGGGTTGTAGATTGTTTTTCTGCGTGCGACGAATCGAGATCCAGCTGTTTCGGCGTCATCGCCAGGCTCCGGCCCGGAGATCGGAGCACCGGCAGACCGAATCCGACTCGGAGTGGGGGCTGTTGTTTGGTCCTTCCTATGCACGGACGTGTATCTACAGCTCTATGTATGTTCTGAATATTATTCTAAGTTTCTATAGAGGGGCACAAGAGTAATGAGGTTGCCACCTTGCCCCAGTTCGCCGTAATGTTCTCTTCGATATCACCCCAAAGCAGCTTTGGTTGTCCCATCGCAGCAAAGTGCCCGCCCTATTCCATTCAGTCAGCTCCGCACTTCATCGATAATCGGGGCAAGGTACTTACAATGTCGTGCACTTTGTAGTAAACAATGTTTGTGGCTTGCTCAAGCGTCTCTTGAGGAGGCTGGTAATACTCAAATGGGAAAACGCTGTACCCCGTGGGACACCTGATGTACGCCTTCTCTGCCATATGCACATTCCTTTTGATCCCAAACGCCTACAGCATCCATCAGTACCACACCTCTCACATGCCAGTTCTGACTTACATATCGATAAGGATAGATTGACGACGCAAAACTATCCGTAAACCAATACAAACTCGCAAACCTCACCAACCCCTCATCCGACAATGGCCTATCAGGACACGTCTCTACGAGCTTTTCGCCGATCCATGCAATAAGACTGATGGGGTTGGCACCGACGGTGATGCCGATGGTGGAGGGGCGAGTACCTTGTTCGAGGGCGTAGCCAAACATTTGGAGAGAGAGGAGTGGGTCTAGAGGTTCGGCGGCTGGGATTGCTTGGGCAGGGGTCGCCTCGGCTCCTGAGGAGGACTTGTCAGAGTTGGTGGGGGTACCGGGGAAGAATCGGAAATTGAGGTGGATGACTATCCCCGCAGGCGTCAGTGAAGACCACGATCGGCAGAGCGCACTTACTTTTACAAGCGGGATGGTTTGCCGCCAAAGCATTCGTGACGAAACTTCCAATATCACCACCCTGCGCTACATACCCTGTTCCAAAACCGAGCCCTTCCATGAGCCCGTTAAAGACGAAAGCGACGTCGTCGATGCTAAAGTCACGGTCCAGTGGAGGGGCGTCGGAAAAGGCGTAGCCAGGGAGAGATGGAACGATGATGTGGTACCTGTGCATGTAAGTGCTCGCCGTGAAGGAAGAAGGGCGGGCTCACGGAAGAGTAGAAGGGGTATACGTTTCCTCGACATGTTTCAAGATCGCATAGAATTCCAAGAAACATCCAGGCCAACCATGGTTCATGATAATCGGGGCAGCGTCCTTCTTCTCGGAGAAGAGGGCTGCGAAGTGCACCTTGAGAGGCTTGTCATCTTCAGTTTTGGAGACAGCCGTGAATTGTGGGATAGAATTGATGTATTCTTCGTGCTTGCGCCTGTCCATCGTTAGCGCATGGTCCTCCGAAAGGACAAGTCAAGGGACATACCAATCATCTTTCATCCAAGCATCCCTCAACTCTGCAGTCCTCGCAGTAGAAGTCCCAAAGTTGTTGTCTTTACAGCTGCTTTCGGTACTCTCATAAGTCTCTTTGGTGATTCTCGACAGCCGGAGGAGAGTCTTGAGGTCGTCGACGTCTGACTGTGGGATGGCGACGCGGAAGGGCTCGACGGGGATAGTTGGGGTATTGGGCAGTGTCGAGTACGGCATGGTATCTTGCTGAATAGAACAAAGCAATGCAATGGGCTTCTCATAGTCGATATATTCTGCCCCATTAGTCGTGCCATGTTGTGGGGAACGACGGAGTCGAGGTGGCGATGACCGACGGTCACCACCAGCTGTTGTCCCATGGGAGTCGCAAGTCTGTCGGCCATCCGGGTTCGTTCTTCATTTTTCAGGTTGATTTCGACCCCGTCGACTTGCTGGGGATCCATGGGGGCACTGCAATGGCGAGCTGTTGGTTGATTCGTTGGGGGTTGTTGGAGAGGGGCAAGGCACTCGAAACACCATCTTCGGCTCTCTTCGGCTTTGCACACCCTGCGAAATGGTGGGGGAAGTCAATAGACAAGATGGAAGGCAATACATACAAGCTAGGCTCCGGGGGTCGTAAGATAAGAATTCGTGTCTAGAGATCATTCACTATTATACAGCGTAAGGTCGAAAGGTCAGACGCGGATCGTAGGCGACGGGATTTGGGTAGGGATCTGCTCAGCTACAGGGGTAGGCGGCTCGACCTCGAACACTGGGGCAGGAGGCAGAAGCGCTGGGGAGGATGTAGAGGGAGAGGAAGGTTTGGGAACAGTAGCCTGGGTTAGACTTTCCTCCTGCCTTTCTGACTCTGATGCACCTCCTCTCTGCTCCGTATCTTCCGCCTGAATCGCCCCGGATCCACTACCCTCTCCCTCCCCCGGAGTCGGGCTCAAGATCAAACTCCTCCTATGCTCCTCACTCTGCTCCCACGTCGGCGGACCTTCCCCTCCCTCCTCCTCCTCTTGGCCTTGCCCTTCTCTCTCCCCACTCCCTCCCAGCGCAATCACACTAACAGCCTCACTCCCCCTCCTCCTCTTATTCTTCCTCCCCTCCGGCGGATCTTGCATCCTCACCCCAACAAGGTTGACCGCCTCATTACTGCTCAAGAACCGCATCTGATCATCACTCAGCCCCGCACGGGGTATCGCTGTCGAATCGAATGACGCGCGCATGGCAGTGTTCGGTATAGGAGACGAGATGAGGAGTGAATGTGACGATTGCCACGGGGAGGGATAGGTGGACGTCCCGGGGTGCAAGGAAGATTGTGTGGATATGCGAGAAGTGACAGGCTGGAGCAATGGGAGGGCGGTAGCAGAGTGGGGGTGCTGAGACATTTCCATAGGCCGGGACTGGTTGGAGAACCCAGCGCGCGAGAGAAAGTCTTTGAAGGCAGAGCTCGTTCTGGTTCGTAACGTAGGCACCGGCCGGTTATCCGTGCCCGCCTCTAGATCCGCGTTGGGAGAAGAGAATGGCGGCGAGGACATTGCCTCGAGATATGTCGGCGCCTCGCCCCAGCCTCGCCGTGTGATAGAGTCGTGGCGGGAAGCATCAGGGGTAGACATCCGATTTGGATTTTGGGTGGTGGTGGCAGGGGCAGAATGGGGCATGGGGGTTGGGGATTCGGGTTGGGCGCCGGCGATGAGCTCGACGGCCTCTTCGGTGATGGGCTCGGGGCGAGTCTCTTCGCTGGATGTCCGGTTGTGCGTAGGGAAGCTTTCGCTCTCCTCGACGATCGTCTCATGTTCAAGGGTAACAGTGTCATCCGACATGATGGAACTTGACCGTTGCCTGACATCGTATCAGCATATGCCTCTCCAGAATCACCACCACTCACCTGACGAGAACAAGCTCCTCATCACCCGCCTCTTTGCTATACACTGGCAACGTCCTGATACTCCTCCCACTCTCCGTCCTCCTCAAGTACTCTCCATTCCGAGTCCGCCTCGGTCGTCCATTCGCCCCTCTTCGATTTCTGTTGCCGTTCCCAGCGTCCGCGCCGCCTGCGGCGTTGTTGTCTACGTCCGTCCGCGAGGGTGATCCGCTCAGCTCCTCAGCAGTGAGTATACGCGAAGCAGCGTCGGTCCCAGACCTAGACCGCCTCGTGCTGCTGAACCGTTCATTCCACTTGCTCGCTATCGATTTCCTGAACTTGAACTGCCATTGGAATCAGCCAAGACAATCTACATGACCGAGGGAATGACTCCCGGGGAATTACAGGGTAGACTTACCACGAGTAATAGGATTGTCCCCAGCACGATGACGACGACCACGGGCACGACCACAGCAGTTGACACCCCAGTCTTGGAGCTGTCGGAAGAGGAGGATGAATCGGAAGAGCTAGACTCGGTGGGCATCGATACCATGGAGTGCTGGGTCATGGAGCCGCGAGACCCTCCGTTCTGGCCATTTTCTCCGCCGTTCTGACCTTGCGGCCTAGCTTCGGCGAGGGCAGCGAGGAGGAGGACGAGGAGGAGCATGGTGGGACGAGGAAGAGGTGTGGTGGGCAAGAGATGGGGATGGAGTAGGCTGTAACAGATACTTCAAATATCCATTATAATCGCAGTGTCAAGTGAAAGGATGGGTGGTGGAACAATGCCTGTACGGTCCCTGTGATGGCGGGCCGTGGCAACGAGCTGGGTGTGTGTTTTGTTAGCGGCGGAGAGGCTGGTGGAGCGAGAAAAGACGAGATATATACGCACGATGCATGTGCGTAGCCGTGCGAGATGCCATGTTTCCTTTTTCTGGGCCAGTCTACGGGGCGACGAATGCGATGAAGAAGCGGTGTCGAGCTGCGCTTCCGGCCGTCGGCGATAGTACGCGACGCGTCGCACGTCGTCTCTCATGCAGCGTCTGAGCTCGGCATGGCATGGGAAGAGCCGTATGCATACTCTACCAGATCCAAGAGTGACGACTACAGAAGACCCTTGGCTGATCTTGCATCGACCCCGGCCTTGGCTATCTCTGGGTCATAACGAATCCTGTCTTGGTATATTTCTGCATCTTCTTCCCGTACTCGAGTATATGGAAAAGATACGGATCGCCAAACTGCCCCCAAAAGCCTAATATGTACAATACACAGATATCTGCTAGAAATCGAATAGGAAAAAGATTGATGTCCGTCGCTGCTACAAGCTATGGAATCGAGGTGGGGGTTGTTTTTGTGGCTAGGTATGTGGGGTATCGCTATGGGTATATACATTATAAGTGATTAAAAGGCCAGTGTGTATTCCTCTATCACAAGACTCGTTAAAGATCGTTAATCGTCAAGAAACATCGTCTTCGGATTCTCTACCAGACTATGACGAACGTCAGCAACAACTCTCGGAGAAGAGCACAAGAATGACTCACCATAAGTCGCCGGAATCATACCCTCTCTCCCTGTCGCTGGGTCTCTCGCATACCACCACTCATGGCTCTGCTCATCGTCCAAGATCACAACCGCCTGTCCCGCCTTCATCGCCATCTCTCCTTCCTGCAACTCCGGTCCGTCAAAGTCGTACCTCATCGTCGTCTCCCTCTCGTACGCCTCATCATCATCGTCCGCATACCCACCAGCATCAGAGCCGATAGGATACGCGCCAGAGTTGTAAGAGCTCGGGTCGGACAGTCTGTCTCGCGCCCGGGAAGACTCGCGCTTCTTGGTAGCCGCAGCCACACCAGCACCAGCCAGCCCGCCGCCGACGAGAGAAGCCTCGAGGGCAGCTTGCACGTTGGCAAAGACATTTTGGTGGGTAGACGACACGTCACTGCCTTCCTTGCCGAAAGCCTCTTGGCGCTCTTGGGCAGCCCGGTTGTCCCTTCTGCGGTTAAAATAGGCGAGAAGGAGCATGAGGAGGATGAACAGAAGGATGAGACCGGTAGCGATGGCGATAGCCACAAGGACGACAAGACCTCGGGCGAGGAAGTGCTTGACCTTGAAGGAAAAGTCCGAGTCGGACCAGAACAGACTGGATCCAGCGCCGATACCGCCAGAGGATGAGGATCCGACAAGGTAAGGGTACCAGTTGGCGCCATCATAGAGAGCGCTAGTAGCGTTACCCATGTTCTCGAGGTAGAGGTCACCAGAGACCAACAGCATTCTGTCGTTCTCGATGGTGCCCTGCGCAGTGTGCTCGGTAGACATGGGAACGAAAGCGAGCTGTTGGACAAGAGAGCCGGATTGGAGACTGTCGTTCTGGGCAGTCCAGGTCACGCCGTTCCACTGCTCGAGGAAGGGAGAGCCATCAGAAGACGAGTAGCCGGCGGCATAGACGTTGGTGGCATTCTTGTCATCGGCGACAACAGCGAGTGCGGGTCCACTCAAAGAACCGAGGGCGGTCCAGGACGAGTTGCCAAAGTTGTAGGAAGCGACAGAGGCAACGGTGCCGTCGGACAAGACAAAAGAGCCAGCAGCGATAAGAGTATCGTATGAGTTCTAGATTGTGTCAGCCTCACCCTAGACCCTATAATCATCCGACTTACACCGGCAAAGTCCAAGCTTCGCACTTCTCCAGAAGAAAGTCCAGATCCAGGAGTAGACCATCGTCCACCTTCAGAGTCCCAAAGGCAGACACCAGCACAGTTGAGGGAACCAGCCGAAGCAAAGTTGCCCGCAACGACGATGGTGTTGGTGTTGGGTCGAGTTTGGATTTGGTTGACAATGAGATCAGAATCAGAGGCGGCTATCGCTCGTCAGTACAAACGTTCACAACATCGCAAAGTGAGCTCACCGTTCAAAGACGCCATGCCACTGGTCATCCAGCTATCTTGCTTCAAATCATATACCACCAACCCACTCCCAACCCCATCCACAGTAACCCCTTCACCACCCACATACAGCTTGTCTCCAACCACATCCAAAGCCCTGACGACACCAGTAACAGCAGTAGTCGGTCCTGTCAAGGCATCGTCACCCTTCGAATGGAAGGCGACACCCTCAACGTTTCCAGAGGAAGAGGTAAAGTTGCCGCCAAGGATGGTCACGGTGGGTTTACCAGACGCAGACGAGTTGGTCCAGTATGTACCGGTGAGAACAGCAGGCGCGGGGTATGATGCGGAGACGATGGTGGGGGCAGTAGCTCGGGGAAGGAGGCCGGGAAGAGTGCGCTCAACGAGGGCATCGGTGAAGCGGCTGAGCCAAGATCGGGAGACCATAGAGTTGACGTTGAGAGATCGGCGGGTGGAAGTGCTGTTGGAAGAAGTGGATGCTGAGCCGGCAGTACCAAAGCTCACACCGTTCAATGAAGAGATGGTAGCAGAGCCATCGGAGTTGGTGGAAAGAACGGCGACACCGCTAACAGCATTGCTGGCAGATCCGTAGACCTTACCCGCAAAGTATGCCTCCTCATGCGAAGACGATGGCACAGCACCAGCCGAAACGTTGCCAAACAACACACCGGTAGTTGTCCACTCTTGGTTCTTATCATCCCAGATAGCGAAACCGCCAGTCTGGTTGGTGGACCCGTCGGCATTGATGACACTCGTAAAGTTGCCAATGACAATGACTTCGGTGGTCGAGGTGGCGGATGCGAGAAGGTCGGTCACGAGACCATCAACACCGCCACCAAGCGCAGCCCATGCTTTACTGCTGGGATCGTACCTAGCAACGTACTTGAGGCCTGTTTCGCCGGAGGACGCTGTAGCGGTAAAGTCACCGCCAAAGAAGATATAGCCATCGGCCACGACGGCAGTGTTGACAATACCCCCAAGACCTTGAGAAGCAAGCGCAGAGGCTTCGCCAGAGGAAGCATCGATGGAGAGAACGTTGGTATAGTTGTTGGTGGAAGAAAAGTCGCCACCAACAAAGACAGTGTTGTCGTGAGCGACGATAGTGTTGACTACCCAAGCCGAAGCGTCAGACCCAGAAGCGTTGAGAGCGGCGTCGAGAGAAAAGCCCAAGCGAGCAAGGGGAGTCTCGGTAACGTTGCTCAGAGCCGAGGTGGCAGCATTGACATTCAAAGCAACCGTTCGCGGCCACTCGTAGACACCATACGCAATGTTGTACGACAGGTTGGTCATCGAGGTAGAGTTGATGGTGGTGGTGCCGTTGGTATCGGGAGTGCCGGCAGAAGTACCATTGAGTACAGGAGAAGTCGAGGTGGTGGACGAGCTGGCGTTGGTCGCCTGGCCAGACAAACTGGTGAGGGTCATCTGCACCTTGTCGGCGACGACAGTATACCTGTTGCCCCGAGCCGGTTTGGCGGGACTGGATGAGAGGGCAAGACTGACGGTGGGGGTAAAGTCGTCCGTGGAAGCGCCGACGGTACCAGAGTACACCAAGGTCTTGGTGTCATAGTCGACCTGCTCGGAGATGGTGCTGGTCCAGCCCATGCCACCCGAGAAGGGGAAGACTTCAATATCGACGCTCGTCCTCGAGTTGCAGTCGCCAGCATTCAGACATCCGGGGATGAAGACGTAGATGTCGTAGTTGCCCGCAGAAGAGACGTAAGGATAGAATGTAACGGAAGGATAGGTGGGATTGGCGACAGAGTTTGTAGCCTCGAGGTACGTGTTGGTGGCAGAGTCTGTGGCGATAGTCTTGCTTTCCCAATCACCAGTGGTCTGGATAGACCCGTTGTTATCGCTGCCACTAGAGCAAGTGACGGTGTCGTCAGAGGAAGATGCGGCAGAGATGTACGCGCCTATCAAGACGTCAGTATGCACCAGATCAAGTGCGAGACACTCACCGTCAGTCAACAACGACACACTGCTCAATCCAGCACCATCTCCGAGCCAACCCTTAAGCTGCATCTCAAATCCAGTAAGATTCTGTGTACCCTCGGTAAAGACGAAATCTTGGGCAGAAGTCGATGAAGAGTTGTAAAGGGGACAGTGGGTGGTGCAAGTGTTGACCTCGCCGGTGATCGGGTCGGTATACGTCATGTTGAGATCGGCGTACCACGGGAGCATGGTGAAGCTACACGCCGTGTCAGATGAAGATCAGCTGTGCAGACATGAATACTCACCAGAAAGTCGTAGTCCCTCGACCCTCCACAAGTCCGTTCACGACTCGAATACCGGTCGCCGCTAGGTAGCTCTGCCCGACAATGTTGACATTGGCAATGGTATTGTCTTGGGCTAACCATATTCCACTGTCGGGGCACAGGAGCACATCCGTATTAGAGTACTCAGATTGGTCGGTGCTCGGGCCTGCTTGTATTTGATACGAGGCGGTCGATGAACTGGACGCAGACACCGTCAAAGGTGTAAGGTAGCCAGAGTTGCCGACAGTGGTCGTGTTATCAGGGGCAGACTGGACAGAGGTGGTACTGCTGTTGCCTGTTGTGCCGTTGGTGGTCGAGGAGGAGTTGGTTAGGGACGTCGAGTTGGACACGTAGGAGATGGTGAAATCACCGCCAAAGTAGATACTCGACCCATTCGATGACGGTGATATGCTCTCCACGCGTCCATTGAGGCCCCCGAATGCAGGCGTCTCCCAGACACTGGACGCCGTTGACCATAGGGCGACATTGCCTCCTGTGCCCGTGGGCGCGTCAAAGGACCCTCCAAACCAGACTTGGGAGTTGTCGTCGTCACAGTAGACCGTGTCGACTTCGCCCGACAGTCCAGTGCCCAGCGCCTTGACAGAGCCGTCGGCGAGGGTAAAGGACGCGACATTATTGACGTCGGTGCCGGAGAGGGTGGTGAAGGTCCCGCCGACGTATAACGTCCCGTTTGAGGAATCATCCGTCCCCGCAGACCAGCACAGTGCGCTTATCACCCCTCCAGCGTCCGTGCTCGCCAGCGGCTTGAACCTCCCCTCTGCTGTCCGGTAGAAGAGCGTGTCTCCGTCTGTCGAAAAGGTGGTCTCTGAGGATGAGGACGACGCGTAGGGCGAGTCGTCGGACCACCAGTCGAGGCCTGAAAAGGAACCGCCCAGGCCTACGGTGCCCATTTTCGAAAAGTCCACCTGGGGGAGGGATGAGGGGGCGGCGGAGTCGGCCATGGCGGGGGCAGTGGCGGTGAAGAGGAGGAGGAGGGAGGCGAGGAGGGTCGGATGGCGGGTTGGTGTCGGGGGCATGTCGAGTGTGGGATGAGGATTAGGGATAATTTCAGATAATTTCAAAGAGTGTGCTGTGTTGTGCTAGGCGTTGTAAAGGAGAGTTGGCGGTGCCAGCGTTGTCGGCAAGAAGGGCGGGGGTATTTTCAGGCGCTGGGGAGAACGGGCGGAAGGGGCATGGAGAGGAGAAGAAGTACGCGAGAGGCTGAACAGAATTGCATGTTTGCCCGCGCCCTGAAGACACTGCAAAAACACAGACGCGTCCGTGCCATCCCTGCCCTCCTATAGGCTGCGATTCATCCACCGCATGCATGCTCCCGGGGCATGGCACAGCAGCCGGGGGCGTGCTCTGACGAGTAGTCTGTCTGATGGCATGAATCTACAATGCAGGCAGGATTCGCAGGAAATCTATATACGATCGACGTTCAACGTGGAATGTGGCTTGACAGCTGCTGGACTGGTGCGTTCATCACACGTGTACCTCATGCTGTCCATACGTTTCGCCCGGCACCTGTCGAGGGATGTATTGACGAGGATATGGCACATAATAGGGCGAAAGCATGCCATGTTGATTCATAGAATCGGACGCGACGGAGTGCGCCGCCAAATGCCGAGAGCGTGTGGCACTTTGACGCGTCAGACAACGAGGGATTCTACTGCCTCTGTATCGAGATCATCAGGTTCTTCAGAAAGGATAGAGGTCAGCTGTGAGCTTAGCATTCACTTTGAGGTAAACTAACGCTGGTCAGACAGTCGATCAACCAGAGCCCAAACTTGCCTAGAAGGGCAATTCGCGCGACAATCTCCAGGCACGCACTTGTCCTGCCTCATCAGCCACTGCGGTGCTGACGTTGAACGATACATCCTTGGGCACAACTCACGACTCTGTGCATGCATGCATCCATAATTAAGGAATGACATGTATCACGTCGTCAGCTACTCACTGCATCAAGAATGAACGCTCTACAATGAGTATGAAGCGATATAAATATGCCATCGCTTGATCCGCTCTTTCCGACACTTTTTCGCGGGCTCAGGTGATTTGGTCATGACGCTTCCCACGCTCCATATTCTCCTGCTCGTTCCCAGATAAATTTCCATCTGTTTCACCAATTCATCTCTCATCCATCGATCCACCTTATTTCGTACCAATCTTGCTTTCAGCTTGCTTGATACATCCCACACCTCTACACTCAGCCCACCCCCTCCCTGCACCCTTGATCACACTCTCCAGAAACCAAAACAGGCTTCACCCACCAGTCAAAATGATTACCTGTATCGTTGTCTCAGTGGCCTCTTTTGTCTCTGTCGTCGACGTGAAGCCCAACGCGTGCGTACTCTTATCAGCGGTCCATCCCGCAAGCTCGGTAGACCGTGAGGCTGACGACTTCCTCCTCACAGCAGCATCCCCACTGCATTTACCAAAATTCACCAGGGTGGCAAGCCTACCCCCAAGCCCAAGGGCAAGAAGACTTCCTCTGCCTCAAAACAGTGAGTTGTTCACACTCAACGAGCCCTCCCACAACCACTCGTCGCTGACTCGCCACCAGCTTCAAGCACCACCATGCCGTCAAGGCTTCTCGTACCTCTCTCCCCACCCCCGCCTATAAGGCTCACCACTACAAGGGTTCTGCCAAGGTGACCCTCACCCCAGTCCCCCAAAAGTGGACTGCCGGTCACCTTGATGGCACCACCAAGGTGCTCCTGCACCGCACCCCAGCGGAAGAGGTGTAAGTAATTCTCTCTTCGTCTGATGCTGTACTGACTTCTCATCCAGTACTCTCTTCCTCACCCCCACCTCTACCGCCCCCAAGGCCAACTACAAGGGTACCCACCTCGGTTGTACTCGCGTCCGTCTCACCCCCTCCCAGTGGGCTGCCTCTCATCTCGGCGGCTCCAAGGTCCGCGTCTCCCTCGCTCCCGTCCCAGGAGTCTGCCCCCAGGTCATCTCCCAGGTGTAAGTAGACCTTCGCAAGCTATCAAGGAACTTGCTGATTCTCTTCGATAGGGTGCCAACCATTTTCTTCGCCCCTCCCGCTCCTCCCGCAACCGTTGACTGGACCGCCGGCCACCTCGGCGGTACCAAGATGCTGCTTCAGCGCTCCAGGGTCAACGCTTGGGAGAAGATGGACGAGAAGACTATCGCCGCTGTTACGCAGGCCCCGGAGCGATGGGCTGCGTCCCATGTCGGCGGTAGTAGGCTTCGCCTCTCCCGCACTGCTCTTTGAGCAGTCCGATGGGCGTTTACTTTTTTCTTTTAATGGACAATTTCTCCTTCTTTCCTCCTAACTGGTTCTAGATATAGACATTCATATATAATATAGACATATACAAGTATAATGAGCATAGTGAACATGAAATAGACGTGGTTGATGATGAGCATGTATATAACGTAGTCTTCCCTGCTATCGAAAAAGATCGTCAATTGATTTCTACTGCTGTTCTATGCAGGTTCTAGATGATAGATCAATCCGGTCTCCCAATCCACGCCCAGTGCTCTACCCATCCCCGACCATCCAAACAGGAAGCATGCGCGAACAAGGGCACCACTCGACACATAGACGTAGTACGTTCAGCACGTATGTAAGATGACTTGCTGTCTACTTCATTCTCGCTCAAGTCCCGGATCAAAGCCTTGAGCGCCAGATCTGGTTAGGCACTCATGCCAGCCAGGCCGGCGCACAATGGCTTGGTTATGCGTTATACAAACATGCATGCACAGCTCCTTCTCCAACATCTGCCGCCCATCTTCTTACTTGCCGCCGCCACCACCTCCACCCTCCCTAGGCTCATCCGGGCCCATCTGCACAGCAAAGAAGAGCGCCAGCCCGACAATGTACATCCAGTACTTTTGCAAGAAGCCCTTCTCGGGAGGAGGGACGACTGGGGCGCCGGTGGTGTCCACGACGGGGGGTGCGCCGAGAAGTGGCCTGTGAGATCGGGTCAGCTTCGCCTTCTTACAGGATCGGACCTGCTCACAAGGCTGTCTTTGCGGTTCGCGAAGTCTCAAAGATGACACTAGAGAGGTCCTTGGGAGTTTTGACAACGGACTTTGTACCGCAAGTGTTGCTCTTAGGATCAGCAGAGTGGACCGAGATTGACAACGGTCTCGTTCCATTCACTTGCACCTTGACCACAGGAGGTGCCGACAAGTAGCACTGCGTACCACGTCAGTATACCATACCCATTCCAGCCGTATCCCAGACTTACGGATCGCGTGGAAGCGATGAGCCACTCCCCCTCGTCGTCTCCTTCTTCCAGCTGTACTCCCACTTGATACCACCCAGTCCCATCATCTTCCACTTCGTTGCCCGCACTCTGCTCTCCTACCGACAGCGAAAGCTTTCCGACCAGGCCAGAAGCTTCGTCCGGTATGCTTATTGATCCTATCGATTCGAATGAAGAGAGGGAAGCGGTGGATGACGATGAAGACTGAGGGAGGATGCGCTGGTAGACTGGGTATTGCTGAGATGCAAGAGCTAGCGGTGCCACTAGGAGGGCCGGGATGGTGGCGGAGAGGAGCATGGTGGGCTGGTGGTGATCAGACGCCGAGAAAGCAAGATCATCTTCACTTCATCACCTCGCTCATCCGACCGCAACGAACAACGAAGAACGGGATCAAACTGAAGTACTGAACGCGTTCAGCCAGCCCCTCTATGGACGAAGGTGCCCAATGTTTCTTTTTCTTTCAACTACGACCGGTTTATTGCCCTTGCATTGCTCATTCAGCGTGAGTGCACACTTGCAGACTGATCGTATATCGCATATAACAAGATCTCAAGCTGAAGAATACATGTGCGCAAATGATCGTCAACTCTCTAGGATACCCGTCCTCTCCACCCCAAAAGCCCAAATAGAAACACAACTAGATCTCAACAGAAATATGGAAAGAAACCCTATTATATGATACACCTCTAGCCAACCCCGCCTTCTTTCAATCACCCATCAGCCCGGCTCAAGACAGCTCTCGCCCAGACACCGTCCTCCTTCTCCCATCAGGATTCGCAATCTTCAACTTCTCCTCCTTCTTTATCACCTCCCAAATCGTCGTCTTCTCCTTGAGCCCCAGAATCCCCATGCCAGAGGAGTTTCGCTTGCTAGGCGGCGATCCCAGAAGCGAGGTGGGGCGAGATGGGGACGACATGCGGGAGGGGGTGGTGGATGATGGTCTCGCGGGAGAGGAGGCGGAAGGAGAACCATCGGCGAATGGATCAGAGTAAGAATAAGAAAGTGGTCTGGGTGGCGTAGCCGTCTTGTGCGCAGGCTCTGCAAAGCTGATACGCCTAGCCGACTTTTGCGACGATTCCCCGACGCTGACTGGTCTAGGCGGCGTAGCCGTCCTCTGTATCTCCTCGCTCGACCCGGTATCGCTCGACCTGATCGAAGTCACCCTCTCCGGAGCGTGAGAGTACATGACTCTAGGTGTAATCAAGCTCGTGGGCGTCTTGGCACCGCGCTTGTTGATCGAGTTGACCACATCCCTCACTGGGCGTCTGCCCTTGTTGTCGCCAGAAGCTGGAGGTTTGGCTTTGGGGGTGTGGTTGAAGGAAGGCTTCTTGGGAAGAGGAACGTGGCGCAGCGGGGCAGTCGGAGCTGGGGGATGTTCAAACTTCTTGGGCTCGATCTTTGGGACAGTTCGAGGCTTGGGTGCTGTGGGCGCTGCAATGACGGCCGGGGGAGCGGGGATGGGAGCCTCTGGTACAGCGGTCTCAGGCGATGGACTTCGCTCAGGTGAAGCAGGTTCTCCGCTTTCAGAGACAGTCGGCAGAGACGAAGGAATACTAACACTCGAAAGCCGGTGATCCGACTTGACAGGAGCGATAGGGACGTCATTCAAACTCAAGTCCAAAGAGTTTGGCCCAAAGTCAAAGTCGGCCATCAAGTCTCCTTCGTCCTCGACGGCAGTCTGGTAACCGGACGTCCTGGCCTCTTCCCACTGATCTTCCACAGACGAGGTGATATCGCTCTCGCTCTCTCCCTCATCTTCACTTTCTACGACCCTCATCGTATCATCACCCTCCTCATAGCCCATCAACCTGTCGTCTTCATAGGCTTCAGGCGCTTCCTCCACAACACCAACACTCTCCGAGCCTTCGTCCGTCCCTTCTCTTTGCACCAGTACCATATCCCTCATCGACCTCGCCGAGTTGATACTCGAGATGCTCGGTCCTGTATGATGCGCCAGCCTGGCCGCTTTAGTAGGCAAGCTGGTGGGAGGGTGTGCAGACTCGGGGGACGAGGTGGTAGGAGAAGAATTGGTAGGCGCAGAAGGAGCAGAGGACTGATCTCGGGATTCGATAGGCCACAGCGTGGGCTGAGGTGCCGGGTCTCGAATTCCAATCTGACTTCCAGCTCTCGAGCGGTCGCTCGCTTGACTGTTCTTTCTGAATACCGACACGCCAGCATCCGCCATCCGCTTCAAGAACGACTCGTTCCTCCTCAAAGGCGTGGGCTCTACAGGATCAAGAGGCGAGAGCGAGACGATACTCGCTTCATCCCGGACCCCACGCTGAACGCCATCGACAACGATACCTTCCTCAAGATCAGATTGCTGCCTGGACGAGTCCGTCACTCCCGACCTCCCTGACCCGGCAGATACGTTGGTACCAGTATGACGTGAGTTTTTGGTGGTCAGCCACGAAAAGAGGTCGAGTGGCTCGGTGGGGCCAAAGTTGGGAAGCTGATACCTCTGAGCAGAGTTGACTGATCCCGCCTCAGACTCTTTGGGTGTCGGAACAGGACCGCCTTTGAAAGGCACCAGTATAGGCCCACTCAAATCGGTACCACTCCCCCTCTCACTCTCTCCAGACCTCCTCCAAAGACCCAGATCGCCCTCAGAGTCGCTATCAGAGTAGCTCGCGGGACAGACATCATTGTATTGACGGGTATCTTCGTCGCTCAGCATGTCGATTCGCTCGTCCCAGATCACGCTCGCGCGAGCAGGCTTGTTGGGAGAGTTGGGAGCGTAGTAGAGTGATTTGCCGCGCTGAGGACGAGGGCCGATGAGGCGGATCCCTTGAGCTTCTCGCCTGGTAAGCTTTCGAGGGGGTCCGGGGGCGACAGCGACAGGATCCTCGTGTCCAGGTGAATCGCCATGCAGCTCGGTATAAGGTTCAGCCCAGCGAGCAGCGCGAATTCGAGAAGAGATGCTCGACACCTGCGCATTGACGGCCCCCAGAGCAGCTCCCCATCCACCATGCGCCGACACAGCTCCAGAAGCAGAGGCATTGGGCATACTCTTCTCTCTCATTTCATCCATCAAACCAGGCCCCCTCTTTTCACCTCCATATCCACTCGTAGCGCCGCTAGGAATATGGCCTCTAGGTCCGCTAGCAGGCCAGACGGGCTCCTTGCCAATTCGACGACGTTGAGACCGCCTGCGGATAACCCATAAGCAAAGGCCGAGGACTAACGCAAAGAGGCCGACAGAGCCGACAATGACGCCGACGAGGATGGATGTGGTGAGCGGGTGAGAGTTGGCACCTGCGTCGCTCGGGGTTGTGGACTCTGTCGAAGTTGGCACGGGATTGTTCACTGACAAATGTGGGTCAGCTTTGGTCTCACTGATTATTCATCGGTCTGGGAGGGGAGAGGCGGACGCACAAGTCGGGCTGCCACTACTCTCCGAACCCGGGGTCGACACTGATCCGTGTCCCGAGCCCGCTGAGCCTGACGTTCCGGTGGATGCAGGTGCGCCGGTCGAGGCACTGCCAGGACTGTTCGGCTGCCCGATGGAAGAGGGTATGTTGTTGGTGGTGGTAGATCCGCCAGACTCACTCTGTTGGGACGAGCTGCTGCTGTCGCTACCCGAAGACGACGATGAAAGAGCGGAAAATTCGGTGACCCAGGAGAAAGTGGAAGTGGAAAATATGTAGAGGGTGCTGTCGGCTGGTCCAGAGGTGGAGTATCCTGTGATGTGGTCAGCAGTATCGTATGTGAAACAGAAGCGGACTTGCCTCCAAAGACGAGAATCTGGTCACCCACAGCTACTGCCGAGTGATCATATCTCGATCCAGCGCCTATACTGTCGTGAGCTTTCTTCTTCAAGGTTGAGAATCGACTTACCATCCACAGAAGACGTCTGCTCCCATACCAACGTATCAACATCCAACACCCACACATCTCCATAAACATCCCCCAACCCAGCACTCGCTCCTCCGATCAGTACCACCTTCTTCCCATCCCCACTCAATGCCGCCGTCGCACCCCTCCTCCCAGTCGGCAGACTATCAGAGGAAAGGGTAATCTCATCCCAGGCGGGAGAGTCTGAGGAAACGTCTAGACGATAGATGGAGTTGAACGAACGGACGTCGGCGTTGCTCGTAGCCTGGGAGGTGTAGGCGCCGCCGAATACGAGGAGGGTACCGTTAGAGAGGAGCACGGAAGTGTGGTGATACACCTGTTCAGGCAAGGAGGGTAAGGCACTGAAAGAGGCAGTGGAAGGGTCAAACTCGTAGACATCAGAGAAAGTGACGCCAGAGCCATCGCCTTTGAGACCGCCGGTAATGTAGACCTTGCCATCGGAAGAGGAAGCTGCAGAGTGGTAGACCCTGTTCATAGGCTGAGATGCCCAGTCTGTTGTTTGATGAGCGTAAGAATCGGAAGAGCTGGAAGTGTCGAGGGTCATGAGCCATGTAGAATCGTTCGCCGTGGTGCTCGCTTGATTGCCACTTCCATCTCCGCCGAAAGACAAGAGCTGCCAGGTATCGCCCGACTCGCTGACTGGGGAGAGTGTGTGCCACGAGGCAGTAGGCCCCGACGAGGAGTCGAGCTCGGTCCATGGCGGTGAAGAGGCGTTGAACGACGAGCTGAGGGGGAGTAGAAGGGTGGAGGCAGTGTTGGGGGCGGAGGAGTAGGAGAAAGAAGAATCAGTTTTACCGCCTTGCAGGATGAGGGTAGGCGGAGAGGATATGTAGGCTGCAGCTTGGCCCCATCTGTGGTAGGTCAGTGGGCGTTGCTCAAGAGAGTTCCAAAGCGCACCTTGATGTTATATCTGATCTCTGTTCGTACGCTTGGGCTGTGGCAGTGTATAGGAGCGCACATATGAGGAGTGTTTTGTGGGTCATGGTGGGCACAGGACACGCGAATGAGGAATGGAAGAGAAAGTGAAGTTCGCTGTCTGTAATGTTGGAATACGACAGGGCAGGTACAAGTTGGCTGAAAGGATCTACGAGGAACCATCACAGGCCACCAGTCGAGAGAGTAGTGGGTAGGTGCGCATGCATGCATTGAGATGTGTATTGAGATGTATAGGCAGCTATAGTGTGCAGAGTCCAGCTCATATCTTTATCGACATGTGTGATGAATGCATGTCGAAAAATGATGATATGCATTTTGAACGACCCATGCATCATTCAACGCAGCTGGATGAACCAAACACACAATCCCCAGCCGCGACGAGAAATTCGGCGTTAAGTAAGCGGAGATCGCCGCCGGCATGGAAAGGCCTCTGCGCCACATGAAGATTTGCCGCGAGTCGCCGGGAGATTTGGGTGTGGAGAGTGTCGAGGTGTATCGAGAGTTCAACAGACGTAGGTTCACCACAAAACTAACAAAGTGAGTACACAGACACTCAGCACAGCACAGCAACCAGCAACGGGGGAGCATTGGGCAGCAGGGACGGACGGGCGTCAATGAGAGAGAGCGCTCAGAGGAATATGGAGGATACTATGGAAGACGACGTTGGAGGAATATCTGCGTGATGGCGAAGAAGAGGGGGAGATGTTGCTGGACTTGCTGTGCTTGATGCTCGGAGAAAGCCCGTGCCAAGAATGCTTGCTGACGGATTGCTTCTCGCAATCTTTCGCCCTTGTCAAAACTTTCGACTATTCCCTTTCACAACTTTCCACAACCTCCAGATGGGTATCGACATCCGCCGCCACCACGTCAAGAAGGGAAACAGGGCCGCTCCCAAGTCTGAGGATGCCTACCTTCTCTTGCTCGTCAAGCTCTACAGGTTCCTCGCCCGAAGGACCGACTCCAAGTTCAACCGAGTCATCCTCAGGAGGTTGTTTATGAGCAAGGTGTGTCTGCTGGGATGAATGAGACGAGAAGGGAACACTGAGACGAAGCGTAGATCAACCGACCCCCCATCTCCATCTCCCGAATCGTCAAGGAGACCAAGGGTTCCAACCCCGACAACTCCAAGACCGTTGTCGTTGTCGGCACCATCCTCGACGACGAGCGTCTCCCCGAGGTCCCCAAGCTCACCGTCGCTGCCCTCCGATTCTCCACCGGTGCCCGTGAGCGTATCACCGCCGCCGGCGGTGAGGCCATCACCCTCGACCAGCTCGCTCTCCGAGCCCCCACTGGTTCCAACACTGTCCTCCTCAGGGGTAAGAGGAACGTCCGTGAGGCCGTCAAGCACTTCGGTGGACCCCTCAAGGGCGGTAAGCCTTACATTGAGAGCAAGGGTAGGAAGTTCGAGAAGGCTCGTGGTAGGAGAAAGGTGTGTTTGTTTACTGGAGTGCATGGAGTATGGCTGACAAGCTTGCGATTACAGTCCAGGGGTTTCAAGATCAAGTCTACCCACAAGTAAACTGCTCACAGGAGTTAGTGAAGCTTTTTGGAGGCGGGTCTCATACGTGGTGGTGGGACTTTGTGGTGTCGTTGGGATGTTACGATTTCCTCATGCACCATTTTCCGAATACTGGAGACCCAAGAGCGCATCCATACTGGAGACCGTGCAGGAGAGGACGGACATGCTGATGATGTAGGATACCAATTGGCATAAATATTCATTCGGGCTTCGGCACATCAGCTCCCATCCGCCGCTTATCTAAAGCCACATCCTTTCCTCGACGTCTCTGACGAACAACGAACAACATGGCCTTTGGATTATCTCCGGATTGTCGATCCCTGTCTTTTTTCTGGTTGGATGGGGTCTCGATTGTTCCATTGTCCTATTGTTTGCTTCGCCAAGGCAACAACATAACGTAAACGACAACGATTATTGAAACGCGCCGTATCCAAGCGCGTGCATTCGAGGGTCGATGGGCAACCAATCAAGCTGATCATTCCCCGGTCGCCAACAACACTCGACAATGCTTTAGGACATTATAAAATCCTGGTTCTCTTTCTCTCTTCTGTAGACTACAGCAATAACCCGCATAGCCAGTGTTCTCCAGGACTCGACGTCCATACCACGCTCTTTCGCCCGCACGCTCTTTACCTTCCAAGGCCGGCCTTACTACATCATCTCCCGACTCTCCCACACAACACCGTTACAACACGTGTATCAATCCAATCAAAATGCTTCTCACCAACCTCTTTGCGCTTTTGCCTCTCCTTGCTCTCGCCTCTGCGCGACCCTACGATGACAAACTCCACCGCCGCCAGTGTACCGCCCACAGAAACCACAAGTTCTCTGCTCACGGGAACGGGACACTCGATGGTCAGGGGAGCGCTGTGGCTGCTGTTGTCGTTCCTGCTTCTTCTACTGCTTCTCTTGAGCAGGAGACGCAGACGGCTACATTCATTTCGAGCAGCACCGAGGTCCAAGAGACTGCCACTCCCGTCTCTTCTACGTCCGAGCAGGAGGCGACGACCACCTCGTCTTCGTCCCCGGAGGAGACTGCCACATCCGCTTCTTTCAGCGTCAGCGCCGAAGCCTCGTCCACCGGCTCCTCTTCGGGTTTGAGCACCGATGCGCAGACGCTGGTCGATCTTTACAACGCTTTCCGAGCCCAGTACGGTACGTCCTTCCCTCTTGAATGATACGGCTCGATTGCCGGGAGCTGATGCAAGGTGATCAGGTGCTGGCAACGTGACTTGGAACGATGACTTGGCTTCTTACGCTGCTACTGCCGCTGCCAAATGCGACATGCAGCACACGTACGTCCCATCACGTCTCAAACATGGTCTTGCTGTTGACTGATGTCCATGTCGTAGCGGCGGCCCGTACGGCGAGAACCTGGCTTCCGGCGTTGGTGGCGGCTACGACATTACCGCCGGTTTCCAGTCGTGGGCTGATGAAGCCTGTAAGCTTACCTTTGCCCTCTTCCGTGCTGGTCTCAATGTACTGTTGCTAATGTCATATCACATAGCCTCCTATAACGGCAGCGCCTCCCACTTCACCCAGGTTGTCTGGAAGGCTACCTCCGAGATCGGCTGTGCCACCTCCTCTTGTGCTGATGGGACCATCTTTACGGGCTATGGGTCGAACTTGCTTTACCTTGTTTGTATGTCCTCTATCATGGAACATTGATGGGTGTGAGCTGACGCGGTGCGGGACAGGCGAGTACAACCCAGCCGGCAATGTTATTGGCGACTTTGCTGCCAATGTTGGTGCTTAGAGCTTGACCTTGGGGTATCAAGCGATGATTGTTCAGGTATCGTCAAGTAATCAAGGGCAGTCCACTTTGAGAGTGGACGTTCTTGATGCCTCCGCCTCTTTGTTTCTAGGTGTCTCTTTCTTGGGTGTGTGTACGTATATGCGAGTCAAGCTAGCTCGATGCAATGACTGTATGCTTGCGATCTAGAGTCACCTTGTTGTTGCAGTTCATCTATCTTGCGTCGCGTGGTCGAAGAAGAAGCGCACATGAAGCATAACCAGAGCGCATCTGACGCTCATACTGTAGAAGTAACAAGTCAGTCACCGTGGAAGAGCAGCACCAAGCTCCGGTGTGCCCAAACTTCTTGTGCTGACGGCACCATCTTTACTCGCCACGGCGACTCTCCCTTCATTGTTTGTGAGTCGACGGTTCATCAGGAGTAATATGCAGGCTGATATATGTTGGAAGTCGAGTACGACCCTGCTGGTAATGTCGCAGGCCAGGACATCGCGCAGGTTGTTGCATTCAAACATGAGAAGTAGCAGTCCATGGATGATCACCCCTACGTCATGGATCATCCTGTCAGAAGCCAACAGCAGGCCCAGCAGGCAATGAACAGAGAGCATGAATCTTGACCTTCTGTCGCACCGGCTACTGTTCCTATCCTGTGCCTATGATGCAGGTGGTTTGTGCTGTATTTGGAGAGGCTGAGGAGAGCACACTCGACGTTGCCAAGCGGGAAAAGCAAGACTATGGCTAGTTGTCTGCTGACCGCTGACAAGAGATGATTCAAGTCTTCGGGGGGCGTTCGATCTTTGGCTTCTGGAATGATTGGCCTGATTGTGCGGCGTGCCCCATGTGCATCCATCGACCATCATCCGGCATCCGGGCGTATGTTTGCCGTTTCATACAAGTGTCATGCTATTTCGTGTTGACTCGTTGTTCTGGACTATGAGAGCAAAGAAAGGCCCCCCCATATCTCGCGAAAAAAGCAACGTAACATCAGGGAGCGAGGTACAAGGGGCGCGAACGAGAGAAATCAAGCGCGCGCGTCCGTTCGAAATGCCGGAAAGACAACGCCCCCCATGCATCATTTTCTCCATCCGGGAGAGCGGTGTGGGCTGTGGGGCAGTGCATCGGGCGCTGTGACGACCCCCGATGGGCAGATACACTTTGCCCATGTGCAGCGACTCCAGCGATAGAGTCGGAGCTTGAAGATTAAACCCTCTTCCCCCGGAAATTTCTGTCGGGCACCCGACCTCCCTTATTTTGTCACCCTTCGTTCTGCACCAAGAGTGTTTGTTCCTTCTGCACTTCCTGGGTCCTGCATCTCGTTTCATCACCAGGAACCGGGGCCACTATTTGTTTGGTCTCGGCCGTCACCCAGAGTGGAGTGTAGAGAAGCTTTATGGCCTCGCCAGACATATAAAAGCCACATTCCTATCCCCTTCTCCCTCTTCCCCACCTTCTCTCGCCACTTTCAACTCTCACCACCCAGCCAACCACTCCAGTCAACATGTTCATCAACCTCACCACCATCGTCGCCCTCCTGGCTTCTGCCTCTGCAGTCATCGCTGCCCCCGCCCCCGCCCAGGCAGACTCTGACATTGCTGCCCGAGACACCCAGTCCACTTGGCTCACCATGCACAACAACTACCGCGCCCAGCACGGTAAGCTTCCTTCCCCTCTGTGTGTTCCTTGTGGTCCAGAAGGCTGATGTGAGAATAGGCGCCAAGGCTTTGACCTGGAACAGCACCCTCGCCAGCTATGCCCAGACATACGCCAACAAGTGTGTCTTCAAGCACAGGTTCGTCCATCCCCATACTTCTCTTTTTCTTCCCCATCTTCTGCCCGAAATCCAGTGCTGATGAAGTTTTGAATAGTGGCGGCAAGTACGGCGAGAACCTGTAAGTCTTATCACTTCTGATGCCCGGCCATGGCAGTGCTAACTTGGGTTTGAAGCGCTGCTGGTGTCGGCTATGATGACGCTGCTCTCTTCAAGGGATGGACCGACGAGTCATGTGCGTTCCCCCACACCCCACCCGGGTCTTGCGGGTACACTGTATACTGACACAGAAGTACAGCCGCTTACAGCTCTTCCAACCCCACTGCCTCGCACTTTACCCAGGTCGTGTGGAAGAGCAGCACCCAGCTCGGTTGTTACAAGGCGTCTTGCGCGGATGGCACCATCTTTACTGGTTATGGAACGTCTGACTATGTCGTCTGTGAGTGTCTTGGCTGGTTGGACTGCAAAAGGGTGGAAAAGCTGACTAGCTTTGCAGGCGAGTACAGCCCCGCTGGAAACGTCATCGGCCAGTTCGCTGCCAACGTTCAGAAATAAGGTCGGAGTCTGGTAGGGGAGAGCTGGCTTCAGGTCGCTCGGATGGTCCATCATCATTATCATTGCTTTTATACTTTCATGTACAGAGTACTCGAGTACTCTACAGTATGCCATCGTTCTAACGCGCGACCATTCGAGATTGAGGAGGAAACAAACAAACAAAAGAAGAAGGTTTGTTTTCGGCCGCTGGATATTACGTTGCTTGACGGTAATCTCCTAGATTGTGGACCGAGACCGATAGAGCCGTGAGTGTGAGTCGGCAAACACGTTTGTGAAGATGCTCCATGCTTGTCCGCACACAGTCGCGCACTATTCAGACGACAGGTGGCTGACAATTTGGTTTCATTTCAACAGTTGTATCTAATCAATGGTGAGGTTTGTTTTTTCGTACACACTATGCAAATCTATCATCTTCCCCTTCCCCTAATCCTTCCTCGAGCCATGCCCAACGACACCAGCTCCGCTCGCCTTCTCCCACTGGGCATCACCCTTCACCTGGCTCGCAACAGCCTCCACACCGTGCGCGACATCACCATGGCTCTTCTTCTCCTTCTTTGGCCCACCCACAAGCAGACCGGTACCAATCACACCCGCCAAGATCCAAGCACCCGTCCTCTCGTGGTCGTCCAAAGCCCGCTTCTCATACTTGTAGTCCTTCTTCTCCGCTTTAGGGAGGCTGAAGCTGAGGGCATTCCAAGCGGCGCTGGGAGCGTTCCAGATGGAAGAGGTGAAGCCTTCGAACGAGGGGAGCTCGAGCTCGCTGGCCTCGAGGGCGTGGGCGTCGGTGTGGCCGTGCACGCCGTGAACGGGCCCGCCAGCGTGGTGCGTCGAGGCAGAGGCGACGGTGAGGACCTTGGGGTCTTTGGAAGGTGATGAAGAAGAGGGGAGAGCAGAGTTGGAGGCAAAGTTGTCCGGGGTCAGAGGCTGAGGATTATATCAGCCAGCGTCCTTTCAGGAATGCTAGTCATGACATCAAGACTTACGATAACCTGCTCAATCTCTCCAGAATCCGCTGCATTGGTGGTGATGGGGATCCTGAGATCAGAAGACCCGGAGCCAGCGGCGTTCTTGCTCTCGGGGAGTCCGGGGGCAACAGTGATCTGCTCAGGAGCGACGGGGTCGGGGTGGACGGCTGCTGTGCGCTGGGACTCCACTTGGAGCGCAGGGTCGGTGGTGCTAACACCCGGTGCGACGTCATGGCTCTCTTCCTTGGGAGCGCTGCTGGCCTTCTTCTTTGGTGGGAAAGCTGCAGGAGAGGAGGTAGAGAGGGCTCTGGCGCCGGAGGGGAAGGGAGGTAAGGGGCCGAGGAGAGAGGTCGTCTCGGCAGACTCGATACGCGAGATAAGGGTGGCTCTGTGCAGGCTGTCAGCTCCAGCCCCAGTTGCACCACGATATACAGGGGTGTACTCACTTGTTGCCCTTCTGGGACAGACCGCGCTTCTTGAGCTCTGCCTTGAGCCCCACGACAGTCTCTGTCTTCCAATTTCTCTCGGAGGAGAGGAGGACGGCGGAGGCGAGGGACCTGGAGCGGGCGTGGTGAGCGATGGGGGTGGCGGTGGGGGCGGGGGCGGCGGCGCGGAGGAGGCCTGTGGAGAGTCTTCGTCTGAGCATGGCGTAGAGGATTGTTGTGAGAAAGTGAGTGTTGATCGCATTCTCAGTGGCTGCTTTCACGCGCCGGTAAGGGGGTCCCGAGCGGATCGGGACAACTCGGCCCTAACACCATGAGCCATGACGCATATACTTCTGGCTATGCATATGTGGCTGGGTAGAACACTTGGATAACTCGAACAGCGGGAGAAGGTAGAAAGCGAGGGAGGATAGACGGTGAAGCTGGCGTGAGGCGTCTGAGCCAAATCCCATGGCGCCCGCTCGGGGCAATGATCAATGTCATGACGATGGAAGAGTCGCACTCCACTTGACCAGCCTCGGTGGGGTATCTTGACGATATGCTACAACCGGTCGTCAAGAGGGGCCGAAGCAAGTCCGATGAGTCTCCATAGAGAAGATGCAGAAGAAGAAGAAGGTCATGTCGAACGGAGCTAAGGAAACGTCAGAGCTGCAACCGGAAGTCTCCCTCATCATCGGTATCAATCTGCTGGATTTTGGCAGACAGAACACAACGTCTCACGTGATGATTCCCTCGAAATCGGCCCCCATCAGATCCAAAGACAATTGAGGCCGAAGGGCATGCTGCTGTTGTGGATGCGGAATCCAGGCCATCGTTGTTGGTCTATATACGGCATCGGGAGCTAGCAGGAACTGATAACTATGTCTGTCCGGCGATCTCTCATATCCGCCTGCACCAGCTGCTGAAACTGCTGACCACAACCTTACTGATAACGAGCCAAAGTCGCGTGTCCCATGACCCAATCAGCTATCTCTCTCGCGTCAGCTGCCTACAGCCTGCCATCCCGCATATCTCGTGAGACCTGCATGCTCCTTGCCTCCACACAATATTACATGCACCAGAAGCCGACCTCGGTCCCAATCAGGCATGCATGACCAGGACTTGGCGTTTGTTTCTCTTTCTCTATCATCGACCACCGGCTCTCGGATATCTCAGATCACCATGGGGCTCTTATACTCTGGCCCGGATCGTTTTATGCTGGAATAACCCCCTCTTTCTCTATCATTCTATCATCCTTGACCATCACTCCTTCCCGCCTTCAACACACGCCACATCATGACCGAGACCGTCCCCAACCTCACCCAAGGAGGCGCCACCAACAGCCAAGACCGCTCTAACCCCGAGCTCTACCAGGTCACCTCTCCCGAGAGTGCAAAGGTCGCACACGCACATGACGAGTACCATGGAGGAGCCAACATGAGCCGATTCATCACTCCCGGTGGCTCGGCGGTGGACAACAGTCAACCTGCCTTCCCGGTCTTTCATCGCAAGTTTGCGAACCCCTCTCCTCTTGGTCTTCTCTCGTATGTCAGAGTTGTAGTCTGAATACACTCCTGCTGACCCGGTGCTTCTCGACAGCTTCGCGTCCTCGTCCTTACTGCTCAACCTTTACCAAGCAAACGCCCGAGGAGTCACAACACCTAACGTCATTCTTGGTATGGCTATCGGCGTTGGTGGTATGGGACAGACATTAGCAGGGATCCTGGAATGGGGATGTGGCAATACATTTGCTGTAAGCTGCCAATCGTGTGGTCAAGCCTGATACTGATCAGACTGCTTAGGCGACAACCTTTGTATCTTACGGCGGCTTTTGGTGGACTATGGCTTGTAAGTTGTTCCCCCTCACTTGTACATCTTGCCAGGCAAGCTAATAGATGCAGGGATCTATATGCCTCAATTTGGTATTACTGCCGCCTACGCAGAGGACCCGGAGATGCTCGAGAACGCCATCGGGTTGATGATGATGGCATGGGGCACACTCACCTTCCTCTTCGTCATTGCCGCCCATCGCTCTTCTGTGGCATTACTGTGTATCCTCGTGCCCCTCACAATCACCTTCTACGTAACGTACGCTACCTCTCGCATTGACCGTGGGGAAGGTCGACTGACTTGTGGCAGTGCGGCGGGATATTTGATGCAGAGCGCTTACTTGCTGAGGGTGGGAGGTGTGATCGGTTGCGTGAGTTTTACTCCTTTTTCTGGCCTTGGAAGGGGCGCTGATGAATGGGAAAGATCATGTCGATGTCTGGTTACTATTGCGCCCTTGCCGGTCTCTTGACGCCCGACACATCATACTTTATGGTACCTGTGGGCAATCTCGCACCCCGCCAGCATTAAGTAGTGTTGGCTTGGTTCTGCTGGTATTATCGTTGTCTAGCTTGTCTTTTTACCTTGACTCTCTCTCTCTCTTTGGGCTTTATGAGGGACGATCTCTCGTTGTAAATCTATATGTTGTTGGATTTGAAGCGACCAGGACGTGTCAGAGTTTGTTGTGATCGAAGATAACATCGAGATAGAATTTAGCTATTGCCTATCGTTGAACGTGACGATATGCCCATACTATTAGTACAAGATGCATTTCATGTAGTATGATACACTTTGATTCATCATTCCACACAATTTGAAGCAACTCGTACGATTATTTGGACTACCCGTCAGACACGCCATACTTGTCGACGACATTCACGAATTGAATCTTTCCATTTTCAGCACCTTCATGAGTCTTATCAGCGATGGGCTTTTCATCCGACCCCACAACGCGCCTCGTGTATTCCTTGATCTCGCCTATAGTCCTCTCAAGATCCAACTGTTCTCTATCCTCCGGCCACCTAGTTGAGTGTTTCGTCATGTCCATCATGAGCCTCGTCGTATAGTATCCCCATTCACTGTCAGACACAGTCATCCTCATAAGGGTAGAGATCCACGCGAGGATGGTTTCCAAACTCTCGACGCGAGCCGGATCGGACTCTGCGCCTTCGGGAGCCGCGTCGGAAATGATGATCTTGATGGAAAGACGAAGTGTGGAGAGGAGGCCAATCAGGTAGCGGTGCGCTGCTTGAGGAGGATTCCAGGAGAGCATTTCATCACCAGCGTCAGAGCATTCCGAAGAGAAGTCCCATGATTCAGAGTGTTCGTCGCCTTGGGTGGCAGCGACGGGTCGGTCATAGGCGCCAATATGGTCCTCAACGAGCTCGGATCCCAGCATGGGCTCGCTCAGAGCCACTTCTTCGTTGTGGACAGCAACGAAGCCTTCGTCAGAGTCGGCAGAAGCAAGAGTAGCAGTCTCCGACATGTCCTCTTCAACAGCGTCCTCCTCGTCTCCCATCTCGACGTCGTCTAACGCAAAATCTTCTTGATTCTCAATCATATCGCGCGACACATCTGTCCAACCTTCAGGGATATAAGCCGGCGCCGGCTTTCGGGGGATTTGACGAGTGGATTCGCTCAATCCTTTTGGTTGGTGGAACTTGGGGGTATACACCAAGAAATTCGATGGCTCAAGCTTGACACTCTCTGGCATTGTTGCCATCAGTTGATCCTTGTACTTGCGTGTGAACTCGTCATGGTCAAAGGCAAAGACGGAGGAGACTGGCTCTTTGTGCTGGCGATCACGCAAGGTTTCGAGGTTGTGGGTGTAAGCGGGCACAGGGGAAATGATTTGAGCAGGCGTCTTCGTCTCGGATGTGTCATTCCCAGGAGACTTGTCGGTCTTTCCACCAGCCGCCCCATCCTTCATGACCTCGTCCGCTTTGTCCTCCGCTTTGTCCTCCGCTTCCTCCGCTTGAGATTGCAGCTCACTGGCGGCAGGTAGCCAGGGGGGCATCGGTTTGAAAAGAGAAGCATCAGCAGGCATCACCTTTCGCGTGTACGTGTGAGGCGCATGAGGCCATCCAAGGGGTTCCATACTGGTAGGCTTGTGCACAGGTGTTACTGGGAGCGGAATTGTCTTCCCGGGCATCGTTGTCGGCTGGGGACTAGCAGGAGAAGCAGAGGGCGCCTCGTGAGCCTGAGGGGTAGGCGCAGGAGCAGCGGGTACCACGCCAGCAGGCTTGCTTACTGCGATCGCTGGTACCGAAGAGCCAGGGGTGGACGAATTAGGGACAGACTCGGGAACGGCTGGGTTCGACTTGACCGAAGCATAAGCTCGTGGATCAGTCGCGAGTGACCTGACGCCCTCAGAGACAGATCGTGTAGCCGGCGGGAGCCGGGTTCCGGGGGAATAAATCACGTATCGAGAGGTGAAAGGGCGAGAGTAGTTGGCAAACACTGCGTTTGCTTGCGACGCCTGGACCGGGACAGGCGGAAGCGGACGAGGCTCTCGAGCCTGGGCCTGAGAATGCAAGCCGTACGCCGTATCGTAAGAAATGCCAGTCTGGGGAGGGACGAAGCTGCTGGGAGGAGAGAGCCGAGTCTGTGGTGGCCAGTTGTTTCGAGCGGGTACCGTTTGAACTATGTCCTTCAAGAGAGAGTCCGAGTACGTCAAACGGTCCATCATTGACTGGACAGAAGCCTGATGCTTATCAGTATCTCTCGTGGTCGCTCGCATGAGGAAACGTACTTGACGGGCGCTTTCCGTAGTAACAATAAGATCTTCAATTCGCTTGAGGGCCTCTTTGTGTTCCGCCCTTTCCGCGCGGAGTTGCTCTTCGACTTCGAAGACCCGCTCCTCGAGAATGTCGTAACTATCGTCCCCTGGATCTGGCAAGGAAGGCTGTGGCATAGGGTCAGCAGGAGGGGCAGGCAGAGCTCATGTCTACTCACAGACTCTCTAAGGCAGCGTTCTACTTTGTCGAAACGCCTAAGTAGATTATTTTGCAATCGTTCCAGGACCTGAGCGGAAACCATGCCCCATTCGTCCTGCAACCAGCGTGTCAGTCCTGGAATGTGCGCGGAATCAGGCGGAATGACTGACCATTTGTAGATCCATAGAGCCAATGAGAAGCTTTCTGAGGTTTTGCAGCTCAGTGTGGGTCTTAAAGTTTGCAGTAGCGATCCCGTACTCCCACTCCTCTATAGCGCTCTCGAATTCGGCTTTGGAGAGAAGAGGGGCCATTGATTCCTAGACACGTTGTCAGAAGAGGAAGATACCAGCTTGCGAAGGAGATTACCTTGAGACTTCCCACTGCCTTCCTTAGATTATCGAGCCTGGCATCCATGCCGCCCATTCTGGCGTTGAGCAAAGACAATGTGCTCTGCTGCGGCCTCCGAGTCGATTTCAAGGTCCTCTCTGGCCCGGCTTGGGACATGTGTGTAAATCCTTCCCCTGATTTATGCAGAGCGGGAAACACCTTGAGATTGAGCATCAGCTGCTGATGAAGGCGGGACGAGCAGTCGACTCACAGTTCCATCGTGGTTGTGCTCAGCCATGTCTTGGTCCAGTGGATTATTTGCGTTCGAGGGGGTCGATTTGGAGGATGAGTGAGAAGTCAGGATGGAAGTTGATCATGAATATAGTGTTTGATCCGCAAAGAGGAGATATGGCGGGAAGATTTATATGGCGGAACACTTGTTAAATCATCTTGTTGTCATCGGTTCAGCATCAATTACGACGACGCCGAGTCGTCGACGCGACATGATCCCCTTCTGGTGCGATTTTACTGCATGCTAGAGCCGTTTGTCAGTAACAGAATCAGCGCGAGCGTGGGACGAACCTCTCCATCATGACCATGAGCAAGTGGATGTACAAAACAGAGAGCGAGATGCAGTCTGTGGCGACGGCAGGCCGAGATGCGCAGTTTGTGCCTGTGCCTGGCTGCCTTCACTCATCAATCACTCTTTTCAGTTTCCGGCGGTGTACATAAGGGAGCAGCTCATTTCCCTCTTTTTCCACCGACCATGTCCCACGAAATAGTATACGACTATGTCGAGCACGTCGACCCCAACCTCGTCTGTGCCATCTGCCAGTCCGCCCTCGTAGACCCCGTCACCACCGGCAGCTGCAAGCACACCTTCTGCCGCGACTGCATCACCAGGGCCATCAGCCACAATCCCCAGTGCCCCATCGACAGGTCTGCTCTGTCGCTCAGTGGGCTGAGAAATACGGAGCAGCTCGTCAAGCTCGTAGGTTCTCATTGAGACGGGCCGAGCGTGGTAGGGAATCAGGCGCTGATGAGACTTAGATGCTGGACGAGCTCAAGGTCAGGTGTGGCGCAGATGGATGTGGCATGGTCCTGCAGAGAGGCCTTTTTCTGGCCCACCTGCGATCTTGCCCACAAGCCATAGTCACTTGTCGTGACGACGACTGTGGTCTCTCTGTAAGTTAGGGCCCCGTCACGAGCCGAAGCGTGACCATCCTTGCTGAGCGTCTGTGCCCATAGATGACTCGGCACCGAATGCCCCATCACAGAGCATACGACTGCTTCCAGAGAAGGATGGAATGTAAGAAATGCGGCACAATCTTGGTGTTCAAGGACCAGACCGCCCATGCAAACGAAGAGTGCTGCGACCAGTCGTCTGACTCTTGCGATTTGTGCGGCGAAACTTGTAAGCTGCATATGATGGAGTTGCAATGGACACTGACGCGTATAGCAGTGGGAGCCGACTCGCATATGCACAAATGGCGCTGTACCAAAGTCCGGGCTCCATGTCCCCATGCCCACCGCGGCTGCTCGTCCATCATACCCCGAGCAGATATCGAAGCCCACCTCACCACCTGCCGCTTTGAAGCTTTTTCTGAATTCTTCGATGTCAACGAGACACGGTTCAAATCTCTCGAGTCGAAAGTGGAGTCTCTGCAAAGCGAGCTGGAGAGTGTGAGGAGTCATTTGAGGCGAGTGGAAGGGAATGTCGAGGTCGTTTCAAGAGTCAGGACTACGTCGGGCGGAGGACTGTCATGGCCTGCACCTCAGGTGGATCCTGTAGTCCCCGTCCCTGTCAGACAGTCCACCACGGCACCAGACAGCGATTCACCAAGACCAGAGGCCTTACCGCTCCCACCATCCCCTACTCCCGTAACGCCAACTCTCACAAACCCAACTCCAGGCCCAGCCACGCCGACCCCAACCCGCAACCCACAACCTCAGTCCTCTGGGTCATCGCTTCCCACTACCAGGCCAGATTTGACACATCAGCGATCCCTCGTTGCGCCGTCTTTCGGCTCGCATCAGTCGTATGCTGATTGGGCTTTCAACAGGCTGGGTGGGAGTGGTCCTGGGGGTGGCAGCTGGGATGATGTGTTGAATGCTCTCAGAGGGGTTGTGGTTCAGCTGGCAGCTGGTTTGGATAGCATGGAGAGGAGGAACGAAGTGTGAGTCTATTCACTTGTCGAGGACTGAGCTGACAAGTGTAGACGGACGATGACGGAAAGCTTGAGAGTGCTCGAGGAAGTCGGAAGCCTGAGGGCTATCGTCACCACCATGCGCATGCGTAGGTCAACCGCCATGGAGCTGGTGACCGAGTTGACTCATTCACAGAGGTCATGATGGACCGCCCCTCACGCCCTGGGTCACTTCAGTACCAAACAGACTCACCCTACCGAGCATCCCAAACCCTTCCCCGCACAACCCACAGGCCCAGTCTCTCCCTCTCCACCCGCGACCGCGACTCTGTCTCCATCCCCCGCTCCTCCAGCCCCATCAGTCCCACGCGAACGACCCACTCAGTCAGCATCACCACGGACAGAGATGACGACGCCGAAGAAACAGCCTCCATCACCGAATCCGTCGTCTTCTCCGCCCAAGGCCATCCTCCACCCTCACCCTCCGCCCAATCATCCACTTCATCCCTCATCACCGCCACAAACCCCAGCATGCCCAAGCGCGGTTCTCTCTCAAGAGCGCACCGGACGTCGAGTCTGGGACAAGGGCCGTCGGGAGTGGCAGCGGGCGTGTCGAGGAATTCGGGTAGTACGGTTGGAAGGAGTGGGGCGGGGCTGACGGGGAGGCCGGTGGCTTTCCCGCCGGCTGCTGATGATGCTGTTGCTAGACCGAGTGGAAATGGTTCTGGGGGAGCGAGTGGGGAGGGGGCAGCGACGATAGGCAGAAGTCAGGGGAGGTTGAGTATGCGATCTGCTGGGAACACGGTTGGGAGTATTGGAAGGTTCATGAGGAGGAACACGGAGAGAGAGGGGGACAGGCCTGGACCGAGGGGTTGATGGGGAGTTTGGTTTCCACGATCGTTACGACTTGGGGATGATCTTACGGCTCTGATGTGTATACACAAATTTTGTACAACGATCTCTTACTTGCTTTTCACGATATGCCTTGTACTTTAGCATTCACCAATCTATGTATCAACAAACAATGCATATAGTCGTACACGAGAGAAGGCTCCCACCTTCCCGCCACTCATAACATGACCCACGAGAGCAATCACTTCTTCTCTTTGGGCTCTTTCGGCTTGAAGAAGCTCGTCAATTTGGTCATCTTTGACGTATTGACCTTCTTCAACGACTCGACTCCTCTCGAAGAGCTCGTTTTGCGCTTCGCAGCGGCAGTCTCTTTGTCCCCCTTCTTCGCTTTTGTGATGGGCTGAGAAGCGGCGGCAAGGGCGGCGTTATGTGAGGCAAGGTATTCGTGAAGGGCGGTGAAACTGAATACAAGTCAGCTGGCTCGTCTTTCACGATGATTGGAAGAAGTCTTACTCGTACGAGTCGATGAGCTTGGTGACAATGGCTTGAGATAGCCATTGTGAGAGATGCTCTATGGCGGCCTTCTTTCTCGCCACTAGTCTGAATCAGCGTATGCCCCTGATATTGCTAAGCAGACTCACTCGTCAGAAGAGGATCGTCCGCACTCCTTCCCAACATCCCATCCCGTCCAAAAGCCCTGATGAGATGATCAAACTTTTCAAACTCCTCCGGCTTTGCAAAGAATTCCACCTTGCTCTTCAGATGCTTCACCACCAAATCTATCGACGGACGGTAGTACTTTTCACCCTTGACAGTTGGTGAAGGTGAAGCAGGCTGAGAAGATTTGGGGGAAGGGGGAGCAGCGGAGATGATCTTGACCTCGCAGCAGGCTCTGAAAGCGCGTTTGACAGACTTCAACTTGAGGAGAGCGGAGAGGTCTTCGTTGACGCCTTCGGAGGCGGGGCGCTTGCCTTTGGAAGTAAAAGGTTCGGGGAGGATGAAAGAGGGGGAAGAGGCACATGTCGACAGTAGGTCATATAGAGGTTGGAAATGCAGGACAGAGCCGTTCTCCTGAAGGAGTGTAAGTGCCACACTTGTACGATACAGGTGAAAACATACAGGGACAAGAGACAATATCAGTGGGATTATAAGGAAGAGAGGATCCACTGGATAGTGAACAAGTATACTTGCCGCTGTATAATCGTCAGCTGAAGTTCCTCCTACTTTGACAAATTTATGCACCATCTATGCCTGATTCGCCGATAAACCATGTCCGTCTGGAGGCCCCATTGAGCTTCGCAGCTTCCAGCACGCAATCTTGCCCGCTGGGCGTCGTGTAGGGGAGATAGAGTTGAGGAGCTCCTACTCTGAGCATCAGTATTGAGCTGTGAGATACAGGGGCTAACACGTACCACTTCGAGGATGCGGTAGTCTCAGATATTGGTGTCCCTGAGACAGGTCGACGTCTGCTGCGATGAGCTCAACCCAGCGTGTATCAGGCCACTCACCATCTCTGATGATTGAAATGTAGTCCATGATTCTGACTTGGGCGACAAGGTGGGCAAGTTGATGCAGCAGAATGAATATGTGGTTCTTAAAAGAGACGACAAAGTCATCAAGAGTCCACCGCGTCGCGTTTGGGCAGCCCGCCCAAAGACGCGTCAATTTGCGCCAATAAGCCCAGCTGTACTTCCACATCCTCCGCTGTCAGTCGTGCGTATCATTTCCTGAATGGACAGTCAGGCATGCATTGAGGCCAAGAGTATACACAGTAGAGATGATACAACCCATTCATTCATATCTGCAATCATGTCTTTGACAGGCGATACGCTACGCTTGACTCGCAACTCTCTCACCTCGATGATCACTCAACGCTCACTCAACCCAAGCTTTATATGTCTTGTGCCACTCCTACGAGCAATCGTATTAGGACGCTGCAGCTGTATCTTGCCAGACCAAAATTACGCTTACCTCAATTCCCTTGCCGGGTCCGTAACCTTCGTAGACCTTGGCGCCCTCAGGAGCAGGTACGTGTGATGGGCAACACTCGCGTTTGATAGCAATCAGGTGGGTTGTGTCGGGAACAGCTGGAAGAGGATCAGGCTTGTCGATAGTAGATGCAAAGGGGTAAATCCACTAGGCGTCCATGTCAGCTTGCTGATGAGGCACCCAAGCACGCCGGACGTACGTCGGGCCACTCATCATGATAGTTCCAGAGCATACTACTACACTCTGTACAGAAACTCCTCTTGGAGTTGCCCATCTCGACTGGCTTGTCGTTCTCGTCAAGCTTGACAGGCGCAATGTAGACCCTACCGCAAGCGCATTAGACACTGCGTCACGACAGGGTGAGGGAAACGTACTTGATCTTGTCTTTGCCACGCATGATATTGAGGGTGTTGGTATTCCCCATGATGTTGACGCTACCCATGTAGCCGCCGACTTTGCGGCAGATAGAACATTGGCAGAGCTTTGAGGGTGAGTTCCTCCGTTGAGCAGGGCTTATCGGGAGTCAGAGCTCACTTGGAATGGTACCGGAGTGTTGGACTGCTCGCGTCAACTAGGTATGCATTGGCAGGGGCAATAGCTCACCTCTACTGTGTACTTTACAGCCTTGCAATGGCAGGTTCTACATCCCGAATGATCAGCCCCGTACTTCCCATACACCCGCCTGCCACTTCTGTCGTCGCACCCTTTCCCTCACTCTCGCTCTTACCCTTCGAGCAAGACAGGCATCTTGGTGAGTATCCCAATGTGGAGAGTGGAATTTTTGTAGAAGGAAGAGATCCAATAAAGCATACAACAACGGGTCGCTCCCATGATTATTATGTCATAGGACAATCCACTCGGATGTCCCCGCCGGCCCCGGCGCGACGCGTCGTTGCTGCTGTATATATGCCGACGCCTGCTAGAAGCAACTGACAACTTTGCGCACAGATGTCTCATTTATATACATACAACCTTTTGTCGTGACTCGTATGACTTTGGAAAAGTCCCAGCTATCTCGTATGTTTCTCGTAAATGAATTGTCCTTGGTGGTTCACAGCCTAAGCCCCATCCCCGCCCATCTCCATCTCCATGTTCCTATAATGCACGAAATGCCCCTCGCAATCCTTCATCATGTCCTTTGCCATCCCGTAGACTTGCGAATCTGGAGCGTTGTACATCATCGCATTCCTTTTCCCAGTCAGCCTAATTTCACCTACTCGTTGATGAGACTCACGAAAAGATCAACAAGACATCCCTCTCGAGCTCATCGATGCTTCCGATTCTCCCATTCTTGATCCCAGCCTTGACAGTCTTCAAGTCCATCGGCTTTCTGATCACGTCATAGTAGTCTGCAGCCTCGCTCTTGCGAACGGGATTTTCAAAGACGTTGGAAAACTTGTGAGACAGGATAATCTCAAAGAGAGCCAACAAGAAGGGCTTGGAAGACCTTTTCGCGACGCGAGGCGCAAGGGTTGTCGAAGATCCCGCGGCCTCCTCCTTGGCTGCTACCCCATCTTCCCCACCTGCCACAGACAACTCACTTGCGGCCACTTCGCGATGACCTAGCCGGGGGCGGACTACCTGTCAGCCCAAAGAAACAAGGCAAAAATATTCCGTTATTCAACTGATACCACTAGAAACTATGGAAGGGCGGACTCACTCTTGACTGCTGTAGACCTTGTACCACGGCGCTCGGTGGCAGAGGGGGTCGGGGTGGCGGCTTCGACAGCACCAGACTTGCGGCGGGAGGCGCGCGTGGCTTTGCGGGGTTCTTCGTGGTCTTCGCCCGCGACAGAAGTGTTGTCTTCCTCCTCCCTCTCAGCTGTTTGGTCACGAACAGGCTTGGAGACCTCTCGTTTGCCCCTGCGAGACGCGGCGCCTCGTCGTGTACTTCGGCGCTCTTCGCCCGGCGTAGCAGAGTTGGTAGAAGAGACGGACGGAGCACGGCGAGAGTTGGCGGGCGAGCCTTCTTTTGTAGGCGAAAGAGACGGTTTGGCGGGAGAGGAGCGCTTTGCCTGACGACCTCGGGTGGCAGGCTGTTCCTCTTCATGATCACCTTCCTCGTCCGAGTGCTCTTCCTCCTCTCCTTCCGACTCTTCCGCTTCAGCTGCCGCCGCAGCGCCTCGACGTCCACCCCTCTTACCAGCAGGCGCACCCTTTGGCTGGGAAGCTGCTTTGCGCTTGTGTGACCTCTTTGGGGCAGGCTCGGGTTTGATGGGAGAAAGGTCGGATGGAGCCGGGGAGAGAGGGGATTGGGCGGGAGAGATGTCCTCGGTGGGTTCGGGAGTCTTGACTGCTTCCTTCTCAGGAGTGGCCTCCTTCATTTCGACGTCTTCGCTGGCATCCTTGACAGCCTCGGCGGCTTTGGCAGCTTCTGCCTTTGCGGCTTCTTTAGCGGCTTGCCCAGCAGGCTTTGCCTTTTCAGCCTGTTCAGCAGCCTCGGCTTCAGCTTGCGCTTTAGCAGCTTCTTCCGCCTCTTTAGCTTTAGCAGCCGCGACCTTGGCTGCCTCTACCTCCTTCTCCTTCCTCTCCTCTTCCTCCTTCTCCTTCCTCTTCTTTTCTTCTTCCGGGTCGACCTCTCCCGCCTTCACCTCCCCAGCCTCCACCGCCTTCATGAAAAGCCCCTTCCCCTCCCCCTCCAACCACCCATCCATAACCTTCTTCCCAAACTTTTTCTCCAGCCCTTCCACAATCTCTCTCTTGAGCGCATCATCCAGCTCCCCAGATTTGAGCGATGTCACTTCAGTCACGAGGGCTGTGAAGCGGGATTCGTGTGCGGCGATTTGGGCGTGGAGCTCGGACATGCGGGCGATGTAGTGCGTTTGGGCGAGGCGGAGGTGGGATTTGGTGTGGGGTTTCATGCCATCCGGTGTGGGGCTGCTTTGAAATCAGTACGAGTCATTGGATGAGAGCACACTTACACATTGATACCGATGGCCCCCAACATCTCTTTGTACATGGCCTCGCATCTATCCGGTGTGAAGAGCTCCTTGGGCCGCGGTTTGATAGACGGGTGGACGAGCAGCAAGTCTGAAACCTGGGGCCAGGAGAAAGCCCCGAGCTTGTAGATTGCTTGTGATAGTAGCAGCTTTTCCTGTGTTGTGAGGTCTGCGGAGAGGGACATGGCGGGACGATGGAGATGTGAAATGCAAGATTCAGTTTGGTTCATGCGGCGGCGTGAAAGAGGACAAGCGGGCGAGTACGTAATACGCATGCCTATCTCCAGCCGCATCTCGCGCGCCTTGCCGCGCATGAGCAGTGACGTCTCGTTGACACCGCCCTCTCTCTCTTTCCCTCTATAGCATCATGGCCGACCCATCAACCCCCCTCGTCGTCGACAATGGTACCGGTGTATGTCCCCTCCTATACACCACTTCCCCCCGCTGACTCTTTCTGTAGTTCGTCAAGTGCGGCTGGGCCGGTTCCAACTTTCCCGAACACGTCTTCCCCTCCATCGTCGGCCGCCCCATCCTGCGCGCTGAAGAACGCCTCGGCACCTCCCAGCTCAAAGACATCATGATCGGCGACGAGGCCGCCGCGAACCGTTCGTACCTGCAGGTCTCCCACCCGATGGAGCACGGTGTCATCAAGAACTGGGAAGACATGAAGCATCTGTGGGATTATACGTTTGAAGAGAAATTGCAGGTGGACCCGCGGGGGAGGAAGGTGGTGTTGACGGAGCCGCCGATGAACCCGAGGAGCAATAGGGAGAAGATGGCGGAGGTCATGTTTGAGGAGTATGGGTTCGGAGGGGTCTATGTGGCGATCCAGGCTGTCTTGACGCTTTATGCTCAGGGTAAGTCTTGAGAATGACTCGAGGGCCAAGCTGATGTGTTGTAGGTCTGCAGACTGGTGTCGTTGTCGACTCTGGTGACGGTGTCACCCACATCGTCCCCGTCTATGACGGTTTCGCCCTGCCCCATCTCACCCGCCGTCTCGACGTCGCCGGCCGCGACGTCACCCGCTACCTCATCAAACTCTTGCTCATGCGCGGCTACGCGTTCGAGCGAACAGCAGACTTTGAGACCGTCCGCGCGATCAAGGAAGCACTGTGCTTTACGAGTTATGATTTGGATATGGACAAAAAGTTGGCAGAGGAGACGACTACGCTTGTGGAGAACTATACGTTGCCGGATGGACGGGTGATCAAGGTGGGGTCGGAGAGGTACGAGGCGCCAGAGTGCATGTTCCAGCCGCACCTTGTCGACGTCGAGCAGCCCGGTGTTGCTGGTGAGTCGTTTATCCTCTATCGCATGGCACTTTGCTAAATGTCGCGCCAAGAACTCTTGTTCAACACTATCCAGCAAGCCGCTGTCGACACCCGTGCTGATCTGTACAAGCACATTGTCCTCTCTGGAGGCTCCTCCATGTACCCGGGCTTCCCCTCGCGTCTCGAAAAGGAGATGAAGCAGTTGTACCTCACCCGTGTGCTCGGTGGTGACGCTTCTCGTCTGCAGGTGCGTCCCCTCATAGACTGTATGGGATCTTACTGATGATTGGATAGAACTTTAAGATCCGAATCGAAGACCCGCCCCGCCGAAAGCACATGGTCTTCTTGGGTGGTGCCGTGTTGGGTGATATCATGAAGGACAAGGAGAACTTTTGGGTCACCAAGGAGGAGTGGGATGAGCAGGGTGTGCGGGCGTTGGACAAGCTGGGTAGAGGAGAATAAGGAAGGTCAATGTTTGGGTGTTAGTTGTACAGAATCAATGAACGACGAGTTTAGATCCTTGGTTCCGGGTTGCACGGCCCGATTCGCCCATTCATGACTTGCAACTTGCAAGATGTGTACGAGTGCTAGTGAAATGATCCGGTTCAACTGCTCTTCTTTGTAGATGCATACAAGAGAGAAGGCATGCGGCAATGAAGCACTTGATTGCCATTGGAAATTGAGATTGAGTGCGTTTGATCGTTGGCGTGAGACACGTTGATAGACGCGATCTTTGGGGTCGGGGTGGTAACAATCGTGCGTGCTGCCGTATACCCCGGCTAATGTATGCATCCCCCGGGCTGCGCTTCGAGGCTGTCCTTGTGGAATCGCGACATTGATTTGTGGTGTCGGCGGTGTCAGGTATCTAGGGATGTTGATCGAAGCTTGGCCCTTGGCGCGAGGTAGTCATTTCATGGGACGGCGCGTAAGAGGGCGGCACTTGGGCAGATGCATGGGCTGTAGAGTATACCCCAAGAGCCAAACGATGTGGATGGTCGAGATGCATAGATGGGAATAGACTATTATGTTGGAGTATGACGGACTATAACTCCGCTGCGCTACCGAGTCCCCGCGTTACGTCGTTCATCCCCTTCTTTTCATCCCCCTTCCCCACCACCAGCCGACGTGAGCTGCCCCCTGCTCCCCAGAGACGCTGCTGGCCCCTGCCCCTCCCCCTCCCTGCCTGCCCGCCGCCCCCGGCCACCACTGCCCCGCCCCACTGCCGTCATTCGCAGCAGCCCCTCCTGCCGAAGCCTAATACGCCGACGCACCCCTCCCCATCCTCTCTGTGCCCTCGTGCAAGTGTCCCCCGGAACAAGCACCGCCCAAACACGCCCCGGGCCACACATCGCCCTCCTCACGTCCTGATCTACCTCCTACATGTCTCGCCCCGCCTCCTACACCGACCACTACGTCGACCAGGACACCCTTCCCCTCTTCAACCAGCCCCCGCCGCCCGTCCCCGCCTCCCATCCCTACTCCCCCTACAGCCCCTCCGCACGCGGCCCTCCGCCTATCGCGACAAACAGGCCAGCAAGCCAGCACTCGAACCTCCCCTACGTCCAGCACCCGCAGGAGCAGCGTGCTCGGGACAACTCCGACCTGATGCCCTCTGCTACCGACTATCTCGCGAGGAGTACCAGTCTGGGGAGGAAGAAGGATCCGTTTACGTACAGGAGTGACGATGTGGAGAGCGGGTTTGGCAGTATGGACATTATGGATGGGCAGGGCCAGCAGGGGTTCACGTTCCCTACGCAGAGGGAGGCGGTTGCATCTCCCAGGAGCGGGGCATATGCCCAGATGAACCCGCCGCCTGTACCAGCGCACATCATCACCGGCCGACAGGCGGCTCAGCCAGACCACCCGTCGCCGACCGCGACAACCCACGCCCAGCAACCAGTCACGCCTTCGTCCTATACCCACCCCCACAACCCCTACATCCCCTCGCGATCCTCTGACCCTGGGCCCTCGGCGGGTGCAGTCAGCACGGCGCCGCCTCCGGTGGACCCGTACCACCCATCAGCCGCCGGTGGAGCGCAATGGACAGACTACCGTAGGCCGAGCCAGACGCGTATGGCCTCCACAAGCTCTTTCGCGTCACATGGCTCGGGAGGCTTGAGCCCCTACTTGACTGCCAAAGACGTACACGAGCAGAGCCCGCTCCACTCGCCATTGCTAAACCCCTACGACACCGCATCCCCCACGTCTCAGAGCCACTGGTCGACGTCGCCTGCTATCCATGCTCCGCCGCAGATCCATCAGCCGCCACAGGCCCCTTCATCTCCGCGCTACAATGCCGGGTCTCGGCCTCAGGCTTCTCCTGTGGGCGGGCGTCCACCGCCTGTCGGCTCCAGGCCCATCTCGACGACACACACGCCTTCCCTGAACCCGCCAACTCAGCTCTACCCTTCGTCTCAGCCGGTCACGCCTGCAGGCAAGTATGATCCGTCGATGCCCCCGCCCAAGATCCTCCCTCCGAGGACGGCGAGTGGGGCTAGCAGCTTTAGTACGGGCACTGGGACGACTGGGAGCGGTATGATGAGTCGGAGTGCGAGTGCTGGCGCAGGGAGCGAGGGTGGGTTTAGAGAGGTCAAGGGGTGGAGCGATTTGAGGGCTGTCGTCCATAGCCAGCCGAATGGGAGGAGGGCGGACCCGGATTGTCCTGGCAAGTGGTTGAGCGTAAGTGTGCTTCTCTTGGCATGGTCTTGTCTGATCCCTTGCAGCCTCTGAAATGCCTCACAACTGGCCTTGCCGAGACATATACCCTCTCCAACCCCAACTTTCGCTACGTCACCTCCGACAACCCCCGACGAGTCCTCACCAAGCCTTCCAAGCCCGCACACAATGACGGCGCAGACAATGAAGACTGGGACTACATCCTCTATGTCAACGACGTCCTGGGCGGGGAGGATGGCAGGGATCGGTATATCATCTTGGATGTGCTTGGGCAGGGAACGTTTGGGCAGGTGGTCAAGTGTCAGAATATGAAGACGCATGAGATTTGCGCGGTCAAGGTCGTCAAGAACAAGCCCGCATACTTGCAGCAGAGTAAGATGGAGGTGGCTATTTTGGAATTGGTGCGTGCTTTTTCGCCTTCAAAGACAGAGCTGACAGTGTGCAGCTCAATACCCAACATGACCCGCAAGACCAACACCACATCCTCCGGATGCAAGACTCTTTCACCCACAAGCACCATCTCTGTCTGGTGTTTGAATGTCTCTCGTCCAACCTTTACGAGCTCATCAAGCAGAATCAGTTCAAGGGGCTGAGCACGCAGCTGGTCAAGGTGTTTACGCAGCAGCTGTTGGATTGTATGGCCGTGCTGAAGGAGGCGAGGTTGATCCATTGCGATCTCAAGCCGGAGAATATCTTGCTGAAATCGTGAGTCAACTGCCAGCTGAATCGAGCTGACGGTGTAGTCTGCAATCGCCTCAGATCAAGGTCATCGACTTTGGATCGGCTTGCCACGAGATGCAGACCGTCTACACCTACATCCAATCCCGATTCTACCGATCCCCCGAAGTCCTCCTCGGTCTCCCCTACTCTACCTCTATCGACATGTGGTCCCTCGGCTGTATCGTCGTCGAGCTCTTCCTCGGACTGCCGCTCTTCCCAGGAACGAGCGAGTACAACCAGGTCAGCCGAATCGTAGACATGCTTGGCAACCCGCCCACGCATCTGCTCGAAGTGGGCAAGCAGACGCACGAATTCTTCAACAGGACGACGGACGGGTACGGGCGGAATGTCTACAAGCTCAAGCCGATGCAGCAGTATGCGGTGGAGCATCGTACAGATGAACAGCCGAGCAAGCAGTATTTCAAGCAAACCAAGTTGAAGGATATCATCATGGAGTACCCTATGGGGAAGAAGACGGATGTCAACAAGGGTGAGTGGTATAACAGTTGGAACGTGAGCAGGCTGATCAGTTGTAGAAATCGCTACGCGAAAGTCGTTTGTGGACTTTGCTGAAGGTCTTTTGAACATGGATCCTATCAAGAGGTGGTCACCCCAGCAGGCCATGAAGCACCCCTTCATCACCGGCGAAAAGTGGACCGGCCCTTGGCAGGTAAGTTGACCATCTGCCATGTGATCCAGAGCTCATTTCCATAGCCCGATGCGACCACTACGGCCAAGAAGCCCGCTCCCTCCCCCGAGATCCCTCAGCCTCCCTCATCTTCTTCCTCCACCCCCAACAAAAAGTACGGAGGTCTCGTTCAAACTCCCCAGAGCTCCCGGTCCCAGCGCGTCTACTCGGATGCGGCGGCTTACAACCACCAGCTCGCTCAGCACCAATCCTACACTGCCTCGGTACAGCAGCAGCAGCAAGCTGCTCAGGAGGCTGCGAGTCGGGGACCGTTCTCGCCTGGATACCAGCTGTCCCCCGGGCAGCCGGTCAGTGCCGGGTACGGGCACCAGAGAGTCGCCAGTCAGCAACTACCCCCGGCACACCAGCAGCCCCAGATGCAGCCTGGGCATCAATCGAGACAGAGCCAGAGCGGACAGTGGTCTATGCCACCGCCTCAGGGGTATCAGCAACAGCGGATGCCATCACTTAGCGGTTCTGCTTCTCACGCTTCGTTGCGTGCAGCGCAGCAGCAGCCGCCACCGCCACCTTCCATTGTCTCCAACCCTCCTCCCAACTCGTACTATCCCTCCTCGCGCACGAGAGCAAACACCATCAACCAAATGGATGCTATACCACCCGCTCTTGCTCGGTTGGTACACTTTGGTGCCCAGGATCCTAATGGGAGAAACACGTTGACGCCCGTTATGAACCGAGACGAAGCTATCAGGGAATGGGAGCGGAGGCACCAAGGTGGGATGGGCCACAACAAGCAAAACTCGATTGCCGGGCCGGCGTACCAGCAGCTAGAGTACCTGCAGGAGCAAGCCGAGTTGGCTGCGATGCAGGGGCAGAACTGGGTGCCTTATCCTCCTCATTCGGGGCATCACCAGCCCCCTCAAGGCCACCATCCTCAACATGCCGGTGGACATCATCGACAGAACCCATCGGGTCAGTATCAGATGCAGCCTCACATTGGTATTTCCCCTCCCAACCCGTCCGACTACCGTCCCCGACCCACGAGCGACTATGACCCTCCACTCTCGGCACATTCTTCTGCTGGAGGCAGCGGAAGCAACCGAAACTCGGCCACTGCTCAAGGCTATGGTCTTCCCACCTACCCTCCTGTTGCTGCTACCACCAGCGGGCCTTCTGCCGGCGGCACGGGCCAGTCTTTCGACGCGTTCGACCAGAGGGACGGCGGGATGGGCATGATGTACACGCCACTACAACCGACGCAGGTCTTTGGGTATCAGCAGTCGGGCCAGCCGGGGCCAGGCCAAGGGCAGGGCCCAGGGCATGGTGGAGGACATGGGGGTGGACATGTAGCGAGGTCGAGTTATTCAGGAGGGTATGGCTCTGGTAACCCGTTTGGGCAGCCTAACAGTCCGAGATACTGAGGGAAAAGAGCGTGTAGCTTGGATAGAGCCGAGGTTCCATTCGAAACTTAGAATTTAGTATTCCCTTTCATGTTTTATCAGTACATAACGAACATACAAGTACAGCTGTGAACAATTTCACGATGGCGCAGGTGACTAGAAGGGCGGAGGAGAAGGATTGCTTTAAGACAAAATAGCCAGCTAGACTGGCCATGTCTCTGCTACGAATGTATGCATGGATGTGTAGTGCGACATGATGTATGCTTGGAGAACACTATTCCGTCTCATTGGTCACTCTAGGGGAAGACCAGACATGACGATGAGCTCGGAAGCCCGTCGCCGCGTGTCCGCTACAGCACTCCCTCTTCAACTCGCCATATCTCATGCCACATACCAGCAAAGACCAATATCAAAATTGCGTAATATAGATCAGAAGCAGCACTTTGCGGCAACACCCAAAACAGAAGACGATGCATATAGCCCAATTGCCGGAAAAAAGATGTGAAAGCAAAAAAGAAACTGCTCCGGTGAGGGTCGAACTCACGATCTTCCGATCAGTCGAATACTGATTAAAGTGTGGAATTTAACAGTCGGACGCCGTAACCAACTTAGCCACAGAGCATTTGATGACGACGGTGGTTTTGGCAGCAATAATTGACAAACGTAACTGCGGATCTTTCTGAAAGATGTAGTTGAAAAGTGTGTGAGGCAGTGTCCCTTGGATTGCATGAAATCCGCTACAAAATGCGGGTCGCTGCATACAAGAGTAAGATACAAAAGGTTTCAAGTCTCGCAAAGGACAGGATATCCACCGCAATCCACCAAGTCGAAGTGCAAGTTGACGTAAAGTGTGCCCTTTTTGATAGGCTGAATGTTTATGCTTCTACTTGGGATCGATGACAATAGTAGCGAATGGAACCATATGAATGTAATGGGAGGGAGACTACATTCCAGTCAGCTTCGATTTGGAGACTTTACCGCCCGCCGACAGCAATCGCCGACTCCTCGAGCAGCAGCCACAGATCACTTACAAGATGGTGACTCAGGAAGCTCTCATATCCGCTCCAATCTAGACTGCATATCACATCCGAGTCAGTGCCCATCTGCAAGTATATGAGCCATGACTCACTCAAAGTCCTCCGGCCTCGGGTCCCCTTGAACATGGCTCATATACTCCCCGATAAACTCCTCCAGGATATCCCTCAATCTCGTCTCGTGATCAAATACGTATCTTGTGCTTTGCCAGTAGTATCTGTTTCCGAGCGAATCGGGCTTGTCCCACCAGAACAAAAGCTATTGAACTCGGTCAGCAATCCAGAGGCTCTCGCTAGAGGACATTAATGGCTTACGCGGATCGCAACTTCGCCATAGTTGAGTCTCTCTGCGACCCCATAATGTAAGCCACTGTATGCCCTGAGTGTTATGAGCCTACTCACCATCGGCATCCCACCACATTCTCCAATCTTGCAAGATGAGCTGCACAAGCTCTTCCTGCTTGAGCAGTTCTGCCTCCTGCGCATTCATCCTTGCAATGCCGGATCCATCTCAAGGGTCGTAAGGTTCCGAGATGGGATGTAGATGAAGGCGAGGAGGATGGAGAGGGACTTTTCGAGTATCGGCCAGTGGCTGAAAGGATCAAAGGCGAGAAAGGATGGGAAAGGACGGGCTGGCCGCCGGATCTACCTTGCCACAACAACAAGTGGGGGTGGATGTTGAACTATACGCCCGAAGGATACGATTGGCGCCGAGAGAAAGCGAGGATGTGGTAAAGCAAGAGCGAAAAGCATGATTCAATGAAAAAGAGGGCCATCCTCTGAATCATGAGTATTCCGAATACTTGACGTGTTGATCCTAGGTCAACAAGCGCGATGTGTGTCGAAGACACAGTACTTTACCCTGAGGGATGATGAGGATTTTGGCGAAGAGGAACGAGGGGTCAGTCATCGGCGGGCAGACGCCAGAGGCACCAAGACAGAAGCCAGAACATGGCGTATACTGATGGGTCCTGGGCATGAGACGATGGGACCTGAGGCTGGATAAGAACTCAACTCAATCAGCGCTCTCGCTTTATCTATGGCATTCCCTCTCTTGTCCCTCGTGAGGTGCAATGTGGCATAAATCAAGACAAACCCACTGACGCAGCGTGCTGTCAGAGTGCAGATGGCTTACGGCTCCGACTAGCGCTGTACACAATGTCACGCACGAACACTGTCGCCCTCGCTGAACCCTGCACGCGACCATGCGCAGCCACATTGACAACTCTTCTCCCATCAAACCTTTCCAAGCCAAGCCCCCGGCTTGAGCCGCAACATAACGTACGAGCACAAGTAATTCTGCGATGATGCAAGGAAAACTCCATGTTTGCATGTTCAGGACACCCATAACGGCGTGTCGCTCGATATGTCAGTGTCCAACGATCTATGCCATGTCGTATATAAAACTATATGGGTAATTGAAGAATGTCCAGAATACAATATAATGAAATGATTATTCGATTTCTATAGGTGACGATTATAAAATGTCCTTGATGCTACAGTTGTGCCAGGCCCGTGGTTGAGCGGCTATCGACAGGACAAACCACGCAGATGATTCCTCAACATTATAAGAAGAGGGCGGAAGCAATGAAAGATCCCAACAGGGCAACAAGAGAAGGCTTGTTGCTGATGGCCCACGAGCTGGCATTGGCGGCAGCAGTCGAAGCGGCAGTGTCGGACGCAGAGCCAGTGACAGAGCCAGAAGCCGTAGTAGACGCAGCGCTGGTGGTGGAGGTACTGGCAGTAGTCAAAGTACCGGCGACAGACATGGTGGTCACAGTGTCGGTGTTGCCCTCGCCAGAGTTGACATACCATGTCATGTTGAAAGCGTCGGCGACGTTGACGACAGTCCAGCCGTTGGCAGCAAACTTCCAGTAGGTGTCCTTGAAGACGGTCACAGTGTTGTTGTCGAGCTCGTGCTCAAGCAAGAGGAGCGGCTCGGTACGGTTGCCAGTGATCCACCCGTCAAAGGTAGACTCGACACTGGAGATGGAGTACTGGTCGGGCTCGTCGGCGATAGCCCAGTCGTTGGTGTCTGCAAAAGTCTCTGTCAGTGTCAAGCGCAGAAATGGCGAGGGGCAACTCACCTTCGTTCCAGAGGACAGTCTCAAGACCAAATACACCCTTGGCGATAGCTCGGACACGGTTGTCGACATCACCGTAAGGAGGTCGCCAGAACTTGGGGATACGGCCACCGTTGAGGTCTGCGAGCGCCTGAATAGTCCAACCGAGTTCACCAACAACTTCCTCATTAGACTTGGTAGTCACTATATGCTGATCAGTCCTGGCCAGTCCGTCAAGATGTATGTACACTCACTGTAGGGGTGAGTCCAGGTATGTACGGCAAGGTGACCACCAGCCTTGACAGCGGTGAGGACGGTCTGGGGACTGCGATTCTGTTAGCAAACATTGTGGATAGCAAACGACGACTCACGCAGTGACGACGTTACCACCGATCATGAAATGGGTAGCCTTGGAGGAAGCATTGTTCTCGGCCAAGAAAGCGTAGAGGTCCTCGGAAGAGTCGGTGGGTCCATCGTCGAAAGAAAGCTATCATGCCATCAGTCACGAGGAAAGACACCAGGGACGGGTTACTCACCGCGAATATCTTCTCACCGGAAGGCTCATACAGGTCGTCGTCCACATGGCACTGATCTGTGAAAGAACAGATAGTGTCGTCCCCATCGTCCTCGTTGTTGGGGTATGTGGGTCGGCTTCCAGACATGGTAGCTACCGAGACGTTGGGCATGGTGAGGTTGTTCAGCTTGTCGAGCCATGCCTGGGGGATGACAGAGCTGTTTGGTGTCGTCCAGGCGTCGGGGTAGTAGCTGGTGTAGTCTGACAGGCGGGTTGGTGACAGAACTGGGAACATAATGCCAAGACTTACTATCAGCAGAGGGATCCGGAGCGGCTCTCTTGAAGAGGTGGGCAACCTCCGAGTCTCTGGGCTGCATCCATGACTCGTCCAAGGGCGCAGCGACGGCGAGGGAGAGGAGGGAGAGGGCGGGGAGGAGGACTTGGCCGTACATGGTTGATATCTATGAGAAGAATCAGCAAAACAAGAACATGATTTTTTATTTCCCCATCTTGGACAGTGTTCTATAGACAGGCAGCTCGCTGAAACGGGCTGGTACTCACAGGAAGGTGCCGAGGGGGCGTGGTACTGGGATACGACGGGCTTGCGGTGTGGTTACCGTGGACAGACAGGAGACGGAAAACTGGGCTGTTTGTTAGTGGTGGGTACACACAGGCAGGGAGGGTGACGCACGGAGGCGGAGGAAGAGGGGGAGCAGGGGTGAGGGGGTGCAGGGGGCGCTCGAGGGGAGGAGAGATGCAGATGTAGATGAGAAACGGTGTTTGTTGGGGTATTTTCATGTTGTGAGACAGGATATCTCGCTGACGGTATCATCGGCTGGACCCTGGATTTCTCATACCGCCCTCCCGCAAACAGATGGTTATCTCAGGGCACACAGGGACAACGACACCCACCTTCCACGGCCGTACCGTCTCGCCTGCGTCTTCCATCCGTACCCTCGCATACAGTGCACCGCAGTACCATGCATCCATGCATCCAGCATCCACGCATCCACCACCCCCCGCCACTGCATTCTCAGCGTAAATGCCAAGCCACATCTGCTCCCGCCGTTAAGCTTCTATCAGGGCACGGCGGCGTTCGGCGCAATCAACCGCATCGTTCAACCGCCAACCGCCAAACATATGTACTGCATTTCATTCCTCCTGATCTGCCAGCCATGTCTTGTCCCGAGATCCCACATAATCCAGTGCAGGGGGGTACAGCTCGCCCATGAGGCGGTGGTGACCCATATGCGACTTCACAAGCTTTCAGATCATGGCGTGTAAACAAGTGTCAATTGTATTCCTTCTTCTACTTCAGGATACTTCAGATCTCAGGAGACTGGCATCTGATCCTGTGCATGACGTTTAGGAGCAGACATTCGTCGCTGGCTTACAGGTGACAGAACTGGGTACATACACGTGGCGGTAAGTCATGCAGCTGTCGAGAAGGCTAGCGAGGCCAGCAAGGCCAGCGAAGGCCGAGGACCGAGATTGCTATGTAGTCGATGCTGACTGGAATCACGCTGCAATCTGTCTCGCGTAAATTCAAACGTTGTGCATAGCAAACTGGACTCCTCCATGGGCCATGGGATGAGTCGTTGGTCGTTGACCGCTGTTTACATCTGTTGACAGTTCAGTCATTCGGTTCCGAGCTTTTCCCGGCACCCCCTCCTGAGTAAGAACAAGGCCTCAAATCGCAAGACTGTGGTCTTGTATCTGTAGCGTGCGGTATCACACTTGGTGTAGTTGGCGAGCGCCGGGCGAAGCTCCCAGTGACCATGACAGCGGCAAGAAAGGCGCTTATCATGCGGGTGTCAGACGACTGATCACCGATGTTTCGCTGGAATGCGGCTTCGGCAGATCTATCGTTTGCTTATTTTCGTCTTAGCGCACTTTCCTATCGGGGCACCATGCAATGGAATATTTGGTGCGGCGATTGGACGTGCGTAGTCAATCTCCACAAGATTTACCGGAGTGAGATATGGTTCCGAACCAGTAGACTCGATTGGCTTTTGACGACTCAGATCTGGATACGCATGCGGCATACATATGTATCATCATGCTTGCTGCCTCCAGCCTCATCGATAAGTACACATATCATGATCCTTGGCCGTCCTTGGTGGTCAGACTACGGGAATCGGCGCTTCTTGCTCCCATCCAACAAAGACTGGCAGCAGTTTGTCGTGGATCAACGATTGGAGCAGGATCTCAGTTTAGGCTAGTGAGGCTAGAGCCGCTGGTCGCTGGAAGAAGAGAACATCTTCTGATGGTCAGTCATCCAGAACGGCCAGAACTGTCCAGAACCGGGTCCAAGCCGAACTATCTGCACCCATGACGCATAGTGCAGCAACAACCGCCATGCTTTCCACCTCGGCTTTCCGGCAGCTGCAAGAGCGTAGACTTTCAGCTCCCGAGGCGCAACAACATTGCCCATACTCTGCGAGCCTTCTCAGCGTCGTCCGCAGCTCAAGCTTGCATGCAAAGCATCCAGCTACCACCTACCAGTACAGTTCAGAATACAACAACACTCTAGAGTCCAAGCACGTCTTTACACTGTCTTCTCCATCTCCAGCTGCCTCAACTTTTCACTCAACGCTTTCTCCTCCATCTCATCCTCCCGCCTCGCCCTTCGTCCTGTCGGGCTCCATACAGTCACCGCCTGCGGGCCCTTGGCAGCCTTTGGCGGCGTCGTCAGAGAAGGCAGATGTGATGTGGGAGTGAGGGGAGATATGGCTGGGTTCGGCGTGGTCGGTCTCGACCGGGAGAGGATGGATGTGGTAGACGGAGGTAGGGGTACGGTTGGGGACCGGGGAGACAATCCTTTCAGAGGCGGCATGCAGACCTTCCCGCCTTCTTCTAACATTTCCCAGTCTGCCCTGATGGCATTCCACTTTTCCTCTACAGTCTCCACCAACAGTCCTGACGACCGCCGCTTGATTTGCTCGACATCCAGACTCGGCTCAATCATCTGTTCCGTCCGTTCTACCCTCATCTTCTCGTCCTTCTCCAAGGGCGATATCGAAAAGATGACTCGGAGCGACTTGGTCACATAGTAGGACAGCACCGGCGGCCCGCCATCTGGACAAGGCCGTGAGAGACAGATGAATTGAAGCTGGATAGCGTACCGCAGCACCTCCTTCTCTCCTTCCACCCTGCTCTCATGCCCCACATAGCTATCCTCCCTCAAGAGCAATCGCCCCCCCACCGGTACTCTCCGTAGGTCGTAGGGTACGAGAAACACCTTGGCAGCAGCACTCGGTTCGGGCGTCTTGATCAGGATCTGCAGTTGACCTCGGCGGGCGACACGATAGCCCGGAAAGACGGGCGGCGGTCCAGCCGGTACTTTCGTCCTTTCCTGCAGCGGCAGCCCCACAGTTGAATACGACTCGAAATACCACCTCTGCACATCGACACTCCCCACCCACGGCGTCTTGCCCTGCGGACCACTCGCATCCTCGTCACCGAGGTCGTAGTAGAACGCTTCGAATGGTACGACGACATGTGCCGGGCAGCGTAATTCTTTGGGGCAAGTCTTACCCTTGCCCACTGCGCCTAGATGGAGGGTGAAACCAGGCGTGGGCTGGTGTGGCCGATGACCACACATGCGGGCGTGCAACAGGGACAAAGTGTATGAGCCCAAGAGGGGCTGAGAGCGGGAAAGGGGTGAAGGGTTTATGGAGCTACCGCCGGTGGGTGGCGAGTGTGGTATCGGGGTGGAGGATCTGCCAGGAGACGGGGTGAAGGGAGGTACAGAGACCATAGATGAGGCCGTGGAAGAGCCATGGATGGATATGGGACGTGGGGTCTGGCCTTGCGATGAGCGGCGGTTGATGCGTACGGATGGGGACGGGGTGCGGGTAGGAGCGTAGATGGGAGGGCGGGAGAGGGGCGAGGTGGCGGTGGGCGATGGCTGTAGCAGATTGGAGCTCGTCGTGCAGGTCATGACGACGTGGAAGAATGCAAAAGATGTAACATTCCCATCCATCTCATCTCGCCTCGCTACGTAGCGAACCTGCGCCACTCGACGGATGCCCGACGGCCGAGTCATGCCAGTTGCCAGACGACACAGGCATTGTTTACATTTCTAGTAGCTCGCACTATGACTTCTACGTACTGAAAGAATGCTAAGATGGTATATAAGGCCTGCTATCATGTACAAGCAGCTCGCAAGGTATACTCGAGTACAGCTTTTTTATGTTTTCTATGGACTATGTACAACCGATGATGTGATTCTTCTCACAAACAAATTTGCGCCACCCTCCATCACACTTGCTCGCTCGATCCAGCAGCACCCGTGACGTTGCTGTTGCTCGACACTGGGGGTGGTCCACGCTGGCTGGGGCTTGGCGGCCGCAGACCAAATTTAGCGTACAGTGGGTCGTTGGGATCTGTCTGGGGGTGCAAGTGAACCTTGCCATTATACAGCTCATGAGTCGACCGTGAGGGGTCTTGACCGGCAGGGTTGTGCAGCCCAAGCGAGTTGTTGGGCTGCGGTGTGACCCAGTGAGCACCAGCGCCGACGGTACCGGCAACAAGCGTGGGAACCATGGTGAGGAGCGAAGGACTATCCAAGTCAGCACGGTTCAATCACGCGCATATAGTACTTACAGCTGAATATCGGCATCCCGTAATCTCGCGCTCCGGCTCTTGGCCACCATCGAACTCGCCCTCAGTCTACCGCCCCGGATATTGGCATAAGTCGCCAAATTGTCCTTGATCTGGCTCAAAGCAGGGTTGTAGTTGTACTGTTGTTGCTGTTCGTCGGCATCGGGAGAGTGCGCAGGAAGCTTGTTGGGATCGGCATAGATGTGGAGCTTGACGAGGAGTCTACCGAAAGGCTCAGTGGGCATGAGTCGGCAGATGACTCCGATGGGGAGAGAGATGGCACCGATGACGAGGGAGATTCCCCAGTCACGTCCACCAAGACGGGTGACCTGGAAGGCGGCACCGCCGACTTCGATGATCAAGATTTGACCGCCAACCACTATTGACATGTTAGTGGTTGACTTGAAGGGCACGAGAGGCACGTACTGATACAGAAGATGACGATGAAATACCAGTTGCGCCAGAAGCCCTCAAAGACATTGAGTTTGCGGTCAAGACGTCGACAGTTCAGCTGGTTGACTGTGAAATGTTAGCACAAGACCAGGCCAAAGTCAAAGCACTTGCAAATTTGGCAAAAGACGAAACTGTTGAATACCAAAGCACCGAGCTCGGTATTGTTCTGATCCGTATCCGCAATACCCAAAATCCTGAGACCCGCAAAGTGCAAGACCAAACAGACAACGATCTGATACAACGCCTGTACCAGGATCATCTTGAACATTTCAAACGTGATCAATGGCGCAGTCTTCTTGTCTGGCTTTCGGTCGAGCGAGCTCTCTGTCGCAGGGTCGGTCGCCAAAGCGAGCGCGGCGAACGTGTCCATGATCAAGTTGACCCAAAGCAATTGAACGGCAGTCAGGACAGACTCTTCGCTGGAGGAGGCGACGGCGGTGACAAAGGTAATGACGACGGCGGTAATGTTGACAGAGATTTGGAACTGCAGGAACTTTTTGACAGAGTCGTTGACACATCGGCCCCACATGATGGCGAGCACGACGTTGCTGAAAGAGTCGTCCATCAAGATGATGTCGGAGGCTTCCTTCGCGACTTCAGTACCACTGCAGAAATGTCAGAGTGGACTTCAGAGTCTCAGAGCTACTTACGCAATACCCATGGCGAATCCAACATTGGCGAGCTTCAAGGCAGGTCCATCATTGGTACCATCGCCCGTGACACCTACAACCTCTCCGATACTCTTCAACGTCTTGACCAACAGCCTCTTGTCTTCGGGAGAAGATCGAGCGAGGATTTGTAACCGGGGAACAATCTCCAAACGATCTTGCTCGGAAAGCTAACAAGGATCAGCATGAGCCCTAAAGATATGAGCAGACTCACTTTTCTAAAGATGGGACCTTCCATGACCACACCTCCAGGCGTAAAGATCCCACACTGGTTCGCGATAGACCTCGCAGTCAACACATTGTCACCCGTGCACATTTTGATCGCCACTCCAGCCTTTTGACACTTTTCCACGGCCTCCCTCACACCAGGTCGGAGGGGATCCTCGATACCGACGATAGCCATCAAAGTCAAGTCTTGGCACAGATCGGCATAGGGCACCTCGTCCGAAGCAGTCAGCTCGGAGCCCTTGGGAGGCCAGGATTCAAAGTCGCGGTAGCAGAGCGCGATGGTACGGAGAGACTGGTTGGCGTAAAAGATGATGGTCTTGTTGATATTGGTCCGGCTCTGGTCGTCAAAGTTGATAGTCTCGACTCGATCGCCGCTGTTGTCGCCCGCATGGACGACGACATGGCTGTTACAGTTTCCGGTCAAGACCTCACTGGCACCCTTGACGTGGAAGCGGTACTTGCCGTTACCGAGCTTGATAACGACACCCATCGCTTTGAGGTCGGAGCTGAAGGGAATCATCTGGACAATCTCGGCGGATTCTCGCGTCTCGCGATAGTCGGCCCACTGATTGTCCTTTGCGAAACGCAACAAGGCACACTCGGTCTTGCTTCCAACAAAGTTCAACTTTCCATCTTCATCCGTATCCTCGAAAGCCGTAGAGTTGACAGCAGCAGCTTCGTTGAACAATGACTGGAGAGGCTTGGAGGCATTGTTGTTAAAGTCTGTCATGTCGAATGAAAAGTCGTCTCGCTCGTTCTGACCTTCGATCTCATTGGCATTGGATCGAGCGGCATTCTCAGCGAGGTCTTGCACGAATTTACCATGCACACCGAGAGAACCGGCGACGATGGACATGACGTTCGTCGTCAACGTACCGGTCTTGTCGGTGCAGACGACGGTAGCATTTGCCATCGTCTCACACGATCCCAGGACACGGACAAGCAGGTTCTGTTTTGTCATTCGCTTGGTGGCAAAAGCCAGAGCCAGCGTGACGGCCAGAGGGAGACCTTCAGGGACAGCAACGACGACTAGCGTGACAGCAATAATCAAGATTTGAATGAATGCCTGCGCCTTGTCGTTGGCCGAGCGATCAGGGTCGGTCTTGAGGCCGACAAAGAAGCGGATCATACAGGCGGTAAAGAGGAGAAGACCAGCGGCACCACCGAGCTTGGCAATGAGCTCGGCGAGATCGTTAAGTTTGAGCTGGAGGGGTGTTTCTTCGGCATCACCGCGCATAGCTACAATATATCAGCAAAGTCCCCGCAGCGATAGAACACTCACCCATCATGATACGCCCGTTGAAACTCGTCTTTCCCACTGCAATGACCACATACTCTCCAACACCTTCGAGGACCTTGGCACCAGAAATGAGAAAACAGTCCCTCTTTTGTTTGTCATTCGGCCCGAGATTGTCTCGCTCTTCAATACAATCGTCGTAGGTAAACTTCTTGATAGCGTCCGATTCACCAGTAGCACCCGATTCGTCGCACTTGACATTGTGTCCTCGAAGAAAGACACCATCGACTGGCAAAATCTCTCCGGGTTCCAAGATACACACGTCGCCGACGACGATGTCCTTGGCATTGACGAGCATTTCTTTCCCGCCACGGATTGTCTTGACGGTACGGTCTTCGCGCTTTTCGTTGAGCTTTTTGAACTGGCGTTCCTTTTGCCAATCGTTGACTGAACCGACCATGACAACAATGATGATGGCCACTACGATAGCGACACCCTCTACCCAGTCGACTTGGGCTTCCTCACAGCCATTGGGACAGTCGTCGTTGTAGATGACCTTAGGGGGAGTACCCAGATCCTGATAAAGACCGAGGGCGAGAGAGACAACGGCGGCGACGGAAAGCAGGATCTGGGAATGGTCAGTCAAGATCAAAAGTCATGAGAAAGATACTCACCAAAACCTTGTCCTTGAAGGCAAGCCACATGAGCAACAACAAGCTCTTGCTGTTCCGCTGCGGAAGATCGTTCCTTCCATACACCTTGCGCCGCTCGTCCATACCAGCACGCCAGTGCGCCCCATTGCCACCTGGCATGTCTGCAGCGCTCCTCGGGGCACCCGAGTCCACGTGCCCTTCCTCTGTACCCACTGCAAGCCCCTTTGTCTTGTCCACGCCCAGACCCTCCAACAGGCCATCAACACCGCCAATCTTTTCAAGATCATTGAGCGATTTGGGGTCGACGAGCATGGCCAGGCGGGAGGGCTTTTCGCGGAAGGGTTTAGGGTCTGTGGTGTCCTTGTCAGGATCGAGGTGGGCCGAAGGCGGCTCTTCGCCCTTCTTCTTCTTATCCTTCTTGTCCTTCTTGCTGGCTCCTTCATCCGCCCGGGTCTGATCAGACATTTCCGATGCACCTCTCAGCAATGGTTCCTTGGCTTTTTTAACAGAAAATCCATCGGTAGTCGGCGCAGCACTCGACCAAGTTCCGATCGACCACCCCCGCTCATGTCTCCCATGCGTTTCATCGCCTATCTGCAAAGTCTCCATCCCGCTCTCCGCATTGGGATTGTTATCCCGCAGCGCGAGGGATGTTTTGGGATTCGGCGAAGACGGGGTCGGGAGCTCGTCGGAGAAATGGACAGAGGACGAGTTTGTCAAAGTGGGGGAGGGCGGTGTGAGGGCAGACGAGTAGGAGGGGGAGGGCGAGTGGCCGCTGTGTGTTGGGTGGAGCCGGGCATTGCTGGGGGAGAGATGGCCGGTGTTAATAGGGGGGAGGTTGGCTGATTCTCTACGGCCGTGGCCATCGCTGGAGCCTGCTTCTGACGGGAGTTGAACGGTGGGGCTCTGGGGGGAGGGAGTGGATGGGTTGTCGAAGGGAGAGGCGGTATCGGGGTCGGTGGTGATGATAAGCGGGGGCGGGGGCGGGTGGGGCATGGCGGGCTATGGGGGAGTGGCAAGAGAAGGGAAAGAGAAGAGAAAGAGGAATATAAAGTAGAAGAGTAATGTTGTGGGGGCGGTGCAATGACGAGTGGAGGCGTCGAAGAGCGGGGCCAAATATTTACATGCATTCTCAGGGGTGGACTGGGCTGTTGCGTGACGCCAAGCATCTCCTCTGTCGTTCGTGAACGGGCATGTCCCCTCTGCAGCACAGGATGACGCCCACCACGGTCCATTCATCGACCTCTAATGGCAGGCACGCGTCGCATTCTCATCCCAGGTGGCGACTCTTGGCACCGGGACCATTTCATCCCGCCACGTTCATCCCCTGCATCTTGGGACTTGGCGCTCGGAACAACAACCTCATGCATGTGGTACTGATATTATGAAGCGTTCTACCCAACAACACACCCGTTCGAGAACCTGTCCTGGATGTCAGCTCACGTCATCTAGGCGGGAAGCAGACTTACCACCAGGATCCCCTCAGACTCTCTACCCAATGCACAACCAGCTTGAGCCTCAACCTCGCACTCCTGATCGGCAACAACCTCGCCTTCTCATACTCGTCAATCGGCATCACCAGCGCCATCCAATAGCTAAACTCGCTCGTGTCTTCCGGCATCGAGCCGTACGTATTGTTCAGCCGCTGCAAGAGCCAGGGGGCAGAGCCAGATCGCAGCTGGTCGATGAACGCGCGACATATCGACATGAGCTCTTCGGTAGACTCGGGTGTGTCTTCGGGTGAGGGCGCTTGGAAGGGAGGGGTATTGTTGGCAGCTGATTGAGCGGCGAGAGCGGCGAAATCCATCCCGCCACCGCCTGGGGGCTGGAGAACGTTCGGGGCTGTAGGCACTGGCATGGAGAGACGTGGCGCCGAGGAGGAATGAGTCATGGGGAGGGCTTCGAGAGGGGTTGGTGCCAGTAAAGGCGAGATGGGCGCAGAGGCGAAAGACCTGTTGGCCTGCGCCCTGCGTTCCACCGCCTGCCGCTCCATCTCTTCTTCTTCTTCTGATGAGACGTCATCCATTCTAGTCCAAGTCAGCAATGTCCTATATCATACTTGATACTCACCGTTCAGTCCTCCCAACGGTATACCCATCCAAACTCCCCTTCTCCAAGATCCTAAACCTGTGCGTCCCCACAGTCTCCACGATACTCCTCCCATCCGGCAACATCTGCACGCTCTGAATCTCGAGCATCGTCCCATACTCCATCACCCCCTGCAGGTTCTCCGGGCCCGTGCCCCTCGCAGGCAGGACCATACCGAAACGGGGCGATCCCGATTCGATGCAGCGCCTGATCATGAGCCGGTACCGCGGTTCAAACACGTGCAGGATAGTGGGCATGCCGGGGAAGGCGAGGGTGCAGACAAAGAGGGGGGTGGAGAGGAGGGCTTCGCGTTCTTCGGATTCGATGGACATTCGGCGTTCGGCGTATTCCGCGGGGAAGGCGGTGGTCACTGTATATAGTCAGCATTTGATCGCTCCAAGGTAAGTGTGACTTGCAAACGGACATGAGCGTCTTGCTCGATGGATGGTCCTGGAAGAATGTAAAGCTAGGAAGATCCTGGCGACAGACGGGACACCTGGGAGAATGGTCCAACGTTCTCGAGAGACACTTTCGGCAAAAGCTCTATACTTGATCAGCGGCATTCCCATCTTCAATGAAGACTCACATGTTGGCACGGCGTAGTGAGAGGCTCATAGAGCGTCATGGCACAGACATCACACTCGGTGTTGAGCATCAACTCTTTTTTAAACTGCCACTCGTCCTCTGCGCCTGTTTGTCGCTGCTGAGGCAAAAGCCGCCTTCTGCGCCGCTTGGTCGACCGTGGCGGCCTCGGTGCTGAAGGCAACCCTTCATCCCCCGAAGCATCATGCTCATCATCCGACGACGAAGCAGACGAATCACCCATATCCTGTCTGACCCTGCCAACTTCCATCCCACCCTCTTCTTCCACCTTGAGCCTTTCCTTCTCCACCTGAATTGAATTGATGAGCTTTTCGATCCGCGTATCGAGGAGAGGCAATGTGCTCGGGACATTGGGCCCAGCGATGAACGAGTAGGCCGGGGGGAGATTGTCAACGGGCGTGTTGTTGCTAGGCGGGACAAAGGGAGGTGGCACAGGAAAGATCGGTACACCTGCTGGTCTTTCATCATGTGTCTCCTGCTCTTCAGTACCACCAGCGTAACGCTTACACCCTACCACAGTACACCTGACCCCAGCCCATAGAGCGAGTTTCTGCTGGTGGCGCCGTTGCTGAACAGCGAGCAACTCGTCGGGGTCGTGCATATCTTGGACAGGAGCGATGGGAGGCAGAGCGGGGAAGGAAAGGTGTGGGGCCGAGAGGGTGTGGCCACAGGGGAGTGTGACGGGATTGTGCAAGAGGGAACGACGGGATTGAGGACAGTCGGAGCTAAAAGAGATCAGTGTGTATCGAATGCGGATATTGTGGACATACCATTGCAGATGACCTTCCAGCTTGTCGAGCAGCACCTTCTTGGCTTCTACCCCAGACAGCTCCTCGTCGACTGCGACGATCGGAGCGTCGAAAGTTGTACGACTTGGAACACTCGCGCCGATGCCATCTCCCCCGCGCCCGTCTATGAAATCGGGTACAGTTCCAATCGCACTAGGGCCTGGTATGCCTGGGGGAGGTGTTGGTACGCGCAATGTTGGCCCATCGACAGTGGCGCTCAAAAGCGAGTCTTTCGATAGCGCCTGATCCTCCTTGACGGGGCGCGATCGCGCATCGACAGAGTCCTCTCTCGGAATTCTGGTCAAGGACACCGACCTGCCGTGTTTTCGTTGCCTAGGAACATTCTGCACCTGCGCGACGCTCTTCTCTTTACGTACAGCGTCGTGCTCTCGGAAAGACCGTTCAAGATTTTCCCGGTGGGCCCTGGTACTCGGGCCGGCATCGCCAACTCGCGCGTTGACGTCGACGCTCCTGTTCACACGTTGGGCCGAAGGCGAGGGACGAGATGCACGGCGGCCTTCGTCTTCAGAGAGCCAGCGATGGGCATCTGGGGTCGTCGATCGTGGCCTGCGGTGGAGAGGCCGGATGTGGCCGTTAAAGCGCGAAGACGCAATTTGTGGCGAGGATGGGGCGCTGAGTGGTACCGCGCGAGAGTCGGGAGGAGGGGAGGGGGTAGAACGGTAGGGAGGGGGAGGGGTGGCCTCCTTGGCAGTGGGGGACATGGCAGATGGAGAATTGAGAAAGCAATGAGACGAGCAGTCAGGGTTTGGCGTGGGCGAGAAGCGAGGAGGGGAACGGTGGAAGATGGGAATGGGGGGTTATAAGGCGGGCATGGGGAGGAGGGGGAATGGAGATGGAGAGAAGAGGAGATGGGATCTGCGATGCTCCAAATAATAATAATATCGAAAGAGCTCCGATCGCTATGAGATCGCCCACGACGATCCAAAACATTTCATCCTCAAGATCTCCCACTTTACCGGTCGTGCTGCATGCTTATGTAACTCGCTCCTGCCAGGCCTGCCCTCCTCCTCTGCTCCATGCATGCCCGCGCATTGCCTCTCGATCCTCTCGCTGTCCCTGCATGCCCCCCGCCCCCCTACCTGCGCTGCCTCGCACAGAAGCTCACAGAAGACCGGCAGGAAGCGCGAAATAAGCTTTCCTATCTTTGCGCAATTTCTGCTGCCGACCATCTCATCGCGGCAGACCACAGGCCACAGGCCACAGATCGCATGCATCTCATGGCTCCTATGCACCGCGGGCATAGCGTATCGACCCGTGTTCCATGGCCGTGCCAAAGCATAGCTCGGTGGCGGGGAGCTGGCTCTGGCTCTGGCTCTACAACTCGCGATGGCCACCTCCTCTCCGCGATTGGAGGAGTGGGGGCAAGAATATGCATCTGCTAATGACACTAGAACAATTGATGATGCAAGCTGGCGTCCGGGTTTACGACATGGGCGAGTTGTTTGCGATCCTCGGGACCCCGATGATGGGCCGATGTAAAAGGGGCTGCCCACTTATTGCTCATTTCCCACGCAGCCTCCCGTACAGAGATTGAACAGAGATTGAACAGATCGGACAGAGACTGTTCAGAGACTGAGACAGATGGGCCCTAGGGGGATTTTGCAGCGCTATTCCCAGGATATGTACCCCGTGCAGCTCGATGGCCGTAGCGATGCCATGACGTAGAGGGTGGACGCTTGGCGGCGCTCAGCGAGGGCGACCTCGAAATCGCTGCATGTAACAACAACAACGTTATCAGTCTTATCACCACGCAGTAGAGAAGAGCAACATCATGCCCTCGTTGCCGCCAGACCCCAACCGCGACAGGCGTCCTCAGACACGCCCCTCCAAGCCATCCCTCGAGCCCTCGCCCGCCGTCGTCGCGACCACCTCCCCTCCCCGTCCACCGGGCAACCACCAGCCCCATATCCTCACTCGGCGCTTTCTCGGGCCCATACCTGACCGTGTCACCAGCTCTGCTGAAGTAGAAGAAAGGCGGCGCGACTTTCTCGACCTGCGGCGAAAAGCCATAGACAAATGGAAAAAAGAGATCAGGGATGATGATGACTCGTTGGACAGTGTCGCCGACGCCCAGAGCGAGGACGGCAGGCTACGGCGAGCAGTGTCCAACATTCGGATCAAGAGGCGAAACAAGCATGGAATGGAGATTGAAGAGGACCTCGACCTTGACGAGACGGGCACTCAGCTTGGCGGCAAGGCAAAAGTCGGGAAAGAGGTGTGGGTAGGGGAGAGTTTTGATATCGGGCAAGAGTTCATGTCGACCGCTGCCGACACGCATACTCCCGAGCTTGATCAAGCTGAGCAAGGGAGCAGCCAAGCTTCAGCTTCTACTATCAAACCCAAGCCCATATCCCGGCCCTCGACCACGTCTCGAGCGACAGGGGAGACGTTTGTGACAGCACGCACGGCGTTCTCACCATCCCTGTCCTCTTTGGCTATCGACACCCAATCCACCAGCCAAATCCCCAACCCTTCTCCTTCCCTACATGAGTCTCAAAACGCACAGCTCCACTCTCCCCACACCCACCACTCCGCATCGTCCTCGACTCAACCCCTCATCGACTCTTCCAAACTCTTGGACTCGCCTCCAGGCTCGAGCAAGAAGGGCAAAGAGCCCACCCGTTCGGTACGCGCCAACACCTCGCTACCGAACAGGCTCAAATCTGCTTTACGCTACTCGAAACCGAATCTGCGCGGATCGGCCTCTGCTGTCATTGGACATGACGAAGAGCAAGCAGATCCGCGGGAGGGGCAGCAGAAAGCAAAGACTGTGCAGTTTCCAGCGGATTATGCGAGTGTGATGCCGAGTTTGGCTAGGAGCGGGGACGGTGAGCCGGCAAAGCCCGAGCATGTCTTGGAGAGGGAAGGCGCAGAGGCGGAGGGGACTAGTGCGGGGGCAGTAGAGGAGGCGCTGGGAGAGAATGAGTGGCTGCCGGAGGAACGAAAGGTCGGAGAGGTCATTCTGCGTGGTATGTCATGTCCATCCGTCGTAGATAGATACTGACAAGCTGTCACAGATCGAATGCTCGTCAGAGTAGGTTATCACCGCGAGAATAATATCACCGTCTTTGACGAAACTGCCCAGGTATGTCCCGGAACCACACCTCGGCTCGGCTGACGTTCCATAGCGCCGAAACCCATGCCAAAGACTTGATGTGTTTGAAGAATACATTGTGGTCTGGCGAAAAGGCCAAGTCGAATTTTACCAAGACTGGAAAGTGCCCCTCCGCGAGCGTATGGTCGGCACCAAACGTCTCTGTTTCGTCATCCCTCTTTTACCCCATCGAACGTCGCTTTCAATCTTCAACCCGGACGATCTTACGCTGGCTCTGACGACTTCGGTCGAAAAACTTCACCTCGAGATTGAGAGGCTCCTACACATCTCAGACACGTCAAAAGTATCCGTCCTCAAAGATCGCATCAAGCAGTCCAGCCAAGTGCAATGGCTCCAGGGTCGAAGAAAGGGTACACAGATCTTCCTCTTCAAGCTATCCGAACGATCACGAGCTCTAGACTGGTACTGGGAACTTTTCCGAGATCTTGGCGGGGAGCTTCCAGATAGATTCGACATTTTCGTCCCTTCCCTCTCTACCCATGTTCGCTTCCGCCTGCCCCAAGGCGAGGAAGCCGACGAAACTGCCCTTTTCAAACGATACGACCGCGACCGCGCCATCAAAACTTGTTGGGACGTCCTGAACAAGGACAATAGTATCGACGAGTTGTTGAAGGAGCGGGAGATTGAGAAGAGGGAGGTGATTGATTTGGAGTTGGTCTGGAAAGGGGCGGATGGGGTGTTGGACTGGGTGGCTTATGGGAGTACTGTGGAAGGGTTGAAGAGACCGTGGGCTATGTTGGCTGGATTGGCGAGGGTGCAGGTGAGTCTTGTCTTTGTCCAAGCGCAGAACTGACAAGAAGTAGGCGAATGGCAGGGAGCTGCAGCTGCGAACGGCAAAACATCAGCCAAAGTCTCTCAAGCTGGAAGATGGCACCTGGCTCGACGAGCCTGCTGGCGTGGAGGGTTATCTCGTCAGGCATAGACCTGCGAGTGGTACGAAAGAGTCCATTTATGTGACGATACACGATGGTAAGTGACCGCTGCTCCCTCTGCCTTATTCTAATCCACCTGTAGGCTGCATATTCATGACCACGATGAGAGAAGCCAAACCACCGTTGCTTCCCCAGGCCGAAGGATCCATCCCCTCCGACATCTTTCCGGATGTGCATCGACAGTTCCTCCAGAACGAACACAAGCGTATGGCAACGACTATCCAGCGCTCGGCCGGCTGTCTGGATCTCAGGGATATCACGAGTGTCAAGTTTGAGCAGGGTCCCGAGTCGAATGATGGTCAGGGCAAGGGTACGGGGACTGTCTTCAACGTGCATCTTGCGCATGGGGGAGTCACGATCCAGCTGGAAGCGTACTCAGAGCAAGTCGCAAAGGAGTGGGTGGAGAGGCTCAATGATTTGAGAGGCTTTTGGATGAGGAAGCATCGAGTCGAGTGAGTTTCGGCCACGCACAATGTTCGCTTGCTGATATGTATCGGTAGGGCTCGTATGCGTATGGACGCAATGGAGCTGGCTCAAAAAGGCGATATTCTTACGGGAGCAGCGACGGAAGCTTCTGACGATTTCTTGTCCTCTATCTGGGACTGGTGTACCGTCAAGGGCTGCAGGTCCATCTGTCTGTCGGGGAGAATGTATATGAAGAAGAGTACTTGGAGAAAGTTCAGGTGGGTGCTCGTCATATTCCAAAGCGCCACGCTGACCAAGCTCGGTATAAAGATCCAAGTATATGGTGCTGACTGAAGGATCTTTGGTATCCTTCAAGATCACGGGCAAGAACGCTTTTCACAAGAGGAAGAAGACTTACCCGCTCTTTGGCGCATACGTACGTGATCCTCTTACTCTCGGAACCTTCAACTGAGCCGCATCACAGGTCTACTCTGGCTTGTTGGCGCACGAAGAAATCCACGAACCCAGCAACAGACAAGCACCCTTCACCTCGGAACACCGAGTTTATCAAGACGGCTTGCAGTCTAACGATGGGCCGGAAGATACCACATTCTGTGTCCGCCTCGCTATACCAGGGTCGTCCTGGACGGCAAAGACGGTGAATCCTTGGGATTTAGGTGACGATGAGGATTACACGCCCATGCCTCTCAGCAAGTCGCCCCAGGGCTTGCTCATCTTTAGGGCTAGGTGCAAGGTGAGTGGCTCGGTGTGCACCAAAAGCTGAGCTGACATTACGCGTAGTTGGAAAGAGACCGCTGGGTATGGGCCATCAATGCCGAGATGGAGCGGCAAGCTAGAAGCCATCTACGCCAGGAAAAGACTTTGCGCGAGTATGGCAATGTGCCCGAGAAGTGGTAGATACGACACTTTACGTTTAACGACCTCTCTATATCACCATATATTCCATGTTGTAATTCAGGACATTGCATAGTCACATATCGCATGCATCATGCCAAGCAGCCAAGCGACAGACACTGACAGCACAAGACAATGGCTCGACGTATGCTCAATTCTGGGACAGCCGTGCCACCGGAGTTTTCGCGGACACCCCCGCTTCGCCTTGTTGTTCCCACGCACACTGACACGAGATAGCAACGACTCAAGACAGCATGAGCCTCCAGTCTTTCTCCAACCTGAGTTGATCTTGAAACTCTACGCAACACCTTATCCCAAACCCTGTGGCGATCATCTACACGACCAGCATGACGCCGTCCACGATACCCCTACAGAAATGGAGATTCAGGCAGAAGCCGAAGACCCCTGATCCTGACAACAGATGGACCTCGTGTTGGATACCCACATCTGTCCAGGCGGAGCTGATCAAGACCGGCGACATCAAAGACCCGCGTAAGGATCTCAACGAGTGGGATGCCCAATGTGAGTCGAGCGCTAGAGACAAATCAAAGCTCTGTCTGACGGCCGTCGGGCATAGGGATTGGCGAAGCCGACTGGGAGTTTCAATGCGATTTCGACATTCCTGCAGACAGACTGAAGGCTGCTCGCTGCGACTTGGTCTTTGAGGGCTTGGATACCTATTGCGATGTGTTGTTGGTACGCTCGACACTGGCTTGCCTCTTATGACCATTGACGGATGCCACAGAATGACCGCAAAATACTCTCTTCTGACAATATGTTTGTGGCTCATCGTGTCAGCTGCAAGGAGCACATCAGATCAGGGAAGAACCGGCTACTGATCGTCTTCAAGAGTCCTTGGCAAGAAGCAAAACAAGCGGAAAGGGCGCATGGTGGACCTCGTGGGGTCTGTGAGCTTGCTTCTTGAGCTCGAGCTTAGCGTGTACTGACTGCCGATACAAGGGAATGGAGATCCTTGCAGGCTATATTCAAGGAAAGCACAGTATGGATGGGGATGGGATTGGGTGAGTTGCAGCCGTGACTTGGCTTGTGCTAATCACCATCACAGGGGCCAAAATTGCTCACGGTGGGCCCGTGGCGTATGCCTCTCCCTTGACATTGAGCAAAACTTGACTGATGGCTCTGCTATACAGGTCCCATCACTCTCGAATCATACGACTTTCGCATCGAAGCCGTCCGGATTGAAGCCCATATCAGCTCACCTGACCTGAAGATAGCCACGCTTCGCGCCACAGTCGACGCAGCCAGAGCAAATGGAATGCGGCTGCGGTTTCTGCTCTTTGACCAGAGTGGAGTTTGTTTGAAAGAGGAGATGCGGCCAGCGGAGGACAGCTGGGTAGAATGGACGTTTGAGGACGGTCAAATTCACCCCTGGTGGCCAAGAGGCTACGGGGCCCAAGAGCTCTACCAGCTTCGGGTCGAGCTCTGGAAAGATGTGGGTTTGCTTGCATTCATTGTTTGAAGCATACCATCTGACGAGACCCACAGGGTCAAGCAGAGCCAGCGGCTCACAAATCGATAAGACTTGGGTTCCGCCACATTGAAGTTGTTGAAAGACCATTTATCCACCAGAGGGGAACATCGTTCTTCTTCAAAGTCAATGGGGTACCAATATTTTGTGGTGGCAGTAACTGGATACCAGCGGATATCTTTGCTACAGACATCTCCCCGAAAAGGTATCGGCAATGGGTCGAGAAGATGGTGAGCGCAATAGGCATTCCACTGTTCATTGTTAACGACACTGGGAAGGTTCAAGGCAACCAGAAAATGCTAAGGATATGGGGAGGAGGCATGTACGAGCATGATGAGCTATACAAGTAAGCTTTTCATTAAAACAGTACGTTTTGCTGATTCGTCCAGTGCCTGCGATGAGCTAGGCGTTCTAGTTTGGCAGGACTTTATGTTTGCCTGCGGTATCGTGAGCAAAAGATCTGCTCATGTCGCAGTATCTAACTCTTGATAGTATCCATCATACGCAGAGTTCAACAACAGCGTCAAGAATGAAGCAGAACAAGCGGTGAAACGACTTCGTGATCATCCCTCTGTGGTAATATTCGCCGGGAACAACGAAGACTATCAGGTCGCCGAGTCCCTCAAGATCGTCGACTATACCGACGAATCTGGTGACTATATGCATAGCGAGTTTCCCGGGTAAGAAGTATCCTTGATGTAGATATCCTGGCTGACGCGCTCTGTTAGTCGTCACATATACGAGATCATCCTTCCCGAGGTTGTGCACTGCCTCTCAGATATACACTACCATCGCTCCAGTCCTTATGGAGGCAAGACCTCAAGAGATCCTGCCGTTGGAGATATCCATCAGTGGAACGTTTGGCACGGGACGCAGGAGCCATGGTCGAAATGGGGAGAGTTGTCTGGGAGATTTGTCTCGTGAGTGCTATATTTGTTTATTTGTTAAGCAACACAAGCTCACCGCCGCGTGGCGGCAGAGAGTTTGGCATGCAAGCATATCCGAATCTGAAGACTGTGCAGACCTGGTCAGACAATCAGGCTGAGCTATTCCCACAATCAAGGGTCTCAAGTCGGCACAACAAAGCAGTAGGTTGAGCGGATGCTGGAAGGTTCATTCTGACGACTTTCTTTGGAACAGATCGGAGCTGAGAGACGACTGGAATCATATATCATGGAGAACTTTGAGTGAGCGACAGGGAAAAGCAGAACAATTCTGATCTTCCATCTCAGACACGCGTATGATATGCCCAGCTACATTTACTACTCCCAAATCATGCAAGCTGAGTGCTTAGCCGCTGCCTACAGGTATGTAGCTGGTCCCCTCGTGTTCGTCACACGCTGATGTGTGCAGGGCCTGGAGAAGAAACTGGAAGGGAGAAGGGAAAGAGTATACCGCTGGGGCTCTAGTGTGGCAGGTAAGGGCTCTCTTCCAATTGCATCCTGATCTTCTGGCTGACGGTTTCGCAAAGTTGAATGACTGCTGGCCTTGTACATCATGGTCCATTATTGATTACTACATGAGGCCCAAGTCAGTTCTGGAACCCCCGGTGTTCAGAGGGCTGATACGTTTCCTAGACCTGCTTACTTTACTATCAAGAGGGAGCTCGAGACGTACACGGTTGGGATCTCAAGAAAGGAAATCAAAAAACCTAAAGACAAGACCACCGACGCGGCTTTTGAAATCTTTGAATCTGCAAGTTCCCCTTTTCTTTTGGACCTGATTCTCACGCTGACTACCACTCTAGATCGAAGTCTGGGGCTGCAACTCGTCTTTAATACTGAAGCCTGTAACCATCGTTGTCGAGACATGGCATCTCCACAGGGGCATCCTCGACCGCAAATTCATCGAGACGACTCTCAAAGCAAACGCTTCGACCGAGATATGGAGCGGTCCCATCCCACGACAACCTGTTCGCTCATCCCTTTCCCAACCACCCGAACCTATCATCGTGTCAGCTCGCTTGCTCGCGAGGGAATCCGAATTGGTTCTGGCAAGACATAGCAGTTGGCCTGAGCCCTACAAGTATCTGCGCTTCCCCGAGCCTGGGTTGAAGTGTCAAGTGTCCGAGGGGGCGGTGAGGTTGAGCTGTGAGAGGCCGATCAAAGGGATTGTCCTCAATGTTGAAGGCGATGAAGTAGAGTGGGACGATCAGGGTATCGATTTGATTCCAGGGGATGACCAAGTCATCGCCGTCAAAGGGTTGGAGAAACGGGCAGTGACTGCAAGATATCTAGGCTCCGACGGGCTCTGACTGCAAAGTGAAACGTGACTCATGCATGAATAGTGTAAAGATCGTGAATGCAAATGCATTTTATATATTGTCCGTTTTTGCTACATGTGTCAAGACATGAACACCTCCATGATCACCCCTCTAAATAATGTCCAAGACATATTATAACGTGCTGTCTAAAGCAAGACGGCACCGGCAACCAGACCGGCAAAGACGACACCCATGCCGGAAACGCCGTCACGGAAAGCAGCACTGCTACTACTACTGCTGCTACTGCTGTCGCTACCGCTGGCACTAGCGCTAGAGCTGGCGTCCGAAGACTCGCTGGAAGAGCTAGAGTTGGCGGCAGTGGTACCATCGGTGTTGACGGTGCTGCTGCTGGTGTTTGTGGTACCAGCAATGTAAGATTCGAAAGTAGGGCAGGTAACGTTGGTCTCGGCGTACGGCTGAGAGGTGTTGGTGGCAGTGCAGATAGGGACGACGTATTTGAACGCGGCCTTGATCTTGGGGTAGTAGGTCTCAAAGACAGACATGGTGTAGTTGGCTATCACAATGTCAGACAAGAGCGAAAAGAGAGCGATAAGAAGACATACTGAGCTCGTGGTTGAGGACGATGGGGCCGTGGGTAGAGTAGTTGCCCTTGCCAGCAGCGTCAATGATGGTCTGGTAGTTGTTGTTGACGTCCTCCTCAGTGATACCGTCGGAGCCAGCAGCCCAGTCATCAGTGTCGTCGGACCAGACGATGGTGGTCATGTTGAGCATGCTGGCGATCATACGGATTCGGTTGTCGACATCGCCGAAAGGAGGGCGCCTGGAGATCAATCAGCATGCGATCAAGATGGCCGATAAAGAGATACGCACCAGCACTGGGGAGTCACACCGAGGATAGCCTTGATGGCCTTCTGGGTGTAGTAGAGCTCGGCGAAAGCAACTTCGTTGGAGAGCGCGGTCATGTACTGGTGAGACCAGGTGTGGACACAGATCTGGTGGCCCTCGTCGTAGGCACGCAAAGCCTGGAGAGGCCAGTCCATGACGTTGGAACCGATGAAGAACATGGTGGCCTTCTGGTCGTTCTCCAAGAGCAAGTTGTACAAAGCGTTGTGGCTACAGTTGGGTCCATCATCGAAACTGCGGATTCCGGTTAGCGACGCGTCCGTTGAAAATCTAAAAAGCCGACGCACCCCAAACCCCAAGTCTCTGGCTCGGGCGAAACAGTAATATCGGCGTCCAAGCCAGTGTCACTAGAAGGAGTGTCACACTTGGCGTGAGTCCACCAACAGTCGGGGTCGCTGCTGTCGTAGTTGACACCAGTCCAGTCACCAGTGGAAGTTCCGTGGGGGACGTCATCGGGAAGTTTCTCGTTGAGGGTGGAGTTGATCTTGGAGAAGAGCTCGGTAGCTTCAGTATCGTTGGACAGGAGGCTAGCAGACTCCCAGATTGTAGGGAATTGAGAGGTGACGGAGGTGGCAGGCTCGTAGCTGTAGTAGGTACACTCAGTCGCGACGTCTGGAACGTGTTTGTCAGTGTTGCACCACGCGGCAAGTGTTCCAACATGACATACCAGTGCTCTCAGCAGCGCTGGCCTCGTCGGTCACGGCTCGAGCCTGGATGGTACGACCGCCGAGGTTTCGTCGGCCTATTTCATGACCACCACAGCCAGAGTGGGCGAGGGCGCCAGTAGCGAAAACGGTAAGGAGAGCGGCAACGGTTGAGGGGACCATGGCGCGAAGGGGGAGGGGCGGGGTAAGGAGCGAAGAGGGGGATGTAGGGATATAGTCTGATGGGAAGACAAAGCAAGAAAAGATGCGCCTGAACGAATGGGCGATGGAAGTGGTATTACGTTATACCCTGCATGCTGTGAGCGCGCGAAACAAAAACACGGCGAAAGAACTAAACGACCCCAGTTCTTTTTTTGGGTTGCGCGTTCCGTCACCTTTCACCGCCCTCCAGCCAGCCCTGAGTTAATTACCCGCTCCTATTTCCGGTGCCGCTGTTTGCCCCGCTTTGCTAATGCTTTGAAAGGACTTTACAGCAAGATAGTGCATTTCCGCAGATTGATTACACTTTTTCGGCAATCACTGGGCTAATTCGCCTCAGGGTTTTGACGCGCGACGCGGCATGGCCCGACGGCTGCGCGGCCTGTGCACAAAGGCAGGTGCGCATGGTATAAGACTGAGCATTCGAAACATCCCGCCCATACGCAGAGCGCAGGCTGACAGCAGAGGGAATTGCAAAGTAGGCTCGTCGATTAGACATGCCGCGCATGCATATGTCAGGATGGAGGCATGGTATCATTCAACATCTGTCGCGGCCTGCTTGTGCACAACCCCATGGCGCCGATATGCCATTGCGACTGGTACTCATCACACGACTAGGATTGCCGAGGGTATGCAGCTGTTGGCCGGCCGCGGCCAGGGGAGGCCAGCTTGGGCCCCCTGCCCGTCAAGGACGTGACTCGGGATCCTCCGTTCACCATATACATATACACTATAAGAAAAATGTAAAGTTCAACTGATACAACCCCGCTATATACGAAAGAGAAGGCCCTCTATGGGCAAAAGACATATCCCTAAAAGAAAAAGTCAGACACCTTCTCCCCCGCCCCACGCGACTTTGCGAGTCTCTTCTCCTCGGAAGCCCGCGTCAGCTCTTCGATGTGGTCGAGATCGCTCTTGAAATCGATCTGATCGGCAGGGATGACAAGCTGCCTGTCTTTGCGGACATAGTACGCGTAGATCTTGGCTCCGATAAAGATGGCGAGGAAGATGAAGACACTGCCGTAGGCAAATACAAAGTCGGCAGCGGTGAAAGCTCCGGGAAGGAAGCAGTAGTAGCCGCTGATCTTGTCGTCAGTACCAGGGAGCGCGGGACGTGCAGTGGTGACTTACGAGAAGAGTAAAACAATGGGTGACCAGACAAGGAGGTACCAGCCCGACAGAGGCTGCAGGTAGCCCCGGATTGGAAGGAAGTCGTTGTTGAGCAAATTTTGTGCTTTGAGGCCGGATCGGAAACGCAGGTAGGTTCTATTGGGACCAGATTAGCATACGGCAAGGAAGAGAGGGATGGTAACTTCCACTGCGATCACTGTCCAGCTGACAAGCTGAGCAGCGGTGACTAAGTCGATCCACCAGTTCAAAACTTTGGCCGTCCCAGAAGACACCGACAAGTATGCCAAACATCCAATGAGTAGCGTAACAGTCACAGAGACATACGGTACACCGTGCCTGTTGGTTCTAAGGAATACTTTGGGAGCTTGTCCTTGTTGGGCGAGAGAGAAGACGGATCGGCTGGCGACGAATGTGAAGGAGTTGGCGGTGGAAAACAGACTGATCAAGACGAGGGCGTTGACAATGGATGGGAGGACAGGGATGCCGAGGCGGTTCATGGCTATATGTAGGTGATCAGTGAGCTGCAAAGCACAAAGATGGAGTGTAGACTCACAGATGACATAAGGGCTCTTGGCGGCACCGGGGGCGCCGGCAGAGATCGCACCAAGCAAGCTTTGATCGGTGGAAGAAGACACAATGCCGACGCACAGACAGCCAGTGATATAGAAGCCCAAGATACGATAGACGGTGCTGCGAAGCGTCAGACAGAGCATTGATGAAGATATATCAAGCTTACCTGTTAAAAGCCTTGGGAAGGATACGTCGCGGATTTTTTACTTCACCCCCAACGAGAGATATATAATCGGGACCGACGACGCTATGCGGAATCAGCATAATGGTCATGACAATTGCAAGAAGTGACTTACGCAAAAGTGGCCCAGCTGATGGAGTCAAAGATCCCAGTGATGACTTTGCGGAAGTTGACTTCACCAGCAAAAGGGCCAGGTGTCTTCCAGAACCGAAACCCATACACATCCTTGAGAGGGTTGCTGTGAGATCGTGTCAGAGCCATGGTACGATATTGTAAGATAGACTCACCCGCCGACCATAGTGATGAAAGTGTAGAGCGTCAAGCCGACGATCAAGATGAGCTTGGCGATACTGATGTAGAACTCAATCTCTCCGAACCACCTCACACTCCAGACGTTGATCAAGAACAAGAGGACGAGACAGGCTGATATGAGAATAGCGGGATTCAGGTCGTCTTTCCAGTACTCGACAATGACGTTGATAGATGTGAGTTCGAAGCAAATAAGGGCCCATTGGGTGATGACATACTATGTCCGGGTCAGCATGCCGCTCCCATTGAAGGCGTACAACTCGCATTCCATCCCACAGCCATACCGAGGGCCCAATCCACAAATCGTCCACTCATTTTTACAAAGCCGCCATCGAGCGGCAGCAGAGTGGTCATTTCGATGAGACAGTTGCTGGCCGCCCAGACGACAAGACTCCATAGCGCCACACCGATCAAAAGACCGAGTGGCCCGGCAGAGGTGAGAGGATTACCGATAGATACAAATAGGGCGGAGCCGATACTCCCGGAGATGGCGATGAGTTGCACATGGCGCATGCGAAGACCTCTGCGACTTTGTTCAATGCTGAAAGAGGGGAATGCCAGCGAGCACTTACCGATGGGGGTCGTTGGTCAAGTCTGTTGCAATATGTTCGCTCATGACCTCCGCCACATAGGCCTCCTCCGCGGGTTCCGAGGCGTCGAATGATTTCTGTCCCTTGTCTTCCAGAGACATTGCGAGTAGATTCAGTTGAGATGTTGAGCAACAAGAAGCAGGGGGCTGTGATAATGAACTATCGTTTTTTATAAATCGCAAGGAGGGTTTCTCTTGGCTGAGGTTGCTGCTATCGGGGCGGCGCTTCCAACAAGCGCGGCTTAGCGTTATCTCCTCGGCGCTTCGATCTTGGCCGGTGGACAGCTGACGAGATCCCACTTATATATCATTATCATTATTCCCCCGAACATCTCGCTCCTCAGCATAGACATCATGCCTGACATTGAATCCCTGAAAGACCGTTCCGCCTTTGGTTCCATGAGCTGTGAGAGGCTCCCTATCATTGATATCTCGCCATACCTCGACCCAACATCCTCCGAAGCGTCCCGTGAGACCACAAGCCAGAATCTGGACAGTGCCTGTCGTGACTTTGGTAAGCGAACGTCTTTCAACTGACAATCGGCTGTCCCTCAACCTTCCATCGAGATCAGCCACTGATATCTGCGCCTAGGCTTCTTCCACGTCACTGGCCATGGACTCTCTCCAGACTATCTCAAGTCCCTCTTGGCTCTGGGTCACCAGTTCTTTGAGCTCCCCCAAGAAGCAAAGGACTCTCTTCACATCTTTAAGAGCCAAGATGGTGTCCGAGGCTACCAGAAGCTGGGTGAAAACGTGACTTATGCCAAGCGCGACCAGCAAGAGGTGAGCTTGTGCTCGCCGTCTTTTGGATAGAAGCTAAATTCATGTGTCGCACAGGCCCTTGACATTTATCCCGAGCCCGAGAATCCTACCTCTGATCAGCTCAACGGGAGCCAGCCATGGCCCGCTGATTCAGACTTGCCAGGGTTCAAGACTACATTGCTCCAGTACACCGTGAAGATGTCAGTAGCCCCGTCATGTTTCTTCGATCACAACTCATATCTATGCAGGAAGACGATCGGCCGTGCTTTCATGCGCGCAATGGCAGATGCCCTTGGTCATCACCCCATCTTCGACGAGCTCCAGAAAGACAACTACTGGTGAGCTACTACATGCTTTGCGCTCTAGCAAGAGCTGAAGCCATTCTTTAGGGTCCTTCGCGTTATTGGATACCCACCGCTCGCCGAAGGGTTTGACCCGGAGAAAGGCATCTCGTGTGGTGCCCACACTGACTACGGGCAAGTCGATCGCGTTGACGTTCGATACATTTTCTGATGAGACCACAGCTGTTTGACTTTCCTGCTAGCAGACGACACGCCCGGTGCCCTTCAAGGTACTCACTCTCCTCAACTCTCCAAAGCTCCTGCTGACGGAACCTTCAGTCGAGTCCAAAGACGGCAGCTGGATCCCAGCCGACCCCGTCCCGGGTGCATTCGTGGTCAACATTGGCGATATTATCGATACCATCACTGGCCACCAGTACAAGTCCACCTACCACCGAGTCATCCACAAGAGCCCGACTTACCGTGTATCGATGCCCTTCTTCTTTGAGCCTCAGAGGGACCAGGTCATTGAGCCGTTGGAGGGGTTCTCGCCAGAGGGCTCGAAGCCCACTCAGGCTTTTACGTACTTTGATCATCTTAAGGTTTGTGCTCGTGGGACAACAAACGGACAAGGTGCTGATATATATGACTGCAGAGCATGATTTACAACCATTTCGTGTCTAATGACAAGCCTTTGCCCGAGAAGCCCAATGCCAACGAGCTCACTTTGCGAGGCTAAATTGGGGTTGCTCGCGCGTTATGATTTTGTACCACGATGAATGCAGTTGTCTTCCCGCTTCGATTTGTCTCTCAGCATCTCACTGGTCACAAGAGTCAGAAGACATGAGATGCATTATGCTTTATTCTTCTACCAGATCCCAAACCCTACAGCTCATCGGTGACCCTCCCTGTATCCCCCGCCTTCTTTCCGCCGTCCACTCCCAGCGCAAGAATAGACAAGAAGTCGTAGACCATATCGGCAGCAGCAATAGCAGAGATCTCGGCTACATCACAGTTTCCATCAGTCATATTCTTGAGATTAGAGAGGGAAAGCTTACCATTGGTGTCATAGGCAGGAGAAAGTTCGACGATGTCAAAAGCGACAATGTTGAGTCCGACAAGAGAGTGGAGGATCCTCCGGAGCTCTCGGGAGGTCCAGCCGCCAGATTCAGGAGTACCAGCTGATTTCCATATCAGTGTGGATCCTCAAGTCATAGGTTCGAGCACTTACTTGCAGGAACGTAAGAGGGGTCCATAACGTCAACATCCAAGCTGATGACGACAGGTCCGTTGCCGATCCTGGCCTTGATCTTTTGAGAGATCCAGTCAACGCCGTGGTCGTCAATGTCGAAAGTGTGAATGAGGTCAAAGCCAGCAGTGATATCGTCATCGAGATCCTCAGGTCCCTATCCAAACCATTAGTCTTCCGTCAAAAGCGAGGCGAGAGGCGACTCACAGAGAACCTGGTACGGATACCAGCGTGGATGGAAGCGTTGGGCTTGATAAAGCCCTGCTCGTAAGCGTGCCAGAAGAAGGTACCGTGATTCAAGTCGGCCTGTAGAGAGACGCTTCCGAGGTATCTGTGAGGGTTCCAAGTGTCGATATGGGCGTCAAAGTGGATGACGGAGACGGGTCCGTAGACTTCGTGAACAGCGTCAAGAATCGGCAATACCTGTATATTATCAGCATAAATAGTATACTCATCGGCGCCACGTACGATAGTGTGGTCACCACCAAGAGCGACAATCCTGGGGTGGAACTTGCCGTCAAGACCCTTCTTCATGTTGAGTTCCTCCATCCTCTCTTCCGAGATGACGGGGTGGTGGAGCATGGATCGGTAAGCCGAGTTGACTTGCTTGATGGCTGTTGCTGGGTCGAAAGGAGTCACGGGAACGTCACCGCAGTCGAGCTGGGACATGTCAATAGATGAAGATGGAGTATTGGCGCGAACGTACCATATAGAGGCCATGAGTGTACGGGTTCACTTCCAGGCGACTGCTGTAACCTCGCTCGGGGCGCTGCCTCCGAGATCCACTCCGCAAAGCATAAGGGCCGAATCTGGCTCCTATAGATACAAGATCAGCAGAATACAAAGAGATTGATCAAGGGAACGTACCTGGCCTGAAAGATACAGCAGAGTCAAACGGCACACCCAGCAGAGCGACGTCGAATGCCGCATTCTTATTGTCCAAGCACTTTTGGTGGGGCAGATGAGCAAAGCTCGTGACTCCGCTGAAGCTGAGGTCGGGCGTGTTGGCAAATTCCTCGTTCCAGGGGTCGAGCTGCTCGTGACTGTGACCGTGGCTGCCATGGGCGAGGGCACCGGCGGCGGTCAGGAGGAGGGCGGGGAGGGCGAGTGAGGGGTACATTTTGCAAAGCCGTCTTTGATTGTCGATGCGGATGGCAGTAGGGATGAGAGCAAAGGATCGGATCTCGGGATACTCAGGTCATGATTCGACAGATGGAAGCGACATCAGATCTCGCATAAGACAGTAAACGCTGGCGTTTGGCAAGCGCTTAGAGATTGCTCATCGGCCGCCGCCGGGTATGCCCCAGAAATTCTCTGTTTAGCCATGGACTGTACAAAGCTCCTTGTCTTGTCCTTGCTCGACATCCCAGCTTGACTGTTCGTTCAGCCTTGTTGCTGCGCTGCGGTCATTGCTCGGGCTGCTCTCACCGTCCGCGGGCGTTGGTAGTCTGACATCTCGAGTTCAGATGATAGCACATTCCTCATATCTCTATCCACCTCATTTTGAGTAGCTCAAGAGGTTATGCTTCACCCCCTGCCTTGAAAAATAGAGTGTGTCGACGCTGCTTCACTAGTATCCAGCCCCCATTCGACCCGCGATTATGACTACCAAAACGACAATGGCAGAAAGGACATCACAGACCAAACTCCAGTAATACATTTGCGAAGGCTCACTTGATGGCAGCTACTCCAGGCGAACGATGTGGCTGGAAGAAGCAAGCAAGATGAGAGCCGATGAGACGTGAAGGAGTAATTAGATGTCTGTCCGTTGATTTCCAGTGTCATGCAGGGGGCTTGCTGCACAGAGTGCACCTTTTATGATTGCTGAGAAAATCGTGATGAATGCATACGGATGGCAAAGCAAAAATGTCCAACATAACCCAACTTTGCGGCAAAAACGGTCGAGTCGCATAGCCGACATGTGCGCGCCGACGATTCTGACTTTTGCATCCCAGAGCTGTCTCTCTTCACCTCGTCTCCGCGATGCCCTCTCTCCCCTCCCGCTCCGTCGCCAGGGCCATCCCCTCCCTCGCCCGTGCTGCCTCCTCGGCGGCGGGCAGCAAGGACCACCACGTCCACACCTACACCCCTGACCAGTTCCCCCTCGGCTTCTCCGTCGCGGCCACCCACGCCCAGGTCAAGAAGAAGGCTGGCGTCCTCGACCTCGGCGCTCTCGTCTCCACCACCGACACTCCTGCCTCTGCTGCTGCTTGCTTGACGAGGAACGTCTTTAAGGCCGCCCCCGTCACTGTCACCACAGAGCTCCTCCAGACGGGCAACGGTCGTGCTCGTGGCTTCATTGTCAACTCGGGTTGTGCCAACGCTGTCACTGGCAAGCAGGGTCTCCAGGATGCATGGGCCATGTCCAAGGGCCTCACGTCCCAGCTCCCCCCGGGCGACGCCGGCGTCGGCTCGCTGGTCATGTCCACCGGCGTTATCGGCCAGCACCTCCCCATCGACTCTATCGTCTCCTCCATCCCCACCCTTGCCCAGTCGCTGAGCGACTCTCCGAAAGCGTGGCTCGACCTCGCGAAAGCGTTCATGACGACGGATACATTCCCCAAGCTCCGGGCGAGGTCGTTCAAGCTTGGTGACCGATTGGTGCGGTTCGCAGGTATCGATAAAGGGGCAGGTATGATTGCGCCCAATATGGGTCCTCCCCAGCCTCCCCATGCGACGCTGCTGGGCGTGATTGCTACCGATGCCGCCATCACACCTTCTGCTCTCCAGACAGCGTTGAACTATGCCGTCGATAGGTCTTTCAACAATATCACTGTTGACGGTGATATGAGCACCAACGACTCTATCGT